GACGTATTTAAATAACAACCTCCTTTATACCTCGATTTTTTCATAAGGGTAGACAGGAGATTGTGATAAATTTAAAGCTAGACTGGTAGCTAAAAGTTACATGCAAGTCCCTGGAATTGACTTTCAAGAAACTCTCCCGTGATCAAATCAAAATTTATCAGATCTTATTGGCACTAGCTGTGGAATGTGAAATGGATATTCATCAAATGGATATAACAGGGTTCCCACTCAATTTCAGAAAAAAAAAATTCCCTGACTTTTCCAGGTATTCCAGATTAATTTCAACGAAAATCCATACCATATTTTATCTATACTACGAAATTTTTCATCAGAAAATTTGGATTCTTTTATTTGTTATGCCAAGTATTAGATTTTTTGTGAAAAATAAATATTATATGAGGAAGGAAGCATTTCAGTATGTCTAAAATGTAAAACTTCTACAATAAATAATAGATGTTAGAATTATTTAACTCGAATCTCAATAACTGAGTATTGTTACTGATAATTTTAAGACTGGTTTCTTTCCAGCAATAATGAAGGAGTTTTCCAGGCTTTTGCAAGAAAACTGCAACTTTCCCTGATTTTTGGAGTTGAAATAAAATTCCCTGACAATTCCAGGTTTTCCCTGACCCGTGGGAACCCTGATATAACTGCTGCTTACCTGAATGATACTTGAAAAGAAGGCATTTACATGAAACAGCCTGAAGGAGCCATAGTGCCAGGCAAAGAACATCTTGTTTGCCACCTTAAAAGCGATCTATGTATTTACTATCATTCAAATAAAACACTTTACCTTGACATATATGCTGATGATATGCTTGTTGTTGGAAATCCAGAAGTCACAGATAACTTTTGTTTAAACTTAAGGTTAAACAAAAGTTTAGAGCAAGAGATCTTGGAGAAGGAGGTGAAATTTTATTGATGAAAGTGAAAAGGTATGCTGATGGATCCTTAACCCTAGACCAATCATCCTACGTTGAAGTATTGAAAACGTTTGATGCAACCTTACTCAGAGGATGATCAACTCCCTTAGACCCAAGTGTTGAACACTATAAGTTAACCGATGATGAGTGGAAGGAAACTAAAGAAACATCGAACAAAATTCCATACAGGCAGTTTACTGTACCTTGCCTGTGGTACTCGCCCTGACATTGCTTATAGTTCAACTTATATGAGCCAGTTTAAGGAAAGACCTTCTGAAAACCATTGGCCAAGTGTCAAACACTTATTCAAGTATCTTAAACATACAAAACATCTTTGTTTGACATATAGAAAAACTCGAAAGAAGATAGAAGTATTTTCCGATGCAGACAGAGCAGCAGATTGCATTGGCAGAAAATCATTTAGTGATTATGTGGTCATTCTTGGGGGTGCTGCGGTGTCTTGGTCCAGTAAGAAACAACATTGCACTGCATTGTCTTCTGCAGAAGCTGAATACCTGGCAATGACCCATGCCACCAAAGAAGTATTGTGGATAAAGAGTTTACTGTTTGAGCTCGGTAAAGAAATGTTTGTACCACCTCCCATACTAATAAATGTTGATAACCAGGCAGCTATGTTCATAGCTAAAAATCAAACTACGTCTGATTGGAGTAATCACATACATCTTATGGATAATTTCATTTGTGACAATGTAGTTCAAAAAATTTTTGAGTTTCAATATATTAATTCACGAGATAATGTAGCTGACCATTAACAAAAAACATTCCGAAGAAAGTTCTCAATAGTTTGAGGACTCAGTTAGGTTTTACAGAATAACTGTGATATATTATGTATATGTGTAATGATCATTCCCGGGCCCTGTTAAGGTATATAAAATACCAGAACAGGGAACAAGGCATATTTTTAGCCAAATATTGTACACATAAAGTAATGATTAATCAATAAAACCAACGATGATAGAATCAACCAATTAGGTTACTGCAAGTAATCTAATTGATGAATTGCCTTATTTGTTAATCTGTTTTTGGCAACAGTCGTTGTAATTTAAAAAAAATATCAATAGAAGCTTCTTTTTCTGACGAAGTTTTTCTCATGTTATAATCTTTATTAAAATATTTCTTTTCTCAAAATGATCTGTTCATTTACAATTATTATTTAATTTCAACAAATTAGGTTTCTCACCAATATGAGCCCGTTTGTGGTTTGTCAAACAAAATTTTCATGAAAAACTCTTTATTTTGGTTTGTCTCAACATTTAAAAATACAGTGCACTCCCGATTATCCGGGTTAATCACCGGGACAGGTCGCACGGACAATCGAAAAACACGGATAATCCGAAAACTCCTTTTGTTAAAGAAAAATTCAATATCAGTACAAAAAATATAAAAATTACTGACATTTGCATGCATAACATCAAACTAGGAATTTTCCTTTTTAAAAAATGTGCAATGCGTCTTCGCCATATATCGATACACATATTTTGCGAACCGCAGTAATGTCAACGTAATCAAATCCTCCCATGTAATCTAATAAAGCTTCCACAGAGCAGCAGAATGAGAAATTGTATTTCAGTCATTTACTACATCAGTTACTATCATCACTATTTGATTTAACAATATACGATGTCTTCATCAGTCAAATACTGGAAGCCAGGCTCACATGCATCACTTTGAAACCTATCTTCTAAATTTTCTTCATCAAGAATTTCGAAACCTTAGATTTCTTTTGCATGTTCGAGAATACTGTTATCATATTTTTCTTGAACATCTGAAGAGGATTGTTCATCAAGCGGTATGATCTTTCTCCAAGATCGTGATAACGGAGACGATTTTACCTTAGACCATATTACTGATGTTCCATATACTGCAATCCAATAACGAATATTGCTTCCAAAAATTTGGTAGTGTTATAACTTCATGAATCAAATTTTTTTAATCTTGAAAATGTTTCTCTTTATATTTTTTGTTTGACTCCGGAATGAGCACGGATAATCGAGAGTGTACTGTACCAATAGTTTCGCCTGTATATTAAGGTTTGCCTATAATATTTCACTCAAAATATCTATTTTAGAATTAGTTGAAAATAAAAATTTTTGTTTAGAAAGGAGGTTATGAGGTTTACCAAACGGTTTTGAGGACAAACATTAGTTAATTTAGTGTTCTATTTCAAGAAGAACTAATACTTGATTTATCAATAACTTTCATTCATGAGTTGCTATAACAAAACAACTTTTCATGGCCAAACATTAACCTTGGAGGTCAGTTTCAAAAAGCTTGCTTAATTTTTTATTGGCATTAACTTTTCCCTCCTGGTGATGTGAGTTGTAAGAAGCTAAAGCTTTAGCTAAATAAATGTTTTTTGGAGTATGGGATTAAAAGAAAATTGTTGGTCTGCTAACCATTTTCTACCATGGCCACACCATAACTAATTCAAATTTCAGATTAAAAAAAAAAATAAAAAAAAATCGCATTTTGAGATTTTAGTTTTAGAAGATTTCAGCCTAAAGAACATCTTCAGATGATTTTGTTTATTTACAATAACCTTTTAATTAGTTAACATTTGAAGGTAAAATTCAAAAGTTAAAATCCAACTAAAAAGCATTTATTGCAGACATGATATAACTGACCCACATCTGGTTGTTGCAAGAATACTTTACATACAACCATTAATGCATATTTTCCCCAAAATACTTAAAGTACCAAACAATATCAGTTTATGTGCAAAAGGTAAGAACACTTTATTGGTGCAAAACATGGGTTGACTATTATAAATAAACTGATTTGATTTGAGTCAAAATTATATTTTGAGAGAAATTTAAAAAAGATTGCAATCAGATGCAACTAGAAAAATAATTAATTCAAAATCTGTAATAAAACATTTATTCAAAAATAAATACACTATTTACACGAAAAGTAGTACTCCAACATAACATACTTTAATATTTTTTCCCCTATGACTCAGATGACGATGATAACATTTTCATGAAAGACAGAGAACGAGTGAATTAAAATACAGCACTCATGGCATAGTTTCCAATGCATAAAATATAGTTCATTTTCTCCTGCAAAGATTCCCACACTTTAGAAGATTCAGAAATTTCTTTCAAAATTTCCCTTAAGCTGTTTTCTTTTCCAACCATTTCATAGTGAATCTATTAAAAAACATGGGGTTAACAAAATATATTAATTAATAATATAAATTTAAAAAGTTTTTATGAATCACTTGCATAATTATTATCAGAGCCAATAAAAATAATAAAAATAGAGTTAAATCTCAAAAGAGCAGCAACTCTAACACAAGGAGAAAACCCTTGAAAATTTTATATACAAAAAAACTTGATATCAATATATATACTCTACGTGTTTAATATAATTTTTTGAACAAATAGTTATAGTTAAAAAACCTACTAATGAAGAATATCACATCTCAATAGCAACTAATTTAAGAAAAAAAAACTTAGTTCTTATATAAAAAAAGCACGACATTAGATTTTAAAATCAAGTGAATCTGAATCGCAACATTAGATTTTAAAAGGAGGTAAAACAAATTTCGATACCGGATTTTTAAATCAAGTAAATACGAATCGGGATGCTTGTTTATTTAAATTGCATGAATACGAATCGCAATATGTGACTTGTTTAATAATACAAGCGTGTGAATAAGAATAGTGACATTGCATTTTAAACTCGCTTGAATATGAATCGCGAAATTGATTTTAAAATGGTGTGAACATGATTCCCAATGTGTAACTCTTAAGCTTTTGAGTTTTCTGATTGACTCATTTCTATCTGAATAGTTCAAAAATGGCTCTCAAAATCTTCCTCGACCACATAACTTTTTTTTAAATCTTTTTATGTTCTTGAGACCAAATCTCAAGTAAATAGCATTTAGTTTCATCAAAGTTTTATATAGTTTGGGTTTCAGATTATGTGTTAATGTTTTAAAATTGAATTATTTTTGCAATGTCAAAAGCTGCAGTTACGTTACATTAAGCCTTTATTTAACTTCTGACATAAAATCATTACTTTCAGTTACAACTAAACATAAGTATTTGAACTTTGCAAATTAATTGATCTTTAGTTTTTTCACTTACCTTTTTACTATTATTTTCTAATTTACAATTACTTTCCATTTGACAGTTAATTTTTATTTAGCTTGCCATTATTGGAATTCATGAAGGCATTGAGCTTGAATAAAAATAATTATTAACTAGCTTAGCTAGAAGTATTATTTAATTGTAGAATTGTTACAAATTCAATTTAAAAAAAAATCATTATAATTCTAACTTTGCTATGAGGTGCATCAAGTTAACATACAACATAAGTTAACATAAACAAAGGCAAACCTTTTTTCTATGTTTCTTCAAAATGCATGAAATTTAAGTATAAGTAAAAGAACTTTGAAGTTTGAAGAACTTTGAACCAAAAAGTGAAACATCATTTGATTGTTATTTTATTTAGTTTATTAGACTGCTAAATTATATCCACCACAAGAGGATATGGTATACTTAATGCCACATAGAAGAAAAGAAAAAACTAGAATCAAGCACAAATAAAACTGCAATAATAGACACACTATATTTAAGGCTCTATAAACAAGAATCTTCGCCAGCATCTTAACTTTATATTTGGTATTTAGACAAAGAGGAAGGTTCTTATAAAACTAAAATTATAGTACAGTAGGGAACCGATTATCCGGAACGATCGGGACCATCGCTATTCCGGATAACTGATTTTTCCGGTTTTCTGAATCGCTACAAAAAGCCGTTTTTGTATTGTTAAACCCAACTAACAAAGAAATTATTTTTGGAAATAATCTTAAAAAGAAGAAAAAACGATGAAGTAATACACTAATGATTATTTCCAAAATGATGGTAAGGTAAACATCTTTCAAAAAAGAAAGAAAAATCCTGAAATCTTATGAGGGAATATTTTTTTTTTTTTTTTTTAAAAATAGTGGGAAAATTTATCGAATTTCGTTCCGGTTTTTTGGTTTTCCGATTTCCGGATAACGGGTTCTGTACTGTATGTTTATTTCTGTACCCTTTTTGGGGTTCATTCAATTTCCTTTGCTTTGTTCTAAGTTATATTATCTTCTAACCTTGTTTGAAATGATATTGTTTTCCTTATATCAGTTATAGTTTGTTACTGTAAAAAATATGAAATGGTTCAAAACATTATTTAAGAAAAGTCTCAAAAGCAAACATTATATATAAAAAAATTAATTATAATAATAATCATCACAAATCAGGAAAAAATTATGATGGAAGCCTAAAATATTTTGTGAAATTAGTTAAGAAAAATATTTTATTCCACTGTCAGACTGGCAAAAAGTTTGCAGTCCATAAGGCACAGGTTTTCAAGGTTTTAAGGCACAGGTATGGGGCCATGACTGCTTGATGTTATAACTATTCCATAACTGCCAACCTTAGGAATAAAAATTTAGGAACACTACATGCGACAAAATTATACGCACCAATCACAAGAGTAAGACAAAAATGTAACTATTAAATAATAACACTAATAGAAATATCATTAAATACCTTATGTAAATTAGTAAAACAAAACTATAAACTCCATCTTTTGTGGGAAATTTATAATATTAATATTATTTTGCAATTAGAAATACCGGTATAATAGTTTAAAAACAACCATTACCTATTATATAATTATTCCTCTCCAAATTATAAAACACAGGTAAATAATAATCTACATCATAAACAAATATTTCCGATGCAGGTGTTTAAATACTTTAATACATTTGTTAAAAAGTAATAATAGTTGCAGTGTTAACAATTTAGTGAAATGATCAGCAACAGCTATTAGAGTAGCACTGTCCAACAAAAAGCTACTAAAAAATACATCTGCAAAATAATCACAGGAAGCGCGCCTGAGGAGATTGGATTAAAAGCAAGGGATTGGTTTAAAAGCAAACATACTGCAGTTTCACGAAAATTCAGATTTGATTAAAAAATTAGGAACCAACAGTTGGCAGCTATGCTATTCAGATATTGACTATCATATGGGTCAAACAGAATACGAAATGCCATTAAGGTTTTTAAACTCTGATAGCTTATTTGTGAGTTTTTTTTTTAAAGTTGTGACAGCTAAACAAAAAAAATTATAATTTTTTTTTAGAGAAAAAAATATTTTTTATCATTTTGCAGAGTATTTTCTTCTAATTACCCACATATGAAGTGAACATTATATATAGTTATAATACTTGCATATTTAGCAGTTAGTGGACCTCAAAATTTTTGACAAAATAGGCAGCCGTTCAACGGGAAAGGTTAGAAACCACTGGCATAAGGAATTAATATTTTTTGCGACATTGAGGTTTAACTGTATAACAGTTTTATATCGTAAATCTAAATATATTCTAAAATAAATTAATTAGCGGCCATGTTTTGCATAAAAAAGCTTAATATTTTACCTGAAGGAATAATGCTGAGTAGGAGTTGGTCAGTTCGAAATCAAAATTTGTTTTAATCATGGCATTAATCATTCTTAGGAAGGATTCCATCAGATGAATAGAACCTCCATTTTCAGGGCTTAAACAACGAATTTCAACATCAATGTTGGAAGGCGATAAAGTTTTAAGCTTATTAAAAACTTCTTTATCTAAAAGAAACAGAGAAAATTAATGAAATTGCATTGAAAACTTTTTGACACTTTTCATAAAATTAAAATTTGTACAGAAATGTTAAGAATATTTAAGATAAATGACTCAGCATATGCTTTGCAAATTTCACATACTTTTTATTTATTCTCTTCATATATTTTGATAATATGAAGAGAGAAAAATCAGGTTCCACGAAATAATATAAATTTCTATTAAGTATTGTATAATATGAAATTTTTTTTAGATATGTTTACAACCAATAATGTAATTATAAATTTGATAATAATATTTTTAATTTATGATAGACACTTAACGGATTTGAATTAAAGTATTTTTAATATGTTTATTTTGAGTTCACAATTTTAAACATATTGAATGCTACAAGTTTGAAATTGTCGATAGCTTCTACTACCGTGGCTAGAAAGTGATGAATCAGAAAAATTAAGATACTGAGATAACTTGACGCATTGCTGCCGTGAATAGTTGTCTTAATGGGTATAGGGATTTTCTAAAATCCAAAGTAGCAAATAAATAAAATCATGTGATATAAAATATATGTGATACATAATAAGACTTTAACTCACATTTGTCTTGCATATTAAGCTATGACAAAACCACTATCTCTGAGCAGGGTTGGCAAGTTTTTGACACATGACGGTTTTTACCGGTTTATATACCATGGTTTTTACCGTCATGTCAAAAAACCCTCTGTCAAAAACCCATAGTTTTGATAAAACTGTATTTTAATTTGAGTTTAACTGCTTATGATTTAAAATTAATTCATTTTTGGGCAATAAAATCAGAAAAAAAGTTGTTAAAAGATATTTAAGAACAGATTTTTGCATTTTTCCAACATGATTATATCAAAACATACTATTTGAAGTAAAATATTAGGATACTAAACAAAATTTTCAACATTTCCAAGCATCATTTTGTTTGGCATATTACATTACTGAAGAATGTCAAGTCATTCCTGACTTAGAGTTTGTTAGTAGTTACAAGTTTTTAAAGTTTTTTTCAGCTTATTTCTAATATTTAAGAAATGCCAAATTTTAAATTCTTCTTTTTAGTTCTTGAATTTATTAATAGTTCCAAGTTTTTTTGTTTGTTTGTTTATTTCTAAAAATTAAGAAGTGCAAAATTTTGTATCCTTTGCAAATCAAGCTATAATGATAAAAGTTAAGTATCACTATTTTTTAATAAGTATGTTACAATATTTCTGTATGAATGTTTATCCTTCAATAAGAATATGTGTATATAGTTGCAAAATCAATAGCAATCATTTACAACATTCATTTATAAAGGCTCTCTGAGGTCATAGTTTTGTGAAAGCTTTTGAGTGCAGGCAATAATACAAATACAAAAAGGAACAGATAAACAATAATGACCAAGACAGGCTGTATAGAAAGGCAGTTACTATGAACCACAATACCAGGAATTCTATAGTTAATCAAACTAAAGTGTTTAAAGATTATTTCTAAATCAACAAAGGAAGAGGTATTTACTTTGTGCTACGTAGAATAAATTAGAATATTCTAAATACACTGGTGTAAGAAATTAAGAGAATTTGCAGACTTGGTCGAATATCTCTACAACTACTGGACCGATTTTAATATGTACATACATTGATACAATACAAAACAAATAATTTATATTAAACAATTGTTTAATATAAATATTTATATTAAACAATAAATTTTTAGTATGCTAAACGCCTTAACAAATATTATTGGAATAAAAGGAAAGATCATAATATAATGAATATGACAAGTTTTTTAAAAGAGAAACTTGTGAAAGAAAAAGTTATAAATTCAACAAATAATATTCATTTTCTGATTCACTAAAAAGTATTCATTAATCAAATAAATGATACATTACAATCAATTGTAATACACATCAGGGTGCGTAGCCAAATCTTTGAATCAAAAATAAGCAATTTTTAAAAACTTTTCAAGCACTTTACAAAAATGTTCAAGCACTCAAAAAATTCATATTCAATCATTGATATCATTGAAAAACAAAATCTTTTTATAAACAGTTTTAGCGTTAAAAAAAAAACCAAAAAGAAACAGACGTAAATCAAAACAATCAGTACTTTCCCACATCATCCAGTGAATTCAACTTGACCCTGAACTCAGAACAAAAGTACCCGAACCCCCTACGTCAAAAAAGTGTTAGAAGTAAAATAAAATAAACAATAATAAAATTAAAATAAATTAAAAAGAAAAACATTTCATAAGGATCTGATATTCTCCATCCGAATTGGAGCACTCGGGTTTCAGTTTCAAGTGTGCGTGCATGCGCAAGTCATAACGTGGGTACGACATGAAGTCAGTGTGGATGATTATGTAGCAAACACCCCATTTTTCGTGAAATGCATGGGATCCACCAGATATCACTGAAGGGGAAAAAAAAGCACTTTTTAAAAACGGCAGCTGAAAAATGCACCTTTAAAAGCTTTTAAAAACGAAATCCCCAAAAAAGCACCTTTAAGTACTTTTTACAAACGCTACGCACCCTGACACATGCATGATCATGCGTAACGCTAGTTGGAGTCGGCAGGTATTAAACAGCGTTTGCAGAATTAAAAAAAAGGAGTCAATAGGGGGTATGGTCCCCTCTTACAGATATACAGGCCTTGCAGCATAATTTCATACTTGGAATAAGGCAGCTTATCATTTCCTGTGGCAATTTCATACCTTCCAACTCCAACGAGTGTTACGCACGATCATGCGTGTGTATCACAATTGTTAAATGGTTATTTATTTTGTATTGTATCAATGTATGTACATATCAAATTTCATAGAAATTGATCCAGTAGTTCTAGAGATAATTGACCAAGTCTACAAATTCTTTTAATTTCTTATACTAATGTATTTTAAAATATTGTTAATTTGATTTAAATTACAAACAAGTTTATTACTAAACTGCAAATATAGTTAAATAATATAATTCTATAGTTTAAAATTAAGGAACAAAAATTTAAAGAATATATATATTTTTTAAAAATTAACAAGTGGCACACTAGATACTTGAAAATTTAACTTGCACTACAATCGAAAAAGGTGTGCCATCTTTGCTCTACATCTTAAGAAAATAATTTGTAGAACATTTTTTAAAATTTAGAATAATAAAATAGTAAATTAAAATAATGACAATATAAATGAAGAGCAACAAGCATTAATATTACTTACATTTCTCTAAATCATCAGCTGTTTCTAGCAAAGTAGAAAATTCTGACTTATGTTGCATTAAACGGAGAATTTTAGAATTATCCTTCTGTGAGATAAAAAGAAATAAATAAAAAAAGGTCAAAGTTATTTTTAAAAGAAAGGAAATAAAAATATAGCAAAACAACAAATTCAATAGTAAAGGTCAAAGAATTTAGTCTTGATTTATAGCTTATAAATAGCAACCATATACAAAATTTAAAAAAAAAAAAAAAAATCAAATAAAGTTTACACACCATAAAAATGCTATAAAAACTAAATAAAATATTAACCAAACAAGAAATTTTAAAGATTTCTATCATTATAAAAACGTTGCATAATAACCACTAATTTAAAGACAACAAATATTTTTTATAACATCTCTAATTTAAGAATATAATAAATATCTAAAAATTAATTTAGAAACAGAAAAAAATCTAATCAAAATAAATAACATTTTTATAAATTTTAAAATTTACTTTTGTTTAGGTACATTTATTTCAGTATTTAGCATTATTATATTTTATCTCAGTAGATTTAGCCTGATAAATTTAGTAAAAAATCGGTTCTAATAGGGATTTTTATGAGAATTTTCTGAATTTTAAAATCTTTCTTAAAATTTACAAAAACTAGCAGAGTTGAAAAAATGGGGAAACTGTCAAAATCTGGAAGTTTACTGGAGAATCCAGTTAAGTTGAAAGCAATGTTTAAAAGCAATGTTAATGTGTTGTTTAAGTTGAAAACAATGTCATAAACAAACCATTAGCTAGAGAAATATAATTTCATTCAACTAAACAAGTACTGAATAGAAATTTCAGTTGACTAACTTATTAAGTAGATCTCAGTTATCTTATTGCACTAAAATGCTACTAGAGGACTAGATATCATATGAACATATAGGTTTTGAATGGGAGAGAACAGCAACACATTTTTTAAACTAGATTGTTTAAAAAATTTGTAGAAATAGTATTTGTTTGAACTAAATTTTTTATTACAATGCTAGAGGACAAACTTTGATATTATAGTATAAACAAAAAATAATTGCTTTTGAATTTATTTCAGCTTTAAAGAGGAGGGAGGACAAACAATTTTTCGAATATAATAAACAATCTAATTTTTTAATGAAATAGAATGATTTAATAAAATTTTCATAAACTTTAAACGAAACAGAACTAAATATTTTAACGTATAATTATATTAAGTTGAGTATAATCAAAGAAACAATTAAAAAAAATTTAAACTTTGGTATACCGTACCAAAAACTCAACACTTATTGGTAAAATAAATTGCGATTAAAGAAAACAAAATATCCTCTATTTTATCAGATCAATAAAAAAAATTTCAAAGTGCAATTGGTCTGAGAAAAAAAAAAAATTTAGCAGACCTATTGACTCTAGTGTGCAAAATTTTTAAAAAGATTTGTATATTAATTTTCTCAGAAATGGCGACCACTGATTTAAAAAAAATAATTTCAAAAAAATTTATTTTTCTATATCTGCTCTAGGTTAGAAGATAGAAAAGTATTGATTGTGAGGTTAAATGCAATTGTCAACAATTTACCACTACTATACGACTCTTAACTGCAAGTTAAAAATTTTCACTAAAACAAAAACTGCAGCATTAAAAAAAGAAAAGAAGAAAGTTAAGTATTTAATACGAATAAAAAGTGCTATAAAATTAAAGGCATGGAAAACTCATCTATGTAATTAATAACAAAGACACATTTATGCATACAAGAAGTAGAGAAAGTAACTTACCTCCTTTTTATCTTTATCATCAACTAGAAATGTTGGATTCAAACCTGATACAACTGGTAGAAAAAACGGTGCATTTTTGGGAATTTGAATGGGCTCTTTTGGTTTGTTTCGACGCTATTAAAAAGAAAAATTTTACACAATGAGGAGAGTTATCTAAGGATAAGATTTATGTCATTTACAGAATGAATGGAGCATTTCACAAGATAAAAGAGGCATTCTTTTAAAACTATTGTTTCTGACAGAAATTTTCCCCAAAAGTAACATTGTAAAACATTAAATTAACACAAATATAAAAAAAATTAATTTAAGTAAATATATTTCAATATCAGTCTAAAACAGTTTTTCCTGTTCTCTAATACAGTTGTTCTATACTGTATCAGTCTAATACAGTTTTCCACAGTTTTTCTGTATCTTTACTGTATTACACTGATACAGTTCTAATCAGTCTAATACAGTATTTCTTCTTGCTTAATTTAAAAGAAAATATCCCTACAGCATAAACAGGGGTAACAGTGACATAAAGAGAAAAACCCTGAAAATTTTATATCAAGATATCAATTTGTATACATGTTTCATAGTTAACATAATTTTTTGAAAATAAGATTTACAATTAAATTACCTACAAATTATAAATATCACACTTTTATAGTAACTAATTTAAGAAAAATCTTAGGTCCTGCAAACACTGCGATGTTGGATTTCTAAAATTCCGCAAATATGAACCTCAATATCGGATTTCAAAATCGCATTAATATGAATCGCAATAATGGATTTTAAAATTGCATGAATATGAGTCGCGACATGCGATTTTTGCGGGATCACTGATAATTTATTTTATGGTGGTTCAAATTACATTTTAATGATCCTGGACTAATGGGCCACTGTTCATTTCGAACATTGACATCTTAAATAAGAAATTCTGATATGTTTAAGATAATATATTGAAAGCAATAATAAGACTCAAACCTTGATAATATCTAGGTCCAAGAGATTTAACCATTGAGAGTTTGGTAACATTGATAAAGTAACAAGATGATCAGAAAATTGGGTAGGTGACATAAATTCTGGATAATCTTCATCCATATCAGTAGAACTACTTTCAACCATTTCAGAGCCTGCAAAGGAATAAATATTGTCAATAAAATCATTTTTATTGATTTACAGTTTATTTCATTTTATAATTTCAAGTTTAAAATTTAGGTTGAAAGAAATTGAAAATCACAGTTTGAAATATACATTTGTGACTTGTTGAAAAAATAGATTTCCATCATATCTCGTTGCTTTAAGTTTTTAAAATAAGTCTCACATATAAACTATAAAAAAGATAGATTTGAATAAATAAATAAAAAAACTTGCATTAATATCAAAAAGATTTCAGAAATTAACAATTGAAAAAGTTGCCTTTTAAATCGTTTTTTTCTCTCCTTTTTTTTGTTATAAACAATTGACTCAGCAAAATTTTGAAAATAATTTTATTCATGAAAAATAAATTAATATAGTAATGAATCAAATATTTCTGAAACAAGCTTAAAAATGAGGGTTACACTAGGCTTTGGTTTTTGATGACTTAAAAAAAATCTCTAAAAACGTTCTGAAATTATATTAGAATTTCAATTTGATAGACAGCACACCAATCAATTAGAAATATTTCCATCAAAAATTTAAATCCAATAACATGCATTTTAAAATATGTATATTAAGAGAAACTGAGATGAAATTTTCATGTGAGCTTGAAACATAACAAATAAATGCTAAAAAGGGAATAAATTAGAAAACCAAAACATGATAATGCATGTAATGTTCATAAATATATTGATGTCTTTTTCCCTTTTTCATAAATGCATATAAATTGAATGTTAAAAAATTTTCAAATAAATTACCCGACACATATAGAAAATTCCATTCAAAAAATAAATATTCTATACAATGAACATCACTAATAATATCACTGGATTATAAAATCAGCTGCTTTTTTAAAAACAAATTTACAAGAACAGAATCATTACAATATCAATACATGCTAAAATTATGATTCTGGTTTTATAAAATAATATTTAATAGGGTGTATGTTTAAAATAGTTTAAAAAAAAAACAAAAACATCTGCTCTTTTTGACTGCATAGTTTGAATTTTTGAAGAATATCTCAAGTTTTGAAAACATATAAATAAGAAATTTCATTTGCCCTCTGTTACAGGTGGGGATAGCTGTTTCTGAGTGAAATAGTAAACTTAATGTTAAAATTTTATAAAACAGGGAGTTTAAAGGAATCAAAACCGCTTATAAATTAAGAAAAGTTATAGAATGCCTATCATCAATCTATGTCAATAATTATTCCTCATTCAATAAAGCAAATCTATTTTCAATAGCTTACAGTAAAGCGCTTGACATTTTAAAAAGTAAGTAGTAAGAAAAGTAAATACCGATAGTTACAAACAATTTCAGAAACTTTCAAACCATTTTGACTTTTGAATTTTTGCTAATCAAACAAATGTGCCAATATTTTATAACCTATATGTAAATTTAAAAAATCTAGCTAATATTTAATTAAAATGTCAAAAGTTGACTCATAAGAAGTAAAATATAAAGCAGTAATTGTTTTTGCTTTAGGTGAATTTGCAAAGTTTAATTTTTAAAATTCTTTTCTCTGAAGTATACAAATTCCAATTTATAAAATTAGAAACTATACAAAATCAAATGTTCTCAGAACAAACATGATTTTAAAAGGCTTCCCTTTAATTTCCCACTCTATTTAATGGAAGAAAAAAATCCTAAAAAAAAAAAAAAAAAAAAAAAAAAAAAAAAAAAAAAAAAAAAAAAAAAAGGGTGAAAAGAATGAAAAAAAAAATTAAAATGTAAACATCACCAAAACCCATGTCTTAGTGATTATAACATATAAAAATATTTCACAAAATAAATTTCGTGTGATTAACAAATGATAAGAAAGAAAAGGAATTTACCATCGATTTCTTGAACATTATTTTGAGGAAGATCAAACAATAAAGGATCATACGAGTCAGGTAATGGGTGAAGGGAAACATTATCAAATAACGTCGAATTAGCCCACAAATATATACCAAGGTTACCAGCATGTGCTGTAGCAAGAAATTCACTTGTTGGTGAAAAAGCGAGACTTACACAAATAGGTGAAACTATGAACCAGTCAATACACCTGAAAGAAACTTATTTTTAAAAATACTTCATTTGAAATTATTCATAAAAATGTTTCATGATCATAGTATTTCAACATTTTATCTCTATTAATTTCTTTACTACAATTTTGACTATTATTTTACTACAATTTAAAAAAGTATTGATTCTTATAATGTCAACTTATGAGTTTGTGAAAAACAACCAAGTTTGTGAAAAACAAACAATGTTTTAAATCAATCAATACTTTCCATTGGGTTTCATCAGAGATGTTAATGATATTTTTTTAAAGCTGCACAAAAGTTAGTGATGTAATTAAATTTAGTGGTAAGTATATTTTATTTATGTTTTTACATATACAAAGTTTTAATCATTTAAAAGCTTCTTTTTAAACCATTTCACTAATTACTCGAGTTTTATTCACTTTTTACGAAGGAAAAACAATTTAAAAACTTGAATAATGTTATTTGTATCGAATATTAAGTATTGGGGTATAGGATAATTAACACGGCCAATCATGGAACTTTTTGGGCTGCACATTCTTGCATGTAGAACTTATATTACTAAAAAAAGTATTTCTAATTTGTTGCTATCAAATTTAACAATGAAGGTTCGAAAAATTTTGAGTTTAAAGTATAATCAAATAATAATTGTTAATAACACTAATGATCAATAAAGATTAAATTTTGATCACAAATATTTATTTCATAATAAAACATAAACAAATAGTAGATTTACCTGCCTGAAGGGATATCCCATGTTTTCACAGAGGAGTCTGATCTTGCAACAATTAACCATCTACAATCATGACTAAATGACTGAAATATCATATTAAATATTCTTAATATACAAACTTATTATTTTCAACAAACTTATTATCTGTATATAAAGTTGGCTAAATTTATTTAAAATAATCTTAAAATGTATAATACATGTATGCAACATAATATTTAATTACATGTATGCAACATAATATATAAAAAACATAGCACTTTAAAACTGAAAATGAAAAAAAAAAAAATTTTTTTTTTTTGGCCAAAAAAAGCAAGAAAGAGAAATTTGGTGAAAAAAACAGGAAAAGCTTCAATTAAGGAAGGAATACACTATACATAGATCAGAAATCCTAAAATCAAAATTCTATTACCATATCAGTGACGCTACCACCATCATCTTCAAAAACCCTAACTATTCTTTTAGATTCAATATCAACAATGATAACTGAAAAACTATCCAGTGCAACAGCAAGCATAGCACTGAAATAAAATGGATTTTATAAGTACCTAATATTAACGAGAACAAATTACATGACAAGATTTAAAGCTTACAGATCATGCAAATTAGCAGTTTGGGCTCCGGGCATTGTAATTAAATATTACTAATACTCTGTCCATACAAGATTAGGCCTTACATAACCTGAATAATATTCTGCCCTCCAACGTAAGAGTTATTTTTACAGGGTAAACATTTAACCACATGTCACATAATAATAATTACAACATTTTAATGTTGAAATAATCTGCCTACACACGTAACAGCCACACACATCACAGCCCATATGCAAGGTTATATAGGAAAAAATATAGCTATTATTTTTTAAAGAATCAAGTTTTAAACAATGAACCATCAGAATAACAAATAAATAATTGAAGAAATGATAATATATAAGACATCAGTTATTAAATGTTTTGTTTCCACAATTCTATATAATGTAAAAATTATAATTAAATAAATATCATCCATATTATAATAAGACTGGACACTTAAATTTGTGTGTTGGTTCAGTTAATTGAACTTTTGTCTGCATTTTGATAAATTTTTAATCAATGCAAATAACTTGCAAAATACTCATTCATAACTGCGAATCACAAGTGGCTTTGCTTTGGAGTAATTAGGCAGGTTTTTTTATGTCCCCTAGTCAATGGCAAACCAGTCATTTTTAACACTGACTAAATACTGCAAATAAGTAAATGAGATGAGGCATTTTAATGCTATAAAATTTATACAATTAACACTTGTTTTTTGTTTTCATTACTACAGTCATAGTGAACCTTCAAGGGACTGCAATTTCGGTTCACTATAATCGGGAGTTCACTATATCCGTTACACAGACAATTTAACTAATGGTTCCAAACTCCTCCCTTTTATTACACATTATTCAAATAAATGACTGAAAAATATTATACAGTTGCAAAATAAAATTAATAATTCTTAGCTGATCAGCAACCCTCAACATCACATATGGAAACACTTCCCGACTCTCAGATTATTTTTTACGAGTTTCTGTTATTCCATTTTTTAAACTGTCTAACCTACCATTCGAGCACATAAAAGTAGTCTCACGAAATCGCTTAACAAATTCATCGACAAATGTCCAGATACTGGAAGATTGCGGCTTCTTTGAATTCTGAACCACTTCAGTAATGCTTCTTCAACATCCTTGTGATCTGTTTTTCTCAACTTTTTTCTGCCATCTAAATTTTTTTTTCATGAGAAGAAATTGTTAATTGCCTATTTTTCCACATGTTACAAACTGTAAATTTGGATAGTTTACATTTGGATAGTCCTCTGACAGAAAATGCATATTGATCCCACTGACACCTTACAGGTGCATCATCTGCCTGGGTTGGAAACATCTGCTTGGTTTGTTTAGGAATGGGAAAGTGAAATAAAAGAAGCAAACAATAAAAAATGCTTATCGCTACATTCCCTTCTATAGCTGGCTTTATAAATCAGTATATGTATTTATTTTGAAGTACAAATTTCGAAATTATTACAAAAAAATTCAGAAAAAAAATCAGTCGAAAGACAGAAAAAAGTTCATTATATCCAACTTCCTCACTTTTTCGGTTCACTATATTCACATAAAATAACATTATTCATGTATAGCAAGGGAAGGGAACGAACATTTCGTTCACTATAAATCGTGTTCACTATAGAGGGGTTTGACTGTATTTTCAAAATTTTTTTTTTATTCACTCTCATCAGGTCATATAATTTTATACAACAAAAAAACAGGAGTTTAGTGAATACTTTTTCAATCATTAATCATCATAATTTGTAATAACTAAATTCAATAAGACAGAAGCACATCAAATATCACTAAAGTGAGCATATAAAGAGGAAAATGAGCAGTGCTTATGCAAAGTGGTAACTTTCTTTTATAGGAGAAAGTAGCTTGTAAATTATAAAAATTAAAAATAATTAAATTTTAGAAAAATATATATCTCAGGGAAGATTAAAAATAATTATGTCAGCATAAAGAGTTAAAAATTTAGATAAATCTAACAATATCTTAAATAATTTGAATGGTCTTAAAGTTGTAGATTTTTCTTAATAAGGCAAATTCACTGAACAAGATAATGCTACATTATGCTTTACTTATTATGATTAAATAAATTTACCTTTCTTTGTGAGATATAATTTTAGCAACACCATAGTTGGTTTCAAGTATTGATAAGAGAGAATGATCTTTGAATTTCCAAAACTTAAGGACTTTATCAGCACCACCAGATACCACAAGTTGATTAAAACCATCAAGAGCAATACCCCTCACACTTTTCTCATGAGCTAAAATTATTAAAATTCAAACAATATAAAAATAGTTATTACAAGTTGTCCAGCAAGAAGACATGTTTAAATTCCCTGTAAATACAGGATTTTCCTTGTATTGTGCAGATATTTAATATTGAATTTTATTGAATAACAAAAAAATACTTGATCATTTAAAATATGTTAATAATCAGAGGAAATAAAATAATATTAATGGGCAGTTTAATAATATAAAATAATCTATAGGTGTTTAAAAATAGTGCAGGTTTTATTCTAGACCTTAAAAAGGGCAGGGCACCAGAAACTGTAAAGGGCATATTCCCCTAAAAAAGAACATCCATTACGAAAAGGAACTTTGGATTTCGCAAAAATCTGCATCGCCTTTAAAAAAACCAAAATATACTAAGTTCTTAGCTTTATCACTACAAAAAAAAAAAAAAAATCTTATTTTCAAAAAGATAGTTTAACTTAATAATTTTGCAGTTAAATAAGCACATTTGATAAACTGGTTTAAATGTTTTGAAAAAGGGTAAGTAACTGTTATAACTGTCGAAAAACAAATCTGAATTTTTCCAAATTCAAGTTTTCATGCACATTTAAAATTTTTTATGGATAGCTACTACACTTTTCTGTTGCCTTTATGGCCATTTTTTTACTTAGATTTCTTGAGTTGAAGCATTAAGATTTTTTGCCTAACTAGAGTTTATTTGCATTCCAGATCATTGAACATTTACAGCATATAAATATACATATCTATTTTACAGTGAGAAAATAAAGGAATTGATCATTTACCAGTATCTTTTCCAAAGGAGCCTCGATATAAACCAGATTGTATATTGAATTTATCTAAGTGACCAGTGTTATAACCAATTAACACAAAATTTCCACAAGAACTGATTGTAAGGCACTGAAAGAGATGAAAATGCCTGTTACTTATCAAAAAAAAAAAAAAAAAAAAAAAAAAAAAAAAAAAAAAAAAATGGAGATGTAAAATTGGTAACTGGTGGAAGGCGGTTAAAGAGATGCAATTTTTTTAGTCTTGAACACTAAAAACAACTAATCACACTATCAAAAATGATATAAATTAGTAGCCAATCTAATACAACGTGGCATGCCTGAATAATACTGGTCGCATGATTTCCAGATTTATGGACAATACTTATACAAATTGTAGACAATACTTATACAAATTTAGACAATACTTAAATAGATAATAGCTCCAAAAATAAGCCCCCTTATAATCTTAGCTATTTATATTAAAAACAAAGACACACACATAAAAATGAAGATGTATAGAAATTAGTTATTAGGTTGATTGGCTAAAGAAATTGTAGCAAATCTACTACAACCATTGGCATACCTGCTGTTGTTTTGAAGATTGATAGACTATACTTATACAATCTTAGTTATTTATATTAAAAACACACACAAATAAAAAAAAAATATGAAGATATATCGAAATTGGTTACAATGCAAAATGGTCATTGACCATTTCATATGTAAACTGAGAAACGGAGAATTATAGAGATATGAATTTCTTAGTCTTTACAAACTCTAATTAAATTGAATATTAAAAACCACTAATCGTGCTATTCAAGATGATTTAACCTTGTAGCCAACCTAAAATAGCCTGAAATTGTTTTTGAGATTGATAAACAATACATAATTTAAGAATACTGTTTTAAAAAAAATTTAATAACTTTTGTACATTTAACATTTCTAAAGGCACACGACTTTAGTTAAATATTAATAAGAAAAAAAATCGAAATTTACAATTAAGTTGAAAACAAAACAGAAATAATAAATAAATAAAATCAATATAAGATTGTCTAAAATAACTTTACTTTTACTGTCTAAAATAGTTTATACTAGCTTATAACTTTAATATTAAGCTTATTTTGATTCTATTTTAACATTATTACTTTCAGATGATGATTAAAAGCATTTCTCAAATACGTTAATACATATTTTTTTTAAAAATTGCAATAAGTTTTATGCATCTCGCAAATTGTTATAATTTCCTGTAACAGAACATTTCAGCAACATTAATTTGCAATTAAAATACAACATTAATTTATTTTCAAATATTTATAATTAAAAAGCTTCTTGAAATTTATTAAGGAAATTTAATGCCTTTCTTTATTGTTATAGGAAACAAACTATTACCAAAGCTTCAACATGTTTCATTCCTTTGAACCGTTCATGCATTGGTTTATGTTCTCCCATACAGCTTCTATCAAAGGACCAAGTTGTTACTATTTTGGAATGGCGGTGAATAGCAGCAACATTATCCCAATCCTTTTCTCTGGTAGTTTCTAAAATAAATTTTTTAAAATAAATAATTCGAACAATTTAGGTAGTTTATAAAGTTTATAATAGGTAGTTTATAAATATAGAGACGTAAAAAAAAATTATAAAATTTTTTTACGGCATTGAAAAAACAATTAAAAAAAAGTTAATCATTAGGTAAAAAAAATTTCAGGCATTAAATAGAGTCACAACTTTAACTAATTTCTTAACTTCTACCATTTTTTTTTTTACTAATTTACTAAGTCTTACATCAATAGCTAAATAGTTGAATGCAATTTTTTTAAATTCCCCATTTTGATTTCTTCTTTTTACAAAATTACACTGCAATTATTTATATTCTTTGAAGACCATACATATACACTATTTCAACAGAATCTGGCTTTGTTGCTCGATGTTCACCTAAACTTAATGGTATCTATAGATCAGGTTTTTACTGTGATGGTGTTCTTGAGGACTCTGCAGCCTCAAAAAGTTTGTAGCTGATATAGCAATTCAAAAAATTTTGAAGCTGAGATGGAAGCTATTTATGAAGCAATCTTTAGATTTCCTTCTATCACAAATTATAAGAAGTTTTATTTTTAAATTCTATTTAATTTTTGGCTCTCACTAAAATACTGGGGCAGGATGACTTTCTAGCCATTGTAGCAGTGTTATCCAAAGAAAAATTTTTAGAGATACTTCTGCACCAATTTTTGAGGAGTAAGTTTCTTAAACAGAGGGTTGAATTTCAAAACAAATTATATTTGTGAATTAATGCCCATTTTATAACCCAGATTATATTACAACTAGGATATAAATTATGCAAAGTAAATGCACTAGAATTATAGCTGAGATATTTTACCAAAGAAAATTACTCCGAAAGATTTTATTCACTACTTATGGAATAAAGTTTCTAAAAAAAAAGTTTACAAAATATATTGAATCTAATTTTATCAAAATATTAAAATAGATCCTATAGATCTATAGTTATCAAAATAGAAAAACTGCAATATTTTCCAGTATTTCTGCAATATATATACATTAACTGAACTTAAACTTTAAATAAACCTAATGCAATGTTATGCATTAGGCTTACTCACAATTTTGTATAGTAAAAGGCATTTAATTCATAAAGATAGATAAAAGATTTCTTAATTTAAAAAGGGAGTTCTGAATAAAAGTTAGCATAACATTTTAGAACAAAAAAAGTCTTAAATTGATATCTATAAATGAGGTTTGCTTCATTATGTATTAGCAACACTTATTTAAATATTCAAGCAAGCAATAATCTGCACAAAAATTCTATTTCAATAGAGATTTTTTAAGGAAACTAACTCAATTTTAGGGAATTTTTTAATATGTACAAAAACCAGGAGAAGTTTTACTAAACCAGTAGGCAACTGGCAAAATCCAGTAGTCCAATGGAAAAACCAGTAGAATTGGCAGCTATGTTTAACATAACATTAAACAAATAAACATTATACTCAAACCATAAAAATAATAATCTGCACAGACCATCTCCCGAAAACTCTCTGAGGTATGTTACAGTTACTAATTTCAGACACCACTTTTTACGACTTTTTTAAAGAACCCTAGCAATGCATAGGTTTTGTTCTACTTTTGACTATTTCCCCTGTACTACAAGGGGCAATATGGATTATAATCATGTACTGTTGTGTTCTTATCTTCATGACACCTTTCTATTACCAACCATTTTCAATTTACAGAATTCTGAGTAGTTTGTGAAAATACATAGTAATTGGACTCTTTCCAGATATAGAATTAAATTATAATATAGTTAAAATTATTGTATAAACATTAAGAGAAGATATTTTTTAAAAATTATATCAAATAATTAAACAGGAGAAGAAAAAATACTTTCTGAAATACAAATTTTTTTGTTTGATAATAAATGTATGAATTTCGGCAAAATAAGTATGCAATAATTTTTATTTATAAGCCATTCTTATCTTGAAGCAACTTAGAATTAAGGGAATTTAATTTTAAAGAACAAGGAATGCACATTCATATATCTAACCAATATTTATCTAACCAACTCATTACCCATTAATTGAAAATGCATTTTGCTAGAACAAAACGCACAATCTGTTAATGCCACGAAAATTCAATCTTTCTTTTTTTTTTTTTATCAGACACAAGAAAAACGATGTTTATTAATTTAATTTTTACAGCAAGTTCTGTTTCACGAGACGAGTTTATGAAATAGAGGTTTTTTTCAGGGGCAAATAATTTTCCGTTACGTAAACTTCTAATAGAAAAAAAATTATAACTACAGACCTGATACAAAATCAATTACAGGCAACATCTTATTGGGATCATTTCTAACTCCCTTCTTTTTTGCTGCTTTTCTGTTGAAAGATGCTTGGCCAAGACTTTTATTTAGATTATCAGCAACAGTAGAGAACGATCTTAAAGTTGAATCTAGACCTATGAAAAAATAGAGAGTATGGGGAATTGGAATTTAATGTAGAGCATAAACTAACATTTTCAACAAATAACACAGCAGAACATATAAGTAATTATCAATTCAACAAAGAAACACATAATCATGCTAAATTTTCATACAAATTTAACAGGGTTCTTGCTAGAAATTTAGCAATATGTGTAAATTGAAATACAACAAAAATACATTTTCAGACTTAAATTCTAATGTTTTAAACTAAAACAGAAGCAACAAGTTTTAACAAGGTTAAATGGTGGTTACCAGCACTTAATATATCTTTTCCATTGGCTCCGTAAAACTGAATCTTAGTAGGAGGGCTACTGTGACCTTCTCTTAATCGTAACAGTCGACCACCTTCATCTGGGAGATCAAATATCCACATCTGCAAAAAAATACAACAGTTATATATAAGAGCTTTGATATAAATATGAGAATTGGAAAAATAGGTGTAAAAAGATACTGTAACAATCAGATAAAAAAAATCTACAACCTAAGATTCAATCACCAGTATTTCATATTAAAAGAAATTTTATTGTTTATAGGAGTTCACTTCAAATGATCCAAATAATTTGCGCAGACGATAATTTAGGTAGGGAAATGAGAAAAAAATAATACCCCGAATACATCTACTTTTTTTCCTATTTTAAAAAAAAGATTTAAATATCTGAACTTAGGGCCGGGACAGCCTGGTTGGTAGGGCACTGGGCCCATGTTGAAGAGATTATGGGTTCGATCCCTGAAAGGTCGAAGACTCCCCATATAGTTAACGGCGACTGATGCATGTTAAATCTGTTGGGTCACTAAGTCCTCCATGCTCCCATAACAAATCAATACCCCTGGGAGTACTGATCCAGGAACTTCCTTGTTTTCTGGACTGGGATCAAAATTACAAGGATACAGAGTTGATCATTGGTAGTCGTAAGCCTAGAATTGAGTCGGCTGTTCGATGGTTACATATAAAAAAATCTGAACTAAAATATAGGGAATTGTGGCTGGCTGAAAAATATGGTACAAATAACAAACATCGAAGTGTAAAAAATAATGAAATTTTGTAAGTAACTAAATCAAACAGCGAACTTAAAGTGTAAGCAAATGTGATCACTAATTCTTATAAAAAAAAAGGGAATTTATTCTAAGAAATCTGGCATGCAGTTTTAGGTAAATTTAATCAGCTGTGTGATACATATCAGACCGTGCTTAATCTTTACCTTCTTAACTAATTTTGACACTGAATAATGTTAAAAAAAATTTCAAATTACTATAAAGAAAAATTTATCACATTAAATCAAACATTTATTTTAATAAGTTATCAAACATAGCAGTTAAAATATATTCAAAGTATTTTGAAATAATGATTATCTTATTTCAAAATACTTTGAATTAAGGATTACTGAATGTTTGTAATGCATACAAATATAACGAGCAACTGAAATAAATTCACAAAAATTTTCTGAAATAAATTAGTGAATTGTTCCTCTAGTGAGCCACGTTAAAAAAAATCAAAACTGCCATCAATCTTTATACTTTGCATTTGGATGAGTGCCCTGTACTATCTGCTTATTTTAGTAGAGTTTTGAAATAATGAAAAGCTCTTAGTCTAATGATGAAGTGACAAAACACCTGGCAATTGATAAATTTAAAATTTTATTTGAATCGATTTTACACAATTATATAAACTGAAGAATAATATTGAAATTAACAAAAAAACACACACACATCACTATGTCTCTAGAACTAATTGCACGAACCAAAATGTAAGAGTTAGTGTTGAAATTTTCTCTATTGTCTTGAAAAATGGTACAGTACAGAACCCGTTATCCGGAAATCTGAAAACCGGAAAACCAAAAAACCGGAACGAAATTCAATGAATTTTCCCGCCATTTTTTAAAAAAAAATTTTTTTTCCTCATAAGATTTTAGAAATTTTCTTTCTTTTTTGAAAGATTTTTACCTTACAATCATTTTGGAAATAATCATTAGTGTATTACTTCATCGTTTTTTCTTCTTTTTAAGATTATATTAAAAAGTTTTTTTTTTAGTTGGGTTTAACAATTAAAAAAAACGACTTTTTGTAGCGATTCAGAAAACCGGAAAAATCAGTTATCCGGAATAGCGATGGTCCCGATCGTTCCGGATAATCGGTTCCCTACTGTATTTTAAATAATAAATTATAAAATATCAAAGAAAATAGTTGAACAGTTTTTGGAAAATCTGATTTTTTCATTATGTTTTCCTAACATAGTAGAGTATAAAAACGATTATACAGACTGGTCATACCCCTTCACCTAAAAATCTGGATAATTTTACATTTAAATAAATAAATAAAACAGTCCAAAACTGACACAAAACTTAGCATCGAATTGCACTTTCTTATAATACATATATAACCAATATAGTTGATGTGCTAATGTCATACATAAGTGTTATGGTGTTTTTGTCTTTCATCATTCATTAAAATTTTTTGATGCAGCAATAGCACACATCTTTTGTTTTTCCATTGGTTGTGGTTTAAAAATACATCTTACACTCACAAAATTAGTAAAAAATTGGACTGTGCACTCTAGCATATGTTTCAAAAGGAAATGAAACTGGAAATGCATTTCTTTGCCCTCTAATTTTAAGAAGAAACTTTTTCCTCTACTGGAGAACTGTTCCTCAGACAGAGAACATAAAATACAGTAGGGAACCGATTATCCGGAACGGTCGGGACCATCGCTATTCTGGATAACTGATTTTTCTGGTTTTCTGAATTGCTACAAAAAGCCGTTTTTTTTTAATTGTTAAACCCAACTAAAAAAAAAAAAAAAAAAATATGGAAANGGAAATAATCTTAAAAATAAGAAAAAACGATGAAGTAATACACTAATGATTATTTCCAAAATGATGGTAAGGTAAACATCTTTAAAAAAAGAAAGAAAAATCGTAAATCTTATGAGAATGCTTTTTTTTTTTTTTTAAAAAAATGGTGAGAAAATTTATGGAATTTTGTTCCGGTTTTTTGGTTTTCCGATTTCCGAATAACGGGTTCTGTACTGTAGAATTATTTTTGTTGTTTTGTTGTTAAATTTCTATTTAGAGAAGTCAAGGTCAATATTAATAATCCAGTCAATTGGACAATTAAACGGCATTCTAGTGGTTAAAAAAATACATCAAGAGGATTAGATGAGCAAAATGTAAAAATATAATGTAGTTGATGCCAGGGATAGAAATTAAGAAAATTTAGTCACTAGCCTGTGATCCCGCCATTTTAAGATATCAGAAGTTGATACACACTGTCATTGGTCGGTTTACTTGCCTAAATTAGATTTCATTTTTAAAAAAGCTGACATAAATTAAATGAAAAAGTACAAAACAGAGAATGTGTAATATTCTCAAGTATGACAAAATATTATATTATATGATCAAAACAGCTTAAAATCTCTTTACATCAATTGCTGGTTTGAGAGACAATTGACAATTAATTTCATGGTGGTTCAAGTTAAATTTTAATGGTTCTGGATCAACTGGCCATTCTTAATTTCAAGCCCTTCATACTTTGCCTTAGGTAAATAATACAACTTATACCTAAGATTAGGCAATCAAACCTTGAAGGTTGCATTACATTATAAATTTGTTCATTAATTATAACTTTAATGGTAATTTTTTTTCCTGCAATGGGTACATTATAGTTATTAATAGTTTTTTAACAGCAAGGACAAAGAAAAAACTTTCAAACCTTTATAGAGTTATCACTCGAAGAAGTGATAAGTAGTGGTTCAAAGGGAAGAAACTTCATTCCAGACACACAACCCCTGTGAGCATCTCTTATTTCACTGTGCAAACGTCTTTTGTCAAGATCCCAAACTGCAATGTGCCCCATTGGACTAGCAGTAGCCATAATTGGTGGCCCATCTAAAATTAGATTAAATCAGGATAATTACACAAAAAATAAAAAAAATAAATAGGAAAAAAAAAACATAAGTAAATTTAGAAATTATATTTTCTATAATTATTGAAATAAAACTAATAATAGCAAACAATAAGTAAAATCTTCTGAAACAACTACAATGCCGATATTTATTATATTTATCGTTTACAGACATTTTATACTTATGAAAACAGTTGAATAATTAAGCAAAGATATGATAAGGACCAGAAGTAAGTGATCTTTTATTTTTAAATAAGATTTATTTTGCTCAAATTATATTACATAGCATAAAAAACATAAAAATTTCAAGAAATGACAATTAAAAAAAGATTAATTTAGTTGTCAATTACAAAATAAAATTAAATTAAAAAAGAAAAAATGTCTATAAAATAAAACAGTTATCTTACTTAGGAACCAATTTTATACCTATGTATTGTAGCTTTATACAAAGGGAAAAGAAAACTGTGGAAACGCTTGAATTTAAACTTAGTAAAACAATATTCAATGACTTATACCATAAGCAAATTGTACAAGGAAAAAAATTCACTGAAAATCACATGTTATAATCAGAAAAAAAGCTTAGATAAATTTATTTGCTTAGTTAACATTTCATAAAATCTCTCTCATTTAACAAAATATATTTATTGTTAGTTAGAATTTAGCAATAAAAACTACCTGTTCGAAAAGATATAGCTGTAACTGCACCCCAGTCTTGTGTGAACTTCATAACAGTTTCATCAACTTTTATATTGTGAACATAGATATCTCCTGATTCTAGACCAATAGCAACAGTATCCAGCTTTGGTGCCTACAAGTGGAACATTACTGCTTCAAATTGCTTTTTTTTGCTGCATATTTATTATATATTTTGTCTGTTTATTATTTTTTTAAAACTTCAAGTTTAGGTGTTAGAAACCGAAAATAAAATTTACTTAGTGAAAGAAACTATCTTATTGGTGGGCTGTATCATAGTTGAAGTTAAATAAGAATCAATGAATAAGTAAAATCAATTAAATGTTAATGAAAACAAAATCTAAAAAATTTAAAACTAATATTCAGTCTTGCTTTTTGTTTCTTGAAAGACCCTCATGAACAAAGAATTAAAATATCATTTGATGTAGACTATTTTTTTACAGTTAAACAAAAAATGCTGTTTTATTTAGATACCTAATATCTTACCTAGTGTACCTAATATCACAGATATATAAAATAACAACTTTTCTAATAATTCTACATAAGGTACCAAAAATATTATTTAAAAAAATTAATTATAATGTATCAAAGAAAATTAAAAAAGAAACATATTAGTTACATTTTTAATTATTTTGTTAAGCAATATTATAACTCTACAGACAATTCTGAGGTCCTTCCAGACTTTTTGTAAAAAGCCCTGTTCTATGAAATATTGTGAATACTGTAAAATAGGGTCATTTCTAACAGAATTCTGTTTTTATGTTTATGCTCAGCAAAAGGTTTATAATACATTAATAAATAAAGTTCAGCTTAAGGGGGGAAAAATCCTTGCCTTTCAATAAGTTGTGGTTTAAAAAAAAAAAAAAAATTAAAGATGCCATCGACACTGATTTTCAAAAGAAGAATTTTGTGAATTTTTAAAATGAAAAATATTATGAAGAATCTTCTTTTAAGACAAAAAAAATAATTCATAAAATGTCAAATTTTCCATTAAAATTATTTATGGCAGGTCCAATTTTCTGGTCAAATAATTTATGAAGAGGTCTGCTTTAACGATGGATGCAGTGGATTCAAATTTCCTCTAAATGGTTATTGGCAATTTCTAATATTATTGTTTATTGATATTAATACTACTATATTACAGTGGGTCATAAAAAAACATATTAGGAAAAACATAAACAACATTAAACCCATATTAGGTATCTACAACCAGAGTATCCATTACCACAATCTTTTTAATGAAATGATAAAAAAATCACATGTTTGCAATACTGGACGTTGTTATTTCTATTTCCCGTAATTTAGAAAAGGGTAACTTAAGACCCTTTAACTTACTTGCTCTAAAACTGTGACTGGAGATCCCCATCCTTCAAATGTGTAAATAAGTTTAGTAGTCCTTAAATTCCAGATCTCAAGCCTACCATCACGGCATCCAATAAGAATTTTATTTAGGTAAGTACTCGGATGAATAATAGCAGAAATTTGGGTATTGCTACCAAAAGGTATTTCCAAACTATTTTCTGAAATTAAAAAAGAAGAAAAAGAATACAGATGTATATAAGTAATAAAACAATAAATGAAGAAGAAAATAGCGTTAAATAGAATTGATAGAGCAAAAAAATTATAACAGGCAAAACCAATATAAAATACCAATAGTTGTTTGGTATTTTACATCGGTTTACCAATAATTTGTTGTTTTTACCATCGCACCTTGCTAATGTCAACTTGAAGAAAAGTTTTGTTCACATTACCAGTTTGATTTTTTTTTCTTCAATAATAATAATTAAAAAAAAAACGTTTAAAATACAGACATTTTAGATTAGATAACTATATGTAACATATTTTTGCATCGAAAATTCCTTTCTTGAATAAGTAGAATTTATATTTTATTTTACACTTAAAATAATAACAAGGAGTAGATGCTGAGTAATGATCGAGACTAAGTAACAGGGTCGAAATCCTATAGAATATAAAAGTCAAGAACTCAAAAATATATATAATTAATAATAATTTATCATTTCCTTACCTTCACTCTTAATATTCCACAAAATTAAAGTGTTATCTTCATAAATTGCAATTAAATGAGGCCCAAAAGGAAGAAGCAAAGAGACATTTTTTTCAGGACCTATGTAAGTATGTTTCAACTGAAAAAAATATGAAATTCTATTACACACAATTTAATATAGCTTAATGAATAACATAAGATTATAAAAATGTGTTTAAACTTCTTCAAAATAAGTTTGTTTCAGATTTTTCCTCTTATACATTGAATAACAAGAGGGAAAATATGCCTGTTAGATTGGAAAGCGATTATGTTAATCCAAGAGAAATAATGCTAGATCATAGTTGGGTTCAAGTACCCAACAAAAATTTCTTTCTGGCACTAAATTTTGTTAGCTGAATATCCAGAACATTCAATTTATAAATTAAAAATCATAGCAATTTCAAATAAATTTATTAAATCTATAATAATCCTTAAATGTTTAAAAAAAACAACTATATATACCTCATTCCCTCTTCGCCATGCATAAATGACGTTCTTACAGGCACTGAAAACAAGATAAGAGTCGGAGGTAAGGTAAGTAATTTCTTCAGAATGTTGCCCACCTATAGAACAAACACAAATAATGTCAAACAAATGAGCAATCAAATAAGGTACTAAATAAGTGATCATACTTTTATTAAAAATATTTTCTAAACATGTTATTCAAATGAATGAAACACTAACACACACATCCTTAGATCCCTAAATAATACAAATAAAATATTAAAAAAAAAAAAGAATAAGAAATTTAATATACTTACTAACACTCAACAAGTTCAACTTGGAACACTAAAAATAAAAGGAAAAATATGAGTAAACATAAATAAAATATAAACAATTTAACTTAAAAACTAGTGTAAATGTAAAAACTACTTCCAGTTTTGCTTGAAATACAATCATTCAAGAAATACTGGGACATGGTAAATAATGAATGTTACTCGGTTCTGGTTACTGCGGGGTGCTAGTCAAATCTTTCAACAAAAAAAGCACCTTTAAAGTACTTTTTAAGCACTAAAAAATATTTATAAGCACTATATACATTAGCAAAATAATTTTCCAATACTTTACATGATCATGATAAAATAACTAGTTTCTGACTAAGAACTCTTTTCTTAATTATATTAGCCACCATAAGAAGATTGAGATATTTTTCAGTTCAATTTCAGAGGGTGGAAAATGAAACCTGAAATTAAGAATATCTTGCAAAATGCAACAGAGTGGCACATGAGAGTGCAAAAATCTCACGGATTCCAGTTCAGTATACGCACATGCGGACCCGCAAGTAATTCATCAAACATGCAAAATGATTGGCGCTTCCACACGCAATGGACTGATGGTACACCGAAATACATTGTGTTCGAATCAATTGTGAAAACGTTGATTACAACAATGCAAAAAACTACACTTTTTGTGTAATATGTGGCAAAAATCGATGTGGTAAAGAAAATATCTCATTTCGAAAAGGGAAAATTCAGTACACTTTTTTTAAAAAAAAAACACAAAATAAAAAAGCACCTTTAAAGGCATTTAAAAAACAAAAATAAGTATCTTTAAGAACTTTTCAAAAATGCTACACACAATGACTGATAAAAATTAGAATAACAAATAAAGATTATAACCAGAGCAAGTCAAAAAGTGATTACTAAAATTCAAAATTCGGACATCAAAATACCTTATTAGTAAATCAGAATTTAAAAACCATATTGAAGTGGCTGATAAATTGATAAACAACTCCCATAAAAATGAGGTGGATTTAAGACAGAAACATAACCAATTGAGTATGGCAAAAAATTATTACTCAAATTTTATATTCATGTGTCACAACTGCATTGTATTAAAAATATCATTTCAAAAATCACATGAACCAAGACGGAAAAACAGTTGAAAATCCAGACTATTAAAAGATACTATCACTTTTTGTTACTGCGCTTTCCTCTAACAACTATTCTTTTTTTTTTTTTAAACTAGCAATATGCTACTTGCAAGGTAGCAGAAACAGAGCCCTTATTAAAGTAGTTTTATAATAGTGTGCAATTTTTTTAAAATTAACTTAAAAAGTTTTATTAGGAAATTCAAATTAATATGAATGGTTTCCAGATGCTGTTCCACAGAACCTTAGAATTCCATTGAGGGTCATACAGATTCCGAGGATGAGAGCTACTTAATTTTTAAATCAGTTATGATTTTTAAAATCTGTAGTTAAACCTATAATGAATTATTAATTTATTATTTCTGCTATTTGTATGAAATTATTTAATTGAGATGCTCACAATCAAGAAATTTTAAAGCTGTTTCTTTTAATGCCAATCAAACGAAAGAATTATGAAAAGAATATATCCATTTATGAAACATTTTAGTAGAATTTCACATTAAATAAAAACAACCAAATGTAATATTGAAAAATGATACTTTAATAAGCAATCTCAATGTTTATTTTTTTAATTTTTTTATTTATTATTTTAATAGACACAATATTTCAGTTAATTATTTTCAATTTATGTATGAGCTAAAATTAAACTAAGAGTTAGACTAGGTACTGCCTAGACCTGCAAAAACAACTCTCTGATGCAAATCCCCAAAAAATAATTTTGTGATTAATTATGATAAAACAATGATAAATAAATTTCATTCTTTATTTATTCACTCAATATTTTCAAAATATTTAATAAAAATAGATCATTGCCTATTTTTAAAGTAATTTATAGTCTTTTGCTAAATATGTTTAAAATTGTTAATAAAATTTAATCATTATATCCCTGGGTTTTGCCAAACGAAGGTTGAACATTTGAGATCCTACATCAAAAAACAATTCAGATTGTTGGGCTAAACTATAGGGACTACATTCTCTTAATTGGCTATATTCTGCTTATTTAAATGGTTAAGAAGCAAATCGCAATTCAAAGTATGTTTATGTGTTTGATTTCCAAGCTAAAAAAATGCTGAACATAGGTATATATCTATATACCTGTTCACTCAAACTATAATGGCTAAGGAGCCAAAGGGTTTTTGAACTGCAAAAATTTAATAAAATATATACTGGTTTGCCCAGGGTTGGTTACAAACGATATTGTTTGAGTTTATCCCTTTTTGCAATTTTTTTTTCAGTCTCTCTTTTTGCAATTTTTTTCTCCACAGTAGGCCACTATCTGTAAGTGCAAAAATTTTTGTATATTTCGACACAGAAATTAATTAGGAAAACTTCCCATTCATATAAAGTACTGCTGATCTCTTGCTTAATAGTAAATTTTTTAAATCAATCATAAGAAATTGATGACTGTTTAAAACAAATTTTTCAACCAATTACTTAAATTATTTAATTGGTTGAGTTTAAGAAACAAACGATTGAAAAAATAAGGAGTCAGTATGATTTTTTGATATTTTTATTACTAAGAGTCAATATTTAAATATTGTGTTTATACTTCTGATTCTGCTTCAGTCTTTCATTGAATCTTGATCCATTCGATTTCAATGAGGTAAAGCATAAAAATCGATACAATGGTTTTATAAATGTATGTTAAAAAAATTGTAAATTTAAAATATATTTTTCGCCTAGGCAAATGTAGTTGGAGCGACAGAACAGATCACGATTCGGAAATATACCCTATGATGAAAATAAAATAATGGAACGGAAAATAAATATTCTATATATTTATGAAAAATAGATATTTAAAATATACTGACTCCATAAGTATGAAAAGATTTGCCGACAGCCGTGACCACAAGACTTTCTTTTCGAGAAGTGATATATCGTAAATTTAAAGGAACATGATTGCTAACAAATCCGAGAGCACGATAACTAATAAAAATTTTGCTAGGTTGAGGCATTTTACTTGTAAATCATGGATAAACTTAAATTAAAGCAATCAAACAATTCGATTCGGATAAACAAAACTAGAAAACTGCACGTGTTGAAGATTTGTTTACTATTTCTTGAGAAAGTTCTTCGCTGCTTACTTTTGTTTGATGCAAGTTTCTAAATGGCATACGAAAAGATTTTAATATTGAAACGCATAGAAATAGGCATACGGAAGCGCTTAAATAAACAAATATTATAGAATGAGCAGCGCGTAAATTTGCTTATACCTCTTTGATAGTTAAAATGTCAAAATAAAAGTTTTCGAGTTTAAATTTCTTGCTTTAAAATTCGTTAAATTTTTTCTGTATACTCTCACCTCTTCTTCAACAGTCTAGTTTTATCACTCCTATTCTTTTTAAATTAGTGAAACTATATAAATTTTTTCTGAAAAAGTTTTCCTTTTGTTGGTGAAATACGAAGAAAGGTATTTTGTTTTTCCTTAGGCTTGAACGGGATGAAATTTCGTTGCTAAATTATTTTGTAAATCTATGGCAAGAACTCTGCTGTTTGTTTTAACCTTTAATCTTTATCTTCTATTTTTTTAAAAAAAAAATATTGTTCTCTCTGTATTTATTTGTGATAGCCATTAGATACGTTTCTTATAACGATCCCTGCTGCTTAAAGAAAAAAAGACGTTAAAACGTGAGGTTGCTTTATCTTGAGTTTACAAAACAATAACAAATATTTACCAAGGGTCATTGAATTTATTTTGACATAAAAATATTTCTTATACTCACTTTCTTCAAAACTTTTAAACTGTAGATCTAAGCATATGACATGCTGATTCTAAACAGCCATTCCCCAGGACCACTTAGACTGAAAACGGGACGTCCTTCCTCTCTCTTTATTTATATAAAACCCAAGATGTTTCACCTCTAATAAATGCTTACAGTAAAAAAGAATAGATGTTTGAATCATTTTTTGGAAATATTCGCTATCCGTTGATTCATTGTTAACAAAATAATATTTCTATAGAAAACTCAAAAATTTTTAACATCTGTTTAAGAGTGGTTTTCTTAAAATGGAAAGTTTAGTTCAGACATTCTAATTGGCATTAAAATATCATTGCATCTATGTAATAGCAAAAATGACTTGTTGTATAAAGTCATTATAATAGAAAGATTTCAGTAGTTGGTTGCTATCATTAAGGAGTGCAGTTTATAATACATACATAAATACTATAAGAAATTTCAAAGTGAATTGATAAAAAATATGTAAAAAGAAATGCAATTCATTAGGGAAGCTGTTTGAAATTTTTTTTGTCATAGAAACCTTTATGATAAATCTTCATATGAATCTGTAAACATATTAATTTGAAAATTTTTCATGTGAAGAAGTAAATTTTTTCATCGTTTTACCAATAATAAATCTTAAAATTAAGTTTTGTGTAAATTAATTACGGGCTCAGGTGCCCTGCATGTCATCTGTGCAAGGTCAAAATTACATGGTGCTCTTGCCATGGTGGTTAAGATAAGGCCCTGATAAACACGGCTGGGTGCCTGGTCGGGGTTGAGTGCTCTGTATTTTAGCCTTCATGAAAAAGGGTTTATCAAGGTGCGGTTTTCGACGTGGATTGTCAAGACAAGAGTGCTTAAAAGAACTTAATTCAGGGTCTGACACAGTATGAAACCTAAATAGTCATAAATGCAATTTATTTTAATCAGGTAAAATGTCATTTGATTCTGAAATAGTTTTAGTTTAGTATGAATTGGAATAGAAAAATTTCTAAATTTTATCAACTTATGTTTTGTTTTGTTATTTTTTTTTTCATTATAACTTTGTTTAAAAGTAGTTTTTGTGAAGCAAAAGTAAAATTAATAAAATATGTTTAATTTGAAAATTACAAAAATACTGAATTATTTAACTGCATAGTTTTAAAAATAATTACTTTATTAAATTGATCTGTGTGAAAAAAATTCTGAATAGCTTTTACTTTGCTAATCACATTTATATAAACTGAAAGCAAATCTTAATTGTTCAATAGCTAAAGTGTACTTTTAATGAGTGCTGAGAATATTTTAAGTTTTGAAATCAGACTCAAAACCATACTTTTTCAGAATAATTTTTTTTATGGATATTCGACCATCTAAATTAGGGGATAACTGCGTTCTGAAAAGTATGTATACCTAATAGTTTTCAATCCTTGGTGATCCCGTAATTTTAGCAATCAAGAGTTTGAGACCCCTTAATGCTAATTTCACTTTTTGCATATACAGTAAAACCTCGCTACAACAATATTTTTGGGTCCAAATAAATATATTGTTGTAGAGGGATATATTGTTACATCGAGGGGCAACATACTTTGGGGACAAAATAGGATTTTTTTAAAATTTTAATGTTGTGTATGTATTAGCTATAAATGTATATATTTTATAAAAAATTAATTTTCAGAGTGTTATTTTATGACGAAATATTAAAAACAATTGAAATAAAATAAGATCGCAAACACACCAGAAAATCGTTTTTATTGAAAATGGAAATTCGATATTTTTATTTGTTTATTCATTATTTATATTTTTTTTTTTTGACAATCAAGTCAACAAACAAAATATGCATTGAGAAATACGAAAACGATTTTTGTTTGTGAATGGTTACACCCACCCTCCATGGAAAAAATTCTTGTTCAGGTATTAATCTGATGCTTGTGGTCATTTGTGATTCATTATCAGCTTTTAGCATGAAGGAAATTAAATCATAGAGGAATGTTATACATTTGGAATCTCTATGGGNGCTGTTAATGGATAAAAATAATGAAATTTTAAATTTACTTACATAATTGATAATGGTGTTGAGCTTTTCAGTGGTTAGTTTGTAGTAATTAAATAATTTAAATCACTTTAATAGTATATTTTAGTTGCAATATTGTTTTTTTTACGATATTATTAAGCATTATTAATATTAGCTTTGCTTGAAAAATGTAGTAAACTCTAATTTAAATATGAAGAAAAAATCTGATTTTCTTTTCTTTAAAAAAAGATCTTTTGAAAACTGAAATATTTTCTAGATGGCTTCATAATATTTATTATCAATTTAAAAAGTCTTACTTAAAACTATGGATTTAAGGCTCTTTCCAAATATTTCCAATTCGTTAATAATTTTCTAAACTATTGTTAAAAGACATTACATAACTTAAGAAAAGATTCTCATATTGTTGCCTGATATTGATTAGTTATCAGTTAGTTGTTAGCATCGACGTTGGTTTATTGAAATTTGCTTTATTATTTTACATCAAATTAAAGAAGAATACAATAAGTTGTTTCCAGTGGAATCTCAAAGCACTATTTTTGATGAACTTGTAAATATGTTTTGCTATTTTTTGTCCTTTGAATTTGTTTGATTTTTTTTCTTTTTTTTTTTTTTAATTAGCTGAATAAAATTGTTTACATAATCAAAATATGTGCTAAACAAACTATGTGAACTTAATGTTACCTTAATTTAAAAGCATTATGAAGCACAGAATTATTCTCATTTTTTTTTTTTTTTAATCATTTTAGATATTTGTGTCATTTGCATTAGTCTATATATGACATGAAATACTGTAAATACCTGTGTGTATAAGTTGACTTCTCAAACCCCTAAAATTTTTTGCAAAACAGGTTGCCTTATGCACCATCAATAAAATTTGACATCCATTATTCATGAAAACTCGCTGCATGATAAACAATGAGATAGATATTAATAACTCTGTATTAATTTTCTGCTTTCAAGAACTACTTTTACTACCCTACAATTTTGTATTCTTCAGTAGTCAACTTAGCACACCCAATTATATCCAAAATTTGCTACCTTGTAATCAAAAATAGAGGGTCTTCTTATACGCCAAGATATACGATATATCAGGGCTAAAAAAAACTCAGAAATTTTACCTGTCCTTGAGGACAACTTGTCCAACAATGTACCCGTACTCCTTTGAAACTAACCCGTAGCTTCTAAATAAATAAAAATCTAATTTTTTCTTATTTATTATAAACATTTATATAAATTGCACAAGGAATTAGTAGTTACTAGGATTACAAATTACTAGGATTACATTATACAGTAATAAAAGAAATACTAGGTTACTAATAGTAACCTAGTATTTCTTTTATGAAATAGTTTATTTCTTTTATGAAATAATTTAAATGACAAGTCAAGTAATCAAGATCAATGATCAAGTTATCTGGAATGTCAATTTATCCTAGGGTACTGAGTTTTTTAAATGGATCAAATATGACGTTTGCCAGTTCCACAATCAAGCCAATGATTTACAGAGGTTTCAGCACAGAAGTCTGAAAGGGGTTTTCCATTTAGGTAGATGTTCATAATTGTTTTTAACGCTTCTTGTTTAAGACCAGTACATTATGTGTTTTTTTGTAAGTGCATTGCTGAAAAGCCCCTTTCAACCGTTGCAGTACTCCCAGACAGAGAAAACATCAATTCCAATAACAAAAATAGAAAATGTACCACGAACATTAACGAGAAAATGGCCGTCCTCGCGGAAGTCACATTCGAGAAATTTGCTGTCCGCAGGGAAGTTTTGACTGCCGAGGACGGGTGGTTTTTCGAGCCCTGATATATATGTAACATAAAAAACTTCTATTAATCTTTTTATGTTAGTTGTTTGCTTTAAAACAACTTCTAATTAATTATTCTAATTGAAAAACTTTCTCATACTTTTAAAAAGCCACATCCTGTTCTTAAATCTATTTTTGGCTCAAGTATACATAATTATAAGTAAAGACATTTTTCCATTAATCTTCGTGGGAATCATTCGACCTATTTCATAAACCAATAGTCATTTTTAAGATTTCCCTCTTTGCCCTAAATAGAGACATTTTCGGTTTTTTTTTTTGCGAGATTTTCCCTACCAGAGAGACTGATTGTCGATGGAGTTAACTTCACTTTTCGCTCGTCATCCATTTGAAAATTATCTAATAAAATAATTTTCCTTTCATAAAAATCCTGTGTCTGTTTTCCTGCTCGGTCCGACTGCATCATTTTACACATATATATAAATTTAGTCATTATTGAAAAATAGAACTTTATGTCATTGGTATTAAGTAAAGGGAAGGGGGGGGGAACTATGATAAAAATATTTAGGATAAATAAAAAAAACTGAGTAACCGCTATTAAAAAAAATGTGGTAAAGATGATTAAAAAAATAAATAAATAAAAGTTTTTTCGTTTATTTAAATTTAGTTGTTGCTTGGTAGTTAGTAGTGTAATTTGCTTATGAGATTTGTTTTTAAGTAAGTTTTTGAGCGTTTTATTTTGAGCGTTATATTTTGTACTGTATTTTCTCTTCCTGGTCTTGGGCAAAACCTTTCAGGTACAGAGAGAGCAATTTAGACACTTGTTGGGCTCTCTCGATAGAAGAGGTTTTGCATTTATGGTTTCCGGAGCTGATACCCCCTGAAGACGTCAGCTTCGGTTGCCGTATTTTTTCATTTTTCATTGTTTCTTTCGTTACACTTTTTTAAGTTAACCTGTTATCTGTTTTACCGTGCTGGAAAAAATGACAATAATAAATAAGAAACGCTCCGTCATAATGCTGCATTGTAATTAGATCAGAAAAGCAGCAAAAACGAAGCAAACTAAAGCAATATCCTCAATTCTTGAAAAAAGCATTGAAAAAATTAGGAAGTAGACTCGTTTGAATATAATTAAAAAAATAAATATCAGCAGTACATAACTTATGGTTCAGTATAAAGTAATCTAGCTCCAATTTTTCCAAATTTCGCTTTTCCATTACATCCCGATTGAAATCATATTAAAAAATAAATCATACTATGTTTCAAACTATATATCATTGCATTAAAATCTGTTCCATATAAGTAAATGTATGATTAAAATTTTTGAAAATGGAATTTAATATTAACTTCTGAAAAACAGATTTATAAATCACAAAATTATTTTCGCAGATTATTATTTTAAAAAATAATAATAATTGTATTCGCAACAGTTTTAAAGTTTTACTTTGTTCATAGTTAACAATCTGAAAAATTCACAAGAATTATAAGATTTTTGAAATCTCATTCCAAAAGTGCTGTAATTTATTTCACACTTAGTAATTGAAACTTATTAACACAATATATTTACAAAGAATTTACAACTATAAAAACCAATAAAAAAAAATCTCATATTAAAATGATTTGTACATTTATCAAAAAATGGTTTATTTAAAAATAGATATTTTGATTTAAATCAATGATTTTATTAAAATTTTTTAATCAGGATTTTAATTATGAACTAAATCAACAAATCCTGATTAAAAACCTATCTGTGTACAATTTGATGGAGAATTAAAAATTAGTTCACATTAAAAGGGATTCATTTTAACAAAGTTCTAAAAAACTAACTGTTTCTGTTGTATCTTTTTTTTTATAGAAAAGACACGTCAACTTCTTTTCAATGGTGCTGCGAACCGTAAAATTGCTGAGAATGGAAATGCTAATGCACAAAATGGATTTCATGAAAACAATAGATCAAAAGGACAAGGTGATAGGCAATTTAAATTTGAAATATTTCTTGCTTGAAACTATATAATTAATATTTATTTGAATGCGTAAAAATTATCAGCATTTTAAAATCAGTGAATAGACCTATATCCTTAACCATGTATATCAGAGCTCTTGCTAAATATTTTGCTACTTTTTTTACTAAGTGTACGGAATGTAAAAATTCAGAATCATTATGAATCATGATTTATACTTAATCATTATGAATCATGATTCATTACTTTGTCTTTAATAGCCCCACTATGGAAAATAATTTTGTTTTACTTTTCCATTATAATTTAAATAAAATGTTCCCAAATTACTTTGCTTTCTTAATGCTATAAGATAAAAAAAATAATAAAGTCTGATATGGTCAGGTGAGTTCAAAATCAAGCTTTCTTTCATAGAAAGCCTGAAAACCAAACCGTTAAATTAATTTTACTGAATTTTTCAATGCATTTTATATGCAATATATTCATATAAATTAAATATGATTCACAACTAATCTATTTTGAATTTTTTGTTACAGTAATGCATTCGAAAGAACATGTTTTAATATACCCACTTTACCTCTTGGTATAGTTCTAAAATTAGTATATATTTCACTAAAAAACATTTGTAAATATTGTTTTAGGAATAAAAATGCTCTAAAATAAATGTATTAGGATTATTCTTCAAAAATAAAGGCTATAAAAGAATTTTTTATCTTATTTTATTTAAATTAAAGAGTTAAATATCCATGACTATTAAAATTAGGTTTCACTCCGGGTGCTGTTTATTTTGTTGATATCTGTATATTATTCAGTATATTTTCTGCACAATTTCATCACAAAACAAGAAAACTGTAATTTTTTTTTAATTACAAAATAAATGAGAGTGTAAAAATTAATATCTACATTGGTAATTTAAAGTGTTTTTAGTGTCTTATAACAGATGTGTATTTTTATTCAATTGAGTTATTTTAAAGGAATTGTTTTATTTTCTATGAAAAAACTGCCATATGAAGGCAGAAACTTGTGTGAAAACTCATCTATATCTTTAAATATGTTCACTAAGTTGTACCATTATGCTATATTGGTAAATTTTTTAACTGTATAATATGTCTGTTACATTGTTATTTACCCCCTATAATGTCTTCTCTTTAAAAAGATAAATTTTTAAAGAAATTTTGTTTGCAGTGTTATAATTACTATGTAGGGCTATGATCAAACAAGTAAGTTATTTTTCAGCTATTTCATTAAAAAATGTAAAGCATTGAATGCTTACAAAAGCTAACACAGAAGTTGAAGCAATATGAAACAGCAGCCTAATCTTTGAGGAGTTCCTTTTCAAAAATAATTAATTCAGCTTTATGGCTTCAATAAAAAACAAAGTTAGCCACATCTTAAAAGTTGTTGAAGCCAGGGCCGGATTTACATATAAGCTAAATAAGCTGTAACTTGGGGCCCCGAGATGACAAGGGCTCCCAGATCATACTTTCCCCCCTCTTTTTTTAAAGTTTTATTCGGAGCTGGGGCTCTCAGAAGCCGAAAATGCATTTTTTTCCTTTTTTACATTGTCGGACATAATAAATATAAATAAATGACTGAATAAAACAAAAAACTTCGTTGTCACTAGTAGGGTACATATCATCTTTCAAGCAATTTGAGTATTAATAAATTATTTATAAATAAAAAATTTTTTAGTTTAAAAGTTAAAGTTTTTTTTTTGCCCCATCGTTCGATCATCAGACTATTTAATATCTGTTTCTAAGGATCAGAATTCCCTTTTATTTTACTTTAAAATTGTACAAATGATATATTTAATGCTTTCATGTGATAATATGCAGCAGTTTTAAACAGCACTTTAAAATATCTAAAAAAGGACAGAAATTGTCAGTTAAAAAAAAATTAACTAATACTTTTGAATAAGAATTTAAATAACTACACACGTTTGTTTTTCTATCTCATTCTATATAGCATTATTTAAAGTAGACAGTTGCGCTTGGGTATGATGATGACGTAATAAAAGAGGCATACAAAAAAAGCAAATTTCATTTCAGTTAAAATCCTCAATATTATATTTTTAAACTCCTCGAAAATGTAGTAAAAGAGGTATACAAATTAACTGTGGTAAACAAATTAATATTAAATAAGAACGAAACAAAAATGATATCGAAAGATGGGGAATCACTAATGAGACCGGGATGAAAGACTTGATTGAATAGTATAACTAGAAGGTGTTTCTAAAATTCTGAAATCTATCAGGCTTTAATTTTTTTTTTTTTTTTTTTTTACTGTCACAAACTTTATCAGTAATTAAAAATAATAAATTCGTTAGATTTCAATATTGGTTCTGTTTTTTCGTTGATTAATTGTTAAACATTAACAGATATTTGTCTTTTAAAACATTTCATTCTATAATAAGATAATTATTCTACAATTGTAATTATCTAAAACTAATAGCTAATTGATATAAAGCTTTGGCGTGTTCCATTGATATGTTGAATGCTGGTTTTGGCGGGATGACCAGGACAGTAGCTCTATCACATCCCAGCCACTATACACCATCAAGAGCAGAGCTGATACTTTAAACTCATATGACATTTATTCTCTCTGATATTTAATAGACCCTTTAATAAATCCTTAAAAATATAAGCCAAAAATTTACATAAATAACGATAATTTTTTTCTTGCACTAAAATTTAACAAATGTACTTAAAATAATTAAAAAGAAAGCAGAAATAATTAAGAAATATTTTCAATATAAACATCAATTAAATAATATCAGCTTACGAAATGTTCTTTTTATTTTTGCAAACAGTATTAACATAACGGCCCTCACCTGTTCCAGGGACTGCTGGATTGGGTTCAAAATGACAAGGCTAAGGTGTTGAATATTAGTAGTAGTCGGAAACTCGAAATTGGGTCGGCTGTGCAATGACTGTTATAAAATAAACTAATAAATTTGGCCGGGATAGCCTGGTTGATAGGGCGTTGGACTCGTGTTCGTGAGAATGGGAGTTTGAATCCAGCCGGCAGAAGAATACCCATGTATAAAATGGTGACTGGTGCATGTTAAATCTGTCGAGGTCACAAAGTCCTCCAAGTTCTCATAACAAATAAATACCTCTGGGTACTAATCTAGCAGTTCCCTTGTCTTCTGGATTGGATTCAAAATGACAAGGCTACGGAGTTGAATATGAGTAGTCGTAAACTCGAAATTGGGTCGGCTGTGCAATGACTTATAAAATAAACTAATAAGTTTGGTTGGGATAGCCTGGTTGATAGGGCGTAAACTCAAAATTGAGTCGGTTGTTTAACGGCGGTTATAAAAAAAATAAAACTAATAATCAAATTGTATTTTCTTGTATTCTTTCTAACTCTTTGAATATTTTCTACGCACATTCAAAATTTCATGTTTCTAAGTCTTATAGATTTTGTAACGTAAAGAAAATACAATTGAAAAAAAAATTCGCGAAAAAATCATTAAAAATTGAAAATAAAATATATTGAAAATGAATCTAAAAAAAAAAAACTCTTAAATATATAGTGGCCTAGAATGCCAAATTTTTACTCTGTGCTTAAAATGTGTTTCTTTTGTAACTTTTTCCCCTCGTTCAAAAAATATGTGCAATAAAAGAAAGGTTCTACATAATAGTCTCATCACAATTAATATATTTAACAATAAAGTAATATTATCAAATTTTTTAATTATATAATGTTAATATTCAACAATAAAAAATAGTGGCAGTTTACTTTAGGTGCATAGAAATGGAATTGAACTTATAAGGGCCCCATCATTTTCAGTAGCTTAGGGCCCCACCAAGCTAAAAATTCGGGCCTGGTTGAAGCAAACTGTCAATAAAAAAAAAGAGCAGAAAAGTCATTAAAGAATATCATATCAGACGATGATAAAGAAATAATTTATTTTAATAGATTTCATTTAAATAGATTGAAAGAATAGTTAAGATTGAATTTTATTGCGCTTAAATTACGCCTATTCAAAGATATATTATAGAAAATTAATTACCATGCAACTTGTCAAGCATTAAATTAAAAAATAAACAGAAATTATGAAAAATAAACATTCTTATGCTCATTATGTGAATGCATTTCCAGGAACTAAGAAGTGGGGAAGATGAGGTGTCAAATGACAAAAAGAGGCTGTGGTGAGTGGGTGGTGAATGATGTAAACTTTTTTGGTGGCCACTTTATTTATTTGACAGGTGGCAACCTCTAATCTTGCCCTTTATGTGGTATCCAGACCTTCTGCTGCATTGTATTTTGTTGTTGTTATTTTTACTGTATGATTAGGCGTGAAACTCTTTTTGCTAAATGAGATAAAAAAATAATTTAATTTACAGAGTATGCAATGGATTTAAATGTTTATATTATATTGATAATAACTAAAGTTGGTAAAATTGAGTGTAAAGGTTAAAATATTTTACTTCAAATTTTGCAAAGAGATTTTTTAAAATTTGTTATTTGTATTTCAGGAATAACTAATGGTTTGAATGGTCATTGTTCGTCACAAAACATGATTGCCTGTGTTTTCTGTGAAAAATGTACTGTTGCCAGTAACTGTAGAACTTGCAGTATTTGTTTTTTGAGTTACTGTCACTTGTGTTCAATTTTGCAGTGAGTAATTTTTCTTTTCTTTTTTGAATTTTTCTAGCAATTACTTCTAAGCAGTGTTATTGAAAACTGAAAAAATCAAATTACAAATTTTTTTATGTGAATTATTTTAATCTTTTAAGAGGTGTCTGGTTTTTGTTATTTTATTTGAAAATCATATGTTTATATATTAGACAGTCGGTACTTAACAAACTTCCATTTTGCGAATTTTTCTATTTTGCGATCTTTTTCAATGTATTTTCTGGGGGAAATGACCTCGAATTGATTTTCGAAGCCACTTAACTTTTAGAGAAAGCGGTAAAATCCCTTTCCCTTTTTGTTCACATTTCAAACGAAAAACTCCGACAAAATTAACAGATTTTATCGGTAGCAATTGAACTTAAGAACACATGTATTAATGTATGTTTAAAATTACCTTTCTAATAAATGCAGCTATAATTATATACATAAATAAAAAAATTTTTTTAGTTAAAAATGTATGTAGCATAATAGTGTGACACTGGATAATGTTCTGTTCTATTCTTGTTTTCCATGCAGATTTCTTTTATGGTTAAGATTTGTAAAATAAATAATAGATACTTATTTACAAGATAAAATGTATCAATTTCTATTTTAATTGTCTCTAGTGTTTATGGATTTAAAACTTGTTATGTGTTTAAGTATTTTGAAAAGTGATTTTCTATTTAACAAATTTTCCATGTAACAAACTTATATAATTTTGTTGTTATATAACCATATAACAACAAAAGGGATAAATATGTAAAAAATACTGTGTGTTCGTTTCTTGTGTTTATGTAATTTATTAGCATGTTTATAAATGACCAGTTGAGGAATTACTGGCTGCATTTTCTGAATTAGCAGTGATTATTAAGCGCAAATATGTTGCCTTTCAGTTCTAAATTTAAGTCTTTTTAATTAATGTAATATTTAGTATTAGAAAAGTAAGACTGTATAAATGTTTAAATATTTTTGTATAATAATGACATGATTTTTATTTTTTAAATTTTTTTTTATAAAGAATGCCTGCTTTATAAACAACTTGTGATTCCTTGTTTAACCAATGTTTGGAACCACAGATTTAGAGAATGAAAGATTTAAATTCTTATTCAATTAATATTATTGTCATAAATTTTTTTTTAAAATTCTTTTTCCAGGTATGGCTCACAGGAAGAAACTGCTGTATGTCTATCATGTCTTCAGTAAAGATAATCATTCACACTTTTAAATATATATTTGTAAATTATGTATAGAGATTTTATGCAAGCAAAATTTTTTCTAGTTCAATGTTAATAATTTATTGTAAATAAACTAATTTTTATAAACAAGTTTATTTAATTTTTTTTAATCCTTTGCTATTTTAGCTAACTGAATGCTGCAGAGAAGAAGGCCTTAAATTGCAAGGTTATTCTTAAGAATAAATTTTTTTTTTTTCATTTAAGAAAATATAATTTCATTACCAAATTTATGTTATCTATTTTTTCTGTTTATTCATATTAATTTTCTTTGACCAAAGATCGAGTTTTGTGCAAAATGCATAAAATTCACTGTCCAAAACTATTCTATAGTATTAAAACTATAGTAAAAAAATATAGGTTTAATATCGGCGGAAATCCTGCAATTTGTATTTTTATGATTCTATGGCTGAGTTATATAGACTGTATGGACAGCCACAGATAGTGCAGGTCATCCGAAGCAATAGATTAAGATGGCTTGGCCATGTCTGGAGAGGTCCAGAAAACAATGCTGTACGAATAGCCACCTTTAAAAATCCTTCTGGATCTTGGGCCAGAGGAAGACCTCCAACTAGATGCTCGATGACACTACTAAAGATCTCAAAGTAATAAAGATTAACAACTGGAAAAAAGTCGCCATGTATAGGAGGCTACACGTGGTTGAGGCAGCCAAGACGCGTAAGGGGCTGTCGTGCTGAAGAAGATGACTGAGTAATAAAATATGTAATGTGAGGAAGATGTATTGTGTAAACTATAATATCTATCTTAACGCTTAATAATTGAATGTATGAGTTCATAGACCATCTCCACCAAAACTGATTTTACAGGAGAGACAAAAGTCTAAATAGTTAAGTATCAGCTCGATATATAGATTTTTTAAATTTAAATATGGCTGATTACAAAATAGTCTATTGCAATTCTGAGATGACTTAACTTTCTAATTTAAAAAAATAATTAGAACTTAGAGATGACCGGTTTTCAAACAAAACCTTAAAACGAATACTTAACATTATTTTTAACAAGCCAAAATATTAATAATTTGTAATTTAGAAATTAAATAAACACATTGTTGAAGTCTTAGACTACATATCTATGGATATTTGTGTAGTTTCTGAAATCTTTTGGGTTATGACTATCAGTCCTGGGCAACTTAAAAATTTCTTCATGGGAGGACAAAAACTCATTTGGTTCATATTAATTATTTAAAATTTTTTTGACGTCTGCCATTTTCTTGTGGTTTACAGCAACTTTTCTAAAATATGCTTATTTAACTGGATATAGTGTCACTTTTTACACAGAGTTAATGTTCATTTGAATAAACCACCATGGCAAGGAAATAACTTCACCAGGTGTAGTGCTTTTATAAGTAAAATTTCTCCTTTCTTGCTTTTCCATTGGAGCATTTTGATAAAACATTTTTCTAATAATGCTCCCGCCACCAGCTTTTGAAGTCAAGTATATTATTTGCAGTCACCTCCTTGTAGTCACCTTTACAGTTCATAGTATTTCATTTTCTCCCTCTTTATTTTCTTGCATATACCATCAGAGGAACTACCCTGTGATTCACTTATTGTGTGTTGAAACGCAACAACAAAATAACAAGCCTAAATTAAATAATTAATTGTTAGGTTATACAAACAATTTCAAAGGCAACAATGGCAGCCGTCATAGCAGTATTTTTCAACTTTGTTTCGTGAACAGTTTATCTTCAGGATAAGGCATGTTTTCAAACTAAATTGATATTTCACTGCACAAAATATTTTATACGGAGTAGGAAAATGTTAATTTCTTATATCTCAGCTAAACTTGGGAAAGCAAGAATTTCAGTTTTGAAAAAATAGAGAAGAGATGACTGGTTTTCAGATGCATGGATTCAATTAGTGTGTATATCAGTCAAAAATTCTCAATTCATTGTTATTTTTCAAAATGGAGAATATAGAAAAAGTGTATTTTTACTGATAACAGGTCTTGGTTCAAGACCTAATATCTGGAAAAATCAATTTTTTATATACAAAACTTCTTAACTTCACAAAAGTTAAAATGTTTTTTTTTTTGGAAAAGAGAAAAAGCTTTAAGTATATAACGGACATCTTTCTATGGGAACGCCTATTTATACTGTAAAGGGAAAAAGTTTTCTCTAAGGAATTAAGATAAAAGAACAACCTAATAAAGGTACTTTTTAAATTCTCCAGGATTTATTAACTTTCCCAAATAATTTAAGCCTTTGCACTCAGGGTTCTTTAGATGGTTATAAAATGACTAACTGAATTTTTCACGATATAACTCAATAATTACAATCTTACCATATAATACCTGGGAAATATCAAAGTTTTGAAATGTAAAAATGTTGACATTTAGAGTGGTAGGTATTTTATAAGTGACATTGGTAACTAAGAGGTATCTTTCGCGTGTAAAGGATTAACACAAGGAAAGGGAGCGCTCTATCCGGAGCCATCACAGCTCATTAAAAGGAATTTGTTAAAATTATGCGAAATTTAATGTGTGTAAAATTAAAATATTTATAATAATTCATTAAAAACATAGTCAGAAATAAAAACAAAAGAAAAATTTATTTCCTAAAGGTTATAATACATTACAATTTATAGGTGGTTTACATTATAACTATAATTTCTTTCTACATACATTTAGCATACAATTTATTAGCCAAAATTCATTAAAATTCTCAAATCTGTGATTAATACTGAAAATAAAAGTAGGAATGTAAATAATACATTGTATCAATACATAAATATCACCAAATTTTAAAAACAAATGCATAAAATAGGGCATAATTTATTAATAAATAACATATTAAAAAATTTATTTCAGATTCAACATCTAAGAGGATTGTAAAAACAAAGAATAAGTTTTGATTTTGAAAAATGACTAGAAAAGATAATTATGTGTCATGATATTACATTAAAATATGGCAACTGTATAAAAATTATCTTAAAAAGTAAGATTCTAAATTCTTCAATAATTGAGCTGCTAAAAAAAGTAAACATTATAAAAATATTTAAATGCTGCCCTTGTAACAAAATTTGAACAATACAAACACTAAAAATGCTACCAGTGTTTAAAACTGAATTCCGAAGCTTAACATGTTTATTGATTTGATCTGTTAGAAATTAAAAAGAAAAAAAAAATTTTTTTTCGGTTTAAAAAAATGCTTAATGAATAAAAATGCCTAAATAATTATAAAAAACTGAATGTAAAATTTAGATTGTTTTAAGTTAAAAAACCATCATTTAGAACCAATTAATTAGTTTTTTTTTAGCGGTTTTACATATGATAGATCTAAAAAGAAAATTATTTTATGTTTAGTAAGAAACTGGAACACAAACAAGAGTTTATGAAGGAAGAGCTTCAGAGCAAAAATAAAAAAAATTTTAAGTATATAAATAATTACAATAATTTATATCATTGTACAAATTTAAGCTACTAATGATTTAACCAGAGGCATTTGAAACCATTTTACTGACACTATGGATGATTAACTGCTTAATATACTGATTATATGATTAAAAATGCAACTAAATAATATAAAAATTATATTCAAATAAAAATTTCATTCACTGCAATCAGTCTTTACTTATAAGTTTTCTAGTTATTGTCTTGTCTATTTTTATTTAAAGACACCACACATTGTAAGCCGAATTATAGAATTTCAATAGCAAAATTCAATAAAGTTATCACTGTTTTTGCTATTTAAATTTAACATCCTTAATTAACTTGATTTCTCGAAATGGATCAGAATGAGTATAAGACACTATGTGTGTACTACTTGCACTAACAACATTATGATTTAATTTTTTTATAGTTATTATTCATTTGAAAAGAAAAATAATAATGATATTATGACACATAAGTACCAATGCTTCACAAACGTATATATTTATAGCTCTTATATTCAAGCTAACAAAATGGCATAAAATGAAAGAGTAAGAAAAAATATCTATAAATATATAGAAACAAATGTAAATAATTTGCTTCTTATCACTCTATCAAAATGGTTTTTAAATCAAAAACAGGCAAGTAATAAAATTTACAAACGGTAACATTAAAAAAAATAACTCTTGTAACACATCTAAAAAACTATGAAATGCTGAAACATGAATAAATTATATATTTTTACAAGAAGAGAATAGTTCTCAAATTTCGTTTTGTACGATACTTAGCTATAAAGTAATAATACACATTTAGAACATATGATATATTTATTTGGAATATTGTTAGATAGCACTTTTGCATGCAACTATATATTCTTTGTATTACTTCTACTTCAAAAAATTCAATATAAATGCTTTCATTATCAATCTCTATCACGTTTACACAATAGTTCATCATACTATATGAGGCATTTGCAGTATGAGATGAGAATACATAAATGTATCAAGGCAATGCAACAATTGTGCCAAATTTAATAGTTCAGGCATACTACACATTAAATCCTAACATGTAATTTGTATGAATCTAACAACATTCACAACAGAGTTATATCAAATCCAAAATGGGAAAAGCTAACCCTCAGCACAAACTAGAATCCCCTATATAATTTCTAAGCAATCATTCTTAATTTACTGATTCTTCAGTTATAAATTAAAAACAGAAATTATAAATGTAAACAGAAATGTTTTTCAGCACCATTTTTATTTCAGCGCAAACTAATATTACTAAACTTTTCTTTTTCCCTATCAGACAAGTGCATACATAAGTTTATATCTAAGATTATATTATTTTGTTACAATTTTAGACTGTGCTTTTTTCTTTGTAACATATCCCGTGTATACCAAACATTAAAAGATACTTTTCATTTGGTTAACTAATTTTTGTTGTAAAAATGTTAATAATAAAAGCTATGCATTCAATGAAAACAGTAAAATTTTACGTGTAAATACACAAATTTTGCAATTAGGATAATAAATAAAAATGCACATAAATAACTCAAACAAAAAGATCTTGTTAATTTTTAGAGATAGTGATATTAACCCACTACTTTCTCTTCAATACAATGAAATAGCATGCGGTTTCTAATAGCCATAAGGCTAATCTGTCTCAATGCTCAATGATGAATTAAATTAATGAAAGGATAATTTTCATTTAATAAAGCCCCTTTTAGTATTTAAATAAGAAGGAATAATAGGTGGTGTATGTCAGTTTTTTGTGATCATACGCAACAATCAGACTCTGTATGCAGCAACTGTAATATGTTTATCTCTAATTATTGCACCTAAATTAGTTGAATATATTACATACGACATCATAGGCAGTTGGAAATAGTTGTACAAGTTTTTAACAGAACTTCTACAAACAAAACATTTATTTTGATTGATATATATATCGAGAGAATGATTTTCGCAACAAATGAGATCTGACTTTGCATTATACAGCAGATCATACTAAACACCGTTTTTAGAAATGAATTAAAATAACATACATTAGATATAAAAGTGTTTTGGACAATGGGCTTTTACAACATCTTCCAAACAATAAACTAGGATAAACCCTTAAAACTGGCATCCTTTTTCTTTCCAAATATAATTCTTATATATGTGTGTGCTAGAAAAAGAAGAATTGTAGGAACAGCCCATTATTTCGATTAAAAATTATTATATAAAAAGACATAATTTTTTTTGAGTTTCTCAAATAAAAGAATTTGATAAATTCAAAAATACATCAACATTCATCTATATTTTTAATTGAATAAAATACGGTGGAAACCAGTTATCAATACTGATATTTCATAAACATACTTGTGCACTTTAATAAAAAAAAATTCATAAATTGTTATCGATAAAAGTATTTCCATGCATTCAGAAATAAATATCCCAAATGATTAGCCTTTCATCTATTTCTACCACACTAGAGGAAATAAAAAATACTTATGGTTCAAGATTACTTATGATATGAAGTAATATATAACAACATTAAGAGGAAATTACAGCTTTTTCCATGTTAGATTTACTGTTTTTTTTTAATTATTTTTTGTTAAGTCTACATTTCACATATATAGAGATTATATATACATTTAAATGAGTGATGCCACCACAATAACCTAGTTTTTCATTCACCCATTACAGTCAATTAAACTAGTGATTTGATTGTTATTTACATTTCTGATAACTTAAAGCTACTAAAAAAAGTCAAGGGTTGATTTATATGGGTATTAAGGACCAATAAATAAATAAACTACTGGAATGTAATAAAAATTAGATATGTCATCCAGTGCAGTATAATTTTTTTTGCTAGTTCAAGCAATTTAGATTTAATTTTTATATATTTAATAAAAAAACACTAGCAAATAACATGAAATATACTTTTCTTTGATTAAATATATGACTTAAATGAATATTTCATATAGGTAAGTCTCACATAGACGATTTTAATTTTTTTTACAGTGTTTTGATTTTATAAGTGATACATGTATATGCACATTCATAGCAGTATCATTTAGAATTTGCTTGGAATTTATTCGGAAAGTGTTAAAACGTCAAAAGAGGCATAACAAGATCTTAATATTAGATCACACCCACTGCTTTCTAAGTTATTAGTACACATACTATATAAAGGCATTTATTTATGAACACATCTTGAAAATTACAATAAATAAAAAAAATTCACTGTTAATGTATTAGTGATTCTATATATATAGTTAAAAGATATACTTCATGGATAAATCATCTGCAAATACATTAAGTAGACATTAATATCACACTGACAATATTTAAAAAATTGGGAAAAAGTAGAATTGAAGTAAATACATAAACATTGTCTTTACCAATATATGTACTATTAAATAGTTTAAGCAATTATGCATGCCAACATTCATATCAGTTACATACAGATGATAATTCAATTTTTTTTTTAAATTGTAAAACTTATGAAATGCATACATTTTGGACAAATAACTCTCAAGAGATTGAAATAGTAGTTACTGAAATATATTTAGATGAGAGCGAGAAGACTTTCATCTAAGTTCCTTTTTTATCTGACCAGAAAAAGTTACAAGAATTGTATTGAAATGCCAATATTAATAATGCAATATAGGCTTGGTAGAATTCATATGGTGAAATAACTATTACATACCTACGAAGCTCATGTAACTTTATTGATGCAAGCAATTGAAAAATTATATTAATTGAAACATAACAGTACAAAAAAGGTAGAATAAATATTATAGTACCTAACTAATAAAACAAACATTTTCAACAATTCATCTATATAAAATATGTAGTAAATTTATTACTAACGAGTTACCAATTATTTTGTGTTAATAAAAACTGGGATTCTACTAGAAGAACAAAATGAAATAACAATTCAAAAAGTTTTAAAAAAATTAATAAACCTATGTTCTTAATTTTGTTCAAAAGTATCTGAACCCTAGCAATAGGTCAATTGTAGTGCATCAATGATAGAGACTATCGCTGTGGGCTATCAGCTCTTTTCCTTCTTGCTGTTTTTCAAGCCATATTTTTCATATTTAGCATCCATTTTTGACCATAAACAATTTAAAGATCTACCTTCTGGCAGGCTATATTACTCAGGAGATGAGATCTCTGTAGGTGTTCCAATGCATCCAATTCAGAATGCAGGATGTTAATTTATTTGTTAATTGAATGTTAATTTATTTGTGGTCAAGAACCCATGATAAATTATAGGTGGTACAGGGCAAAATTTTTAACAGTGGTCACTTTTTTAAAAGTTGAAAGCTTTAAACGATTAAATAAACTTATTAATAATGTAAAGTATTACTCTTGAAACCTTTTTACAAAGTTCATTTCTATAAAAAATTTTTTTTTTTAAAAAAGAAACAAGCATGAAATAAGTAGTTTTCAATGAAATATTCATAATAATTATATATTTATTATAAAAAAATATTATAAAATGCCCATTGGGTACATTTTTGCAAAAAATAGTGGAGATTGGGTTGTGACTGGCAGACAATTTTTTAATCCCCAATTGTTACATTTAGTTGCCCTGTGGCCGCATCGACTGTTAATTTTGCCCTATAGTACATGGCCTAATAAATGGTAAGATAGAAAGAGCTTGCAGTTCACGACCTAAAAAAAATATTTGAAACAAATTTGTAAAGAATGACAAACAAATTTTATTATTGTTTTAGATAATGTAAATATCTAAAGATTTGAAAAACCAACTAAACATGAAGTGTACCTTAGCACAAGGTAAATGCCCTATACATTTAAGATTCCTCTAATTGAATGGTTGTCGACTAAGATATCAATGTGAATCCTACCAAGCCTTATATCAAATACTTAAAAAAAGAAGGAACACTGTATGGTAATGAAAAATATATCTTGATCAAATTGCTTAACATTGACATCCTGCAGTGGGAGGAGCAGGATTTTCTGTAAGACGAGTGCCTTTGGAAGCATTTATGAGGTTAGGATCAGAGTCGAGACTCTCAGACATCTTATCACAGATGATATCCACAAGACGCTCAAATACGGCTTTCACATTAATGTTCTCTTTTGCAGATGTTTCGAAGAATTCCAACCCCAACTGCTCGGCCAATTGTCGCCCACGCTCAGCTGAAACTACACGTTCATCTTCCATGTCACACTTATTGCCAACAAGAACAACTTGAGCATTGTCCCAGGAATAAGTTTTTATTTGTGTAACCCTAGAAAACAAATAGATAGTTAAAGCAGAACTAAAAATGAACTTAGTTCGATAAATTAAAATCTGATTAGGATCACATAACCTAAAAGATAATTATCAGTTATCTTTTAGGCTAACACCCATTTAATGTCAATCAGAAATTATATGCTCACTTGGTTTTTGTTTCTGCTACTTTTTCATAATTGTGATTATTAGAAATTTTCAATAATTTTAGCTTTCATTTTGTACTTTTAATGTTTAATACAATAATCTGCTTGTGTTAAATATGTAATATATAACCTATTTACTAAAACATGACTAAATTTATATTTACAATAAACTGAATAGATTATAAGTTAACAAAAATTTAATTACTTTTATTGTTTGATATAATAACCCACTTATGTTAAATATTTAACCTATTTACTGAAACATGATAAAATTTCAACTTACAATTAACTGGAATGATTACAGTTAACAAAAGCTCGCTTGTTATATTTGTTTCAAAAATTTATTCCATGAATTTTTAAATAATTCTTTAAACATAATAGAAATAGATGAATAGTTTATTTAAAATGTGTATGGAAAAGTTAAATTTTTGTTACTGGTGCTGTGGGCCATTGACAAAATTTCTTTATTTCTGCCAGAGAAGAAGGAAAAAAAATATATAAATCAAAATAAAAAATAAAAAAAATTTTTTTTTTACTTAATAATAAAAATAAAATTTTTAAATTTTTTTTTTAATTTGCACAGTTGCCACAGAAAAAAATTAACAAAATAGTTACTTTTAGTAGCCTAAAACATGAAAATAGTTGCCAAAAATTATGAAAATAGTTGCCTAAATAAGAACAAAAATTTTTCAATATGACTAAAAGTCTATTAAATGACTTAATTGTTACATCCCATGATCCATTTAGTCAAGTTGGTGTCAAATATATTAATTTTTATATAAATGTTAGTGTTCTAGCACTATATTTTTATATCAAAGCAGAAAACTATCTTCATGCAGAAAACAGTTTTTATTTTTATACTATGCAGAAAATTAAATACCTTTAATTATTAGAACTCATTCAAAAAATACTTTTTCATTAAAAAAACAAACTTTGTCTAAAAATTTTTTTCCCTTTTATAAATAATTGATTTAGCAAATTTATATATATAGTGAAACGTGATTACTCAAATTCAAAATTCACGCATCATAATATTGTATTAAAAATTGGGTTCTTTAAAATCATACAGAATTTCACAGCAATAACAGTTGAAAAGGCGATTGAGAAACAAAATAAATTTACATTGGAATCTGTGCAAATTGAGAGCATTAAAAAGTAATGACTAATAAATAATTTCTAAACCAATTTAGAAGCAAAATCACTATTGAGATACTTTTAAAGCAAAAAGTGGCTAGAGGAAAGGAAAAAGTGGGAACCAATAAATTTATCTCTAGTGGCCACCAGATATATTTTTCAGTCTTATCCTTAATCAGCTAAAACTACTACATAAGAGTTCAATAGACAATGAAATAACTTCTTCATCTTTACAAGTATCACATATTCAATGAAGTTGCATGTTAGCTTCTGTTCTTACTAAGTATTTAATTAAAAAGCAGCAACACCTGCAGAATTCATAGAGCTGTACTGATACTGTTAGTTGCCCTTTAGTCATTTTTCATAGGGGAATCAGGAAAAGACAAAGCTTGAAAGAAAAGCTTACTTCTTTCATCTTTAAGCTGACATGTTTTCAAAATGATAAAACACATAAAAAAGTTTCAATTTTTATTGCTAAAAATCTGCAAAAAGGTGACAAATTTTAAAAAGAAAACGTGACCCCTCTTTAAAAAAGGTGACACAATCTCTATGTAAGACCTATTCAACCACACAGAACTTATCAAAAAATCAATTCATTTTTTGCATTTTCTAAAAGCTTAGTATGAAAATAATACATTGAAATGATTTTTCTAAATTCCAACTTTTGAAGAAGTTCAGTTATCAACATAGAATTGTGCAGCACAAATTCTAATTATTTTTTTAAACATTTTTTAAACTTATCTTATTGGTTCCAGATAAATAACTGAAATATAAAAACAGAATAAATGTGCCCATATTTTATTGCTCTCCAGATATAATTACTAATACAGTAGGGAATCGATTATCTGGAACGATCGGGACCCTCGCTATTCCGGATAACTGATTTTTCCGGTTTTCTGAATCGCTACAAAAAGCCGTTCTTTTTATTGTTAAACCCAACTAAAAAAATAATTTTTTTTGGAAATAATGTTAAAAAGAAGAAAAAACGATGGAGTAGTACATTAATGATTATTTCCAAAATGATGGTAAGGTATCTTTCAAAAAAGAAAGAAAAATCCTAGGAGGAAAAAAAATTTTTTTTTTTAAAAAATGGCGGGAAAATTTATCGAATTTCGTTCCGGTTTTTTGGTTTTCCGGTTTTCTGATTTCCGGATAACGGGTTCTGTACTGTATCTCTTTTTCCTCATTGTAGCAACACATGTTTTAAAAATTGAGAATTCAAATTAATCAAGGGAATAAATCTAGTATGCTTACACAGCAAAAGATTGTTTTTAAGTTGAAACCTTGAATAAATATTTTCATTCAATAATTTGAATATTAAAAGTGTCTCTCTTGAAATATTAAGATAGGAAACTAAATACGCTAAAATGCAGGTATTAGATAGATTTTAGGGTAATACTCAGATATTTTTCATATCATTATGCTGAAAAAGTTCTTAATCTGATTATAAAAGCAAAAGTTATTCAGCAATACAACTTAAGATATTTATTAATAAGAGAACTATATATGTTGAAAATTTTAATAGGATCACACAGCAGCAAGATTTTTAAAAAAATAATTTGCCAGGAAAATTTAAGTGCTTACAATTAAATTAACATTAAAAATAATGGAAATGATAGAAAATATATAACTACATTTTTTATATATCAGTTCCTTGTTCCCTCAATTTGTATTTTTAAATCTTATTTTACATTTTATGCTTCAATTTTAAAAGCATAATATGTATCAAATTTTTTTTTCCTACTTACCAGTCCTGGACACTATTGAAAGATTCTTCATTAGTAACATCATACATCAGAATAAAGCCCATTGCACCTCTGTAATAAGCTGTAGTAATAGTTCTATATCGTTCTTGTCCAGCCGTATCCTACAAATAAAAAAATGTGAAAGAAAAATATTTTCAACAAAAAGAAAGTCATACAATCTATCAATTTTCAATCAATGACGTATCACCCAAAAGAAGATTTTAAGTGATTAAGATTTAAGATTCTATCTCTTAAAACTTAACCGTTGGTGACAAATCCAGAAATTTGAGTAGTAACTAGATTCAAAGGGAGATTTTTTAGACAGTGATCCCAAAAATTATTCAACTATTTCATTCGGCCTGTTTCAGAGGAACAAAATGTCCGTCAAAAACAGAAAAACTAATTTTTTTGAAAAGGTTTAGAATTATAATTTGTTAAAATTAAAACTGCAGGTTTTTTTTTGAAATGCACAAATCATTTTAAAGATAGCATCTCCAGTGTGGCGCCGTACTCCAACCCATCAGTAGTATGCTGAAAATGATCAGTAGTACCGCCCTGGCCTATCATTAACATGCTGCGGTCAAAGGCACTGGCAGAATAATATAAAAGGGAGTGCAACCCTCTAACAAACTACCCCCCCCCCAAAAAAAATTTTTATTTTTAAATGTTTTGTTATTGCATTTTGTTTTGTTATTACATATACTTCCATCTGTTAATTTTTTTCAAGATACATTTCTTCATTATTAACAAGATATTTAAAAAAAAAAGTACGAATCTCTCGTACTTGCAAATTTTGCCACGAGAAACTGTACTGATGGCGCTGGCATAGCTACTGGTTTTGAAACACAAATAACTACAAACAGTAGTTTCGTATACTAACGTGTTTGTGCACACTTAACATTGGTATTTGGTGTGTTGATGAAGTTTTACAGTTGTGAGAAGTCAGTTCGTGTTATACACCTTTGTCAAACTAAATAACTAATAGAAAATATAATATTATTTATATTTTATTAAATGAAATTTAAAAATATAGCTTAGATATCTGCCAAGTTTGAGCATGCTCAGTGTGCATAAGAAAAGAATCAAAGATGACTCAGAATTCATTGAGAAAGTTCAAAACAGATTTGAACAGCAAACAAGACTATTACACTTCTTGTTTGATTAAAAATTGTTTTAATTGTTATGTATCAATTATTTAATTATTTTTTTTGAATAAAAATATTTTTAATAAAATTTTTTAATAACAAAATTGCTTTTCTGTATCGCTTTGTTTTTAAAAAAAGGCAGGGGGGTGCAAATGTACCCTCTTGCACCCCACTGCCGGCGCCCTTGGCCTTTCCAATCGGCCATGGCCAGATTTCGTAGTGGCCATCTTAAGAGTTTAAGGTTTCAAAATGGGGAGAAGACTTTCCAACGTTGTTCCTGCTCACAACCTGCTAGTCCTGATCACCTTTTTTGCCTTGGCGCTTCTTTTAAGCAGCTGCTGGTTGATCGGGACTTTTTGCAGATATATGAGGGACTGACGCGACTGGGCCTTCTGGACCTGGTCTAGGCTTTCCTTCTCCAGAGGGATGTGTAACAACAACAAGATAGCATCTGTGATGTTTGCTAGCTTATTTAATCAATATAAAGAATTTCACTAGAATTTAATAGGTAATTTTATTTATTGTAAAAAAAAATTTTTTTTTTAATGTTTATTTTAAAGATAAATTTCTTAAGATTCTAATTACTTGAGTTTTTTGGTTAGTACAATTTCAAAAGGTTTTTTTCTGATTCTGAATTTTACAGAATTTAATCATTTTTCTGAAACTTGATCTTAATTGCGATGGCATTAAGAGAAATCCTAAAAAAAATCATTTGCAACAAATACCTGTGGAATAAAACAACCAATAATTTAATGCAACAAAAAAATTATTATATATCTATAATATTTTTACCTACCCATATTTGAAGTTTAACACGTTTATCTTGACGGAAAACCGTTTTCACTTTGAAATCGATTCCAACTGTGCTTACAAATGCAGAAGTAAAAGAATCATCAGCATATCGAAATAAAAATGAAGTTTTTCCAACACTGCTGTTGCCAATTATTAAAATTTTGAACATATAATCAAAATTTTGATCAGGTGCATCTTTCTGCTGCGGTTGGCCAGCCATCTAAAAGAAGGAAAGAAAAGCTTAGATATAATCAGTCAGTTCAATAAGAATACTCAGAATTTTCATGCAATTATCTTTAAAATATTTTTAGAACAGTACAAGTATATAAATAAAGATAAAGAGAGAAGAAAAGTTTGAGTCCATGAAAGCTGATTCAGAGAAAAAATAAATTTCAAAGCAGACAAGAAACATTTTCCCAAAGCAGGGTTTATCTTTACTGTGCAATAACTCTCTGGGAAAGGTAATTTTCAACATTACTGATTTGTAAAAACTTAATAATCCCCAAAATACAACAGATAAAACAAACACCATTTAGGTGAAAAATGGACATAAATCATTTTTTCCTCTTGAAGACCGTTTTTTCCTCATAAGTGGCAAATTACATTGACGGACAGTGTTTTAAATGAGTGCCAGGAATACATTTTGGACAGTATTGACGGCTTTTGAGAGAGTCTTTCTTAGATTTAAGAAACTAAGAGAAGTGCCTTTGATCAGAACTGCTACTTTAATTTAATACAATGAAGTAAAATGCCTATCGGAGCAATAACAATAAAAGATTGTGTCAGATAGTACAAAAACTAGTCAGTGTTGGTAAAAAAATAAAGTTCTCTAAAAAACAGAAGCGATATTAAGATACCGCTGAAAGAACAATAATAATCTTTTGTAAATATTTGAACACACAAAAAATTTCAAATAAAATGGAGTAAAAGAAGTCAATTTGTAAGAATGGCAGTACAAGAAATTCCTCATCATTATGCGTAATGATGAACTCTTTCGTGAAAATGAAAAATGTATAATTTTAGATAAATTTACACATAACAATTCAAATTACATACATTGGAGTAAAAAACATCTTATTCTATAAAATACATAATTTTTAAAATATATGAGCAAATTATGATTTTGACAAAATGAAACGAAAATGACCCAGCCCAGGTTTTTAAATCTTAGTCTAAAATTTATTTCATTAATTTACTATTTAATTAGCATAAATTCTTCAATTGTTCTAAGTTTTCTTTTTCTTTCTAAAAAAGATTGCTTTAAAAATAAAATACATGTAACATTTATGGATTAAAACAGATATTCATCACCACTAAAGCTCTTTTGTTTGAAAAAATTAAGGCATTAAGCATCTTTGTCTTTTTATTCATAATTTTTCGTTATTTACTATCTAGTAATTTAAAATAAAATTAAGAGTTATTAATTATGAAAGCTCGAAGTCAACTTTTTACTTTAAGTTTTACGTCAAGTTTTTGCTTTAATCCATTTGCTATTTATAAATGAATTAATAGATAGAAAAATAAGATAATAGATAGTTAAATAGAAACATAAAACTATTTCTTAAAGATGAGATTAATGCAGAATAAAAATCAAATATTAGGTGCAATTACAAAATAAAACTTAAATTATAGACTCCATGATCCCTTAAAATATAAAAGATCAATACTTTAATACTTGATATTTTTTTCTCCAAAATATAGCAATCTACTTTGAAATTTATTTCTATTTATTAATATTTATTCCAATGGTTAATATTAATTAAGCTAACTACATTTCCTTGGCCTTGTATTATAAAAATAAACCCTAAATCTTTATTTTTATGAGATCAGAAGTTAAATTTTTAAATTTGTGGTCAAAAGTTAGAAATATTTTCAAAAATTACTAGCTCTCAACTTATTTTTATTCTTAAGGATTAAATTCAATCAAAATTTTTATACAGATATTAATATCATTTTCATAAAAATTTCTCTGGTATATTGTTTCTCAGAAGCTGAAAACTTAGATTCTCGTAATGATGTTAGTTTTGATAGAAACATCGCTTATTCTAATAAAAGCTATCAATATAAATACAAAAAAATAAGTAAAAATATCTGAATAAAACTAAATTTTCCACTGAATTAATATCCTTTAATTTCCCCTCTCATATATTTTTTTATTTATCAATTTGTAGGATTTTGGCATTCTTCCAACAGATAATTTTGAAAAGCTTTACTTATTCACTTTTATGTAATAACCTATCTGTTCATAATAGAGAAGATCCTATTAATGATGCTCTTATTTAGGTATTATTAAATACAGATGATCATTGAATTAAATAAAACTGCCTCAAAACACATGACTTTAAAATTGAATTACAAAAAACTGTTATTTATATTAATAACATGAGTCTGAATTTCTCTAATTAGTTTTCTAGATAACAAAGTCTGTACTGTTAGTAAGTAAATAAATTTGAATAAATTTAGGCAAATATTGAAAAACTTATATCTTACAAATTATATAAATAACTGTCACAGATTAGGTAAAGAAAAAGGTCTAAAAATATTTTTCAATTCTTATAATTAGAAACATTTAGAGATCAAGACATTCTTAGTAACGTTTACATAAGAAATGAAATTAAGATGCATAACCAGTTCCTCAGAAACAACGAGTTTACTACATTTGTAGCTGAACTTAGGAAATAATGTGAAAAGGGAAAAAAACTATATTTATAGAGAATTTAAGATCATATTTAATGTGGTAACATACAGAAAGTAATTCAGATTTTAGAAATGCATTTAATATGAAAGCATTAACACTAAATTGTAGGTCTGAATGAGCGGCTTCAAAATGGGTGAGAGTACTTAAATATTAATTGTGTACTGGTCAGAAAACTTAATAAAATTACTTTATAATGTTTTTCTTAATAAAAAATTGTGAAAAACTCAACAAACCTTAAATTTTTTAAAAAATTTCTTAAGACAAATGCGTCAAAGGATAAATCGAAACTACCCAATTGCGTTGCCAATACTAATACGCCTGTTACAGAAATGATTTCAACTATTGTAAAAATCAATAAATATAATTTTAAATGAAATTGGAATATCTTGCATATTTCAATCCGTGCAATTTTCTTCATATACGCATGATTTTATATTGTTTTCTGAAATTTTTTCCAAAAAGTTTAACGTGAGTTTCTTTTACAGTATTTTTAAATAATAGAATGGCAATAATTTAACTGTCAACGGAAACGGAAAGTAAATATTTCTGTATTTTGATGAAAAGAGGCGGTGATGACATGGGAAAGAATCGATCTTTGAATGGAAAGAATTTAAATATGAATTTTATAATTGTGTATCAACCTTAGGTGCTCTGTAGTTGTACACAAGAGATGTATTCAGTAGTTATACATGAAATTATTTGGCTGAAAATTAATCTTGAAACAATTGTATGCTTTCTCTGCAGTTGTTCTAAAAGCACATTTTACAAATTACTTAAAAATTAATTTTTGTCTTTATCATGGCTATTAAAGCCTTTGATTTAGTCCCCGCTATTGAAAGGGTTTGTTGGACAGATAAAGTGAAAACTGTGGTACGCATTATAATAATTTAATTTATCACAAACCATCTCTATAAATAATAACAAAGCTAAAGCTTATTTTAGTTATTAGTTTTGTTTCAATGCTTTTTGTTTAATCAAATTCCTTTTTATTACAAGTAAAATTATCCTTAATTAAATTGAAGTGGTGTCTATATTATTGAATTTAACGAATAAGTAAATTTAAAGAAAAACTGAAAGATCTCGTTTCTTAAATTATGAAATTAACATCTGATATTTAGGGATATTTCCGTATCGTGATCTGTTGCTCCACCCTCAAATGCCAAAGTGCCAAATAGATTTTAAATTTGGAAACTTTATTAAAAAAAAACCTGTAGATGTTTCTGGAGGGTGGCTAAGAATTATACCTTTTGAGTTGGTCCCTTTTTGTAATGTCCTCTTTTAGTTTCTTTCAGGCCGCTGCCCGGAATTTGCCAGGACTTGGCGATAATTCTGTCAGATGATGATACAGAAATCTCGATCTAAAATAAGCCTCTTATTTATAAATAAATTAAAGTAAAATTTTATTCTATAACAAGCATTGAACAACAGACCCGATTCTGAGTTTACAGTTATCAATATTCAACTCCATAGATTGTAATTTTGAACCTAAACCAGTAAACAAAGAATCTCCTGAATCAAAAATTTTGACAAATCTGTGTTCATGCATGACTTTTTGATGTAAGCAGATCACATTTGCCTTACATGGAGTGGAAAACCACAAGAGCATCACACGATTAGCCTGAAAGCATGGGGATTCTAATCCATGATTTAACTATCACCAAAGATATTTTATGTCAACACTTCAAAATTTGAGTTACCTCATTGGGAGGCAAACATTCTATCCACTAAGCCTCCACGGCTAAAAAGCAACTTATAGAATTTTTTATAATTTTGAATATTTTGTTATCATGGTCTATGCCAAAATAATCACTAAAAAGTCTTGGCAACTTTCGGGTAATGGCGAGCTAGAAACTTAAAATAAAATATCGCAGAAAGGGATCGATTCAAAAAGAATAATTGTAACCATCCCTGGGTAAACCTCTACATGATTTATCTTTTAAAAAAATTTGTAAGTTTAAATCTATTTGGCACCTTAACAATTGTAGTTAGTTGGACTGATCAATATACTGAAATTTCCCTTTATAATTGATAATTATATAAATATGAAACCGCATAGCTTCCTGGGTTTCATAACATGTTATAATGGATTGTAAGTATGGATTATCATATGTTGAGTTTTTAATGAAAAAAGTATATCCTAATATTTTTGTTTGTCTCATTTTTTTTTTTTTTTCAATTGAGTAAAATTTTAGTCACTTAATGTGTTTTTTTCAGAATTCTTCAAACAGTTTATCAAACTGAAGTGTTAAACAATGTTTGCTATTAAAAATTTTTTTTTCTTTTTGTGTATGTTTATTGTATGTTTTTTTTATTGGTCGAATGTAAGTTTTAGTTATTAGATATGAAAAAGGTAGCTTTAATTATTTAATAGACAAATATTGTCACAAATTCTTTTAAATTTTAGTCATTTAACATGTTTAACTGCTCAAATGTTAGATTGATGCAAAATTTTTCATGTTCTATAGTTAATGCAAAAAAAAAAAAAATTGTGCATATTTACTGATTGCATATTAAATTAATAGGTAGAATGTTTAGAAAGTTGTGGGAAGAATTTATACATTGGAACGCAAGAATGGTATGTTATTCTTATAAATTTTATTTAAATCTTTGTTTTAATTTAAGAATTTATGTATCCTATATAAATGCAGTTAGGTATCATTTACTTAATTTGGAATTCTAGAACAATCTCTTATTTACTTTTGAAGAATTTCAGTCTGAAAAAAAAAGTTCTATATTTATAACGGAGTACTTTTCATTTTTTTTAATTCGTTGATCACAAATAATTGTCTCATAAATGCTGTTTCAGTCAGAAATGACTCTCCCAAGTAATTACTAATTACTTGAAAAAAATCAAATGATTTCCATGGCTTTGAATTTTTTTTCTTTTATATTTTTTTTTCTTTATTTCTTTTATATAAAAGAGCTTAACGTTTTAGAATTATGATTGCCTAATTATTTTTGCCATATTTATAATGCCATATTAATGTTTTATAATAGTTAGAATATATTTTAATTCATGGTATATAAGAAAAATTATGCAAGCCATAAGTTATTCAAGCAGTTTGAAAAAAAAAAAAGGTTTATAATACATTAAACATCAATAAAGCATACCTGCCAACGTTCACTGTTTCCGAGAACGGATTTTCAGAGTGATTGTAAAACATTAAATGAAAAACAATCTGACTCAAAAATGTATTTATATTTTGATCCCGTTGAAATTCGCCTGCGCAAGGATTATTATGCTTTTATATATTTATTATAATTATTTATATGTAGTGGTGGTCAAACTCATTTAGAATTATCATTATAATTCAAAAAGTTAATTGGTGTAACCTGAGTATTGCTACAACTTTAAATATGAAAATAAAATCTTCCAGAAAATCCGGAAGAGTTGGCAGGTATGATAAAGTGTCCACGAAATATCTTTTTAAATTTGAAACTTTGAATTAATTTCAAACTCTATTAATTGTTCTGGAAAAGAAAATTACACTTGCATTAAGGATTGGATTTTTGCTGTTAATTAAATTTTACATGAAGTAACATTAAACTTCTTATAAATATAAAATTAAATGTAAGGAAAACTTTAAGAAAAATTAAATTGAAGTCTTATAATATATAATAAATAATCATCATCAATGGCTCAACAGCCCAGGGTGGGCCTTGGCCTTCTGAAGAAGTTTTTCCAGACTAACCTTTTTTTGCTAGTTTTTTTCAATTTTTAGTTTTTAAGTTCAAAAGGTCTTTCTCTAGGCCATCTATCCGTTTCAAATATGGCCTGCCTCTTTTCTGTGTGCCAAATGGTCTGGCATTGAAAACTCTTTTTGTGATGCGGTTTTCATCCATTCCGATAACGTGGCCTGCCCATTTTATTCTTTGTTGTTTTAAAAAGTTAATAATGTCAGGTTCATTATATGAGTGATAATGCTCTAGATTAGATCTTCTAAGCTGCAAGCCATTTTTTTGAATTCTTCCAAAAAATTCTTCTCAAGACCTTTCTCTCAAAGGTACCCAGCATTGCCTCATCCGTACAAGATATGGTCCAGGTTTCACAAGCATTTGTTAAAATTGATCTTAAGAGATTTATATAATAAAACTGTTGTTTTTCTATGAATTACATTAGATTTTATGTATTTTCGAATTCCATTAAAACATTTATTGGCTATAGTAATTCTTTGTATTTCCATTGTTATATTGCTCCTGTTGTTGATTGCAGAACCCAAGTAAACAAAATTGTCAACAACCTCAAATTTATATTCTTCAATTTCTAAATGGGTGTTATTGAAGCTTGTTTTAGTACAGGGCAAATATTTAGCTTTACTCTCGTTTATTCTCAGACCCATCTTGAGAGCCGCTTTCTCTAAAGAAATAAAAGCCTGTCTTAGTGCTATAGGTGTTCTAGCAATGTCTATGTCATCAACAAAGGCCAAGGGTTGTACAGATTTATTAAAAATGTTTCCTCAGATGTTAATGTTGGAATCTCTAATTACTTTTTCTAATACTAAATTGAAGAGTAACTAATAATAAGTAGTTGCTAAATGAAAAACAAAAAAAGGGTATTTTCTTATATTTGCATAATTTAAAATTTTAATTTCCTTTATTCAGAGTATTAAATATTTGTGTTAAAATTATTTTAACATTACAACAAAATGAAAACTTGGAAGAAGTTTGTTCTGTATATCAGAGTGAATGACTGAAAATTTTGAAAAGTTCTTTTCAGTTGCAACAGAGCTAGCACAACAATGAAGCTGCAAAATTTTTTTTGAATTGTTAAAATTAACAGAAGATATATTCAAGACTAAATCAAGATACACTCAAGAAAGAATTGTTGTGAAAGAATTTAGAATGTGTCACTTAAGAGAATTGGTACTTGATGGGCTTGGCTTACTCTAAATAGAATGGAAAGAACTGTTGCTAACGTAAACAAATGCCATGTTTCAACAACCAATCGAGATCATGCTACCCATACTATGTCACTTGCAGGTATCCCATTAAGATAAAATATAAACAATTATTTTTAAATTTTTAAGAAAATATATAAACAGAAAAAGCTGTAAATAGTCATTTAAAGGTGCAACATTTGCTATTTGTGTAAAGGACACATAAAGTATCTGTCATTCCATGGACTCAAATTAATCATAGCCACCCATGTGTATGCATAGTAAGTTATTTCATAAAACTTCTTATTAGTATTTAGGGGTTATTTAAAAAATTATTTTCAATTCAACTGTCAAATAAGAATTTTGTGATTTATTATATTGTGCTATTGTTGTTATCAGCTGAATTATACTATACAGTATGTCAATAATTTGAATTTAAATTATTCAAAAATTATTTTTTGTTTCCAATTTTTTTGTCAACATTTTAAAATCCATGCTCTTTTTTCCCCTCATTCTGTGCAGTTTTATTTTTAAATGCTTTTTTAATGTTTTTTTTTTTGTTACAAAGTTCTCATAATTTATTGATGTTTTTTGATGCCTATATTTCTAGCTTTGTAATTCATTATGTACTGGAAGAAAAGCAGTTTAATGAGGGAACAATTTTATTTGATTCAACTAAAAAGAATCAAAAGTACCTAGAAGTGGTAAGTTTATCAGATTTGAAAATCTAAGTTTTAGTTTTAAAGAGTTGTAAATTTTATGTTTTATATATTTTGTAAATGTGTGTTTGAAGTTTTATTTTTCTTTATAAATATATATTCAGTTATCCAGTATCTGTAATTTACAGTTAATAAATTATAAAAGTAGTTTTCAACCTTTATTTGCTAATTAATACAAAAAAATTATTTAAGAAGTAATTGTTTTTTTTTAATGTTATTTGTTTTTTATTAAATTGTTCTTTGTATTACACTTTAAATTGCATTATTAAAATATGAACTTCGTGTTTTCGTTAAAGTTGAGAGAAAAATATAGAGGTGGAAAAATCAGCTTAACATTTCATAACTATTCTGTTTTGGAAGAAAGAAAAAATAAATTTTTTCTTATAATTCAAAAATATATAATATTAAAATTCTATAATTTTTGATCAAAAAAGAAAAGAATTATATCATTTCTGCTTCTTGTTTTTTTTTATTATTATTATTTTTTTGGCTTAAATAAAATTATTGGAAACTGGAAACATTTAACTTTTCATCCAATCATATATCTTTATATAAAAATATTTATTTATCAGTCTAATAAAAATTTTATTGAATGTATTAAAATTGGCTTTTTTCATTTCTCAATATGTAAACCGATTTTAGGTATGGATTTAAATGAGAAAGATTAAAAATCTTGAATTGTCTTCAAGATTCAAGAAATTGTTATTTTTTTATCTTTATTATATTTTCACTTCATTTAATTAAGCGGTTTTATAAATAAGTTTTCTTAAAACATTTATATTTATCTATACTTATAATTAATAAATAAAATAAACAAGATAAATTTTTTATATTTGTTTATCTTTCAGAAAAAACCCATAACACTTTTGAAAGCATTATCTGCTTTGAATCGAATTCTACTGCTCTGTGATGGAAATTTAATAGTATTAAATATGTTTGATCTTGAGGTATAATTATTTCTACCTATTTGTTTCATTTATTTATAGTTTTGTTTGAATAATTTCAAATGGTGTGAACTTTTATTATTTAGTTTTTCTTTTTAAAAATACATGGTAAAACCTTGAATATCTGAAATTTTAAGAGATTGAATATTTATTTTCTATTAGAAAGGTGTTGTTTATAATGGCATAAAACAGCCTTTCTCATTCATTCATTGCTATTAAAATCAATAGATCATTGATTTTTGTAGTAATGATTCATTCATTACTTTAAAATCATTGCTGCTCTAGATTTTCTTATCATAACTAAGATTTTGTTTTGATGTAGAATGCAATATAATTCGGAAATTGATTGCCTGACAAGTACTTAAATAGGACATTGCATCTACCACAAAGTGTAGCATTAAAAAGTTTTTACTCCAATACTAGAGGTGTGAAAATGCAAATGTTTTTTTTCTTGTTTTTCCGATCGAAAAACTTTACCGTTAACACAGAGAAAGACACCTGTGTTTATTTTTTTAAAATTAGTTTTTGCTCTTTTTCGTTTTGATGTGGCATATGTTTTCCATGCACTCGTTTCTTTTTTTTTTTGGGGGGGGGGATAGTAGTACTTTTTGCAAAAGCGTATACTTGTATGCATTACTCCTCAGCAGTAGTTAATTTATTACTCATTGGATAATAAATTAATCATTTTCTTTCAGTATTAATTAGATTTTTGAAATTTGATGTAGTTTAGCATTTTATGATTTGCTTTATTTTTATTCTATAAAAAAACTTTGATTCTTTTAAGAATTAAATGTTTAATGAATTTCAATTTTATATTTTATTAAATTTAATTTTATCAAATATTTTTTGTTCCTAAAATTACTTTCATATTGGAAAGATACATTTTTATAATCTTCAAATACCTTATTTATTTTTAAGCAAATAAAAGGATAAATATGACTAAATGTTATTCATTATAATTCCAATAAATGTTATATTATAATGTTATTCATTCATAATGCATAAATATATTTTTTCTGAGCCATAACCATAGATTTTCTTTTTTTCTGCTCTTAGTATTGTATAATGTTATTAATAACATGTTTGATATGAAGTTATAAATATTTCAAAACTTCGTAATTTTGGAACTACAAACTTCTTTAAATTCACAACTTCAACTAAATGTTATATTTTAAAATTAGAGAGGGCTGTTAACTGGAGCAAAGCTTAACTTTTGATTATATGTTGATGTAATCTCACCACTGTGAAGTACCTTTGAAATCTGTTGAAATCATACTCAATATAGCTGAGAGTTTGAACTGAATTGATATGAAACATATTGTAAAGATATAATCGGTATATTGAATAAAGAAATTCAGATAATCAAGGTTCTACTAATATGAAATTTTTGCTCATTTATCATTTCCATTTGTGGTCATTTATAATCATTTATTTGATAATTTATTACTGTAATATGTATAATATTCAGAAAGTTTAAAATTATGTTTCTTCCATATCTTGCTGTTTCAAAGTACTATAAGTATTATTTTTAATGGTTGCTTTTGCGGAAATACTATAAATTATATTTATAAAGATTTCATTTACTCATCATAGTTTTTTCTTCATAAATTTCTTTGAAAGATAGTAAAAACACATTCACCATTTTAAATGTATGTTCCATAAAAATAGTTTTTAATAGTATTAAATTTAAAAAAAAAAAATTCTGTTGAATTGCTTTGCTCTAATTTTTTTAATGATTGACTTCCTGATTTTTTTTTTTTTTAATGGGCCCTTTTTTTTGTAAATTTTTTTTTCAATCTGTGAACACTTGTTTATATTTGCAATTTTAAGGTAAAATTGCAAGTGTATATTAGGTTTTATTTTTTATGCGTCTGCTAACTCATTTATTTCTTTGATAATTATTTTTAAAAAATAAGCATTTTATCTGATAATTTTATAAATTTTATTAATTTTTATACATAGTTAAGCCTGTTTTATTGTTTAAAAGAATTGTAGCTTATGAAATACCAATTAAACATTTAATTTTACATTTTAATATTACTGCAAAACTCTATTAGTAAGAAAATCTTATTATACTTGCATTGATAGTAATTAAATTACAAATAATTTCACTGATTATAATTAATATTCTCACACTAAGAAAGTTATGATCATATGAAAAATGATTTATAAATGAGTGTTTTTTTTCTCAATCAATTTATAATTTATCCCTGAATTAAATTCAATAAAACTCAAGATTTTTAAAATTCTAACTATGCCACTAGCTTTATTGAAATTTAATACCTTCATGATTTCTGTTAGGAAGAATAAAAACTGATTCTTTAAATTGATTATATTTTTTCAAACAATAAAGTGCTTTATGAAAATGTTTAATCCAAGAAATATGGAAATATTTATATATTATTAAAGATTTTTTTTTTGTTGTTAGTAACTACTTAAAATTAAAAATTGTGAGACTGTTTATAATTATCTATATTTATTAAATAAATGCTAATAAAAGTACTTACCTTATCTCTCTGTATTAATCTCAATTTCTGTTTAGATTGTACCATCACTTAGTAAATTCAAAGGAGTTTCGTATTTTTGTTTAAATGAAAATCCAGAAGCCAGTAACCCATTCAGTGTTGAGGTAAACTCTGTTAAAATTTTTTATTTTTTTTAATTTTTGCTTGCTTGGTAAAGCTTATTCAGTAATATTTCTGGACAATTTTGGAATCACTGCAATATTATTAGCATAATTTAATTGTAAAAAAGATTAGAATTTTGAAATACAGTAAAAGATGTGACATAATTCTATAAAACATGATTCTCTATAAATGGCATTAGTTTTATGGTCGCTAAAGCAGACCAAACAAGACAAATTTGTTGGGGTTTTTTTTATAAATAATTTCAATAATTTAATTTTTTTCTAAAAATAATAAATATTTAAGTGCATATTTTTGTGTGTTTAATGTATTAATGCCTCATGTTTTAAGGTTTGCGTTAAACGATCTACTGTATATTAAAAATTAACAATTTATTTAACTAAACATTCTTTTAAAAAATGTATATTGTTCTTGTTTTTAACTGTTTGATGTTTTTCGTTCTACTTTTGAGATGAGGCCATATCAAAAATTTATAAAAACATATTTAGGTTTTATAATAAATTCCAATTAAGTAATTTACTGCTGTTAAAGCTATTTACAAATATTTTACTGTAAATGTATGACATTTTTAATGATTTATAATTGAATATTAATTGTAAAAAATAAAATATTGAATTAGTTCAACTAAAATTTCATTTAGTTTCTTAAAATTTCACTTACAAATGGATTTTAATTATCTTATTATTTGCCTATTTTTATGGAATGTTGTTTACAGGTATGTGTTGCTAAAAAAAAGCAGCTACTTATTTGTCACGTGACTGATGATAAAATGATTCAATTGAGAGATATTAGTATTCCTGAACCGCCTCTTGCTATGGTGAGTATTGGAAAAATTATCTCATTCAATTATTTGATGTGATTAATTGAAAAAAATATTTTTAAAAGTATATTTATCTGGTTCTAACTGATCAGGTAAATACATTTTTAAAAATTTTTTTGTTAATTATTTGCCAAATTCTTAATCTCAAATAACTAATAGAAAAATAAGAAATTTCTTCAATGTATTCCAGATTTTTTAAACTAAACTTAATCGCTTTCTATGTTATTCATTGGAAAGAAGGAATAAAATTCCGCTTTGATACGTCAAAAGTTTCATAGAAAAATTGTAATCAAATTGTTGTATAAATTTTTCATGCTGATTTTTTTCTTCTATTTATTTATTACTATCTATACAATCTTTGTACCATGCAAAATCTGGAGGCTATAATAAAATGCTTTAAGCTTTCCAACTGTTCTGTCTTTTATAAAACTTATACCATATAATTATCTGCAAAAACCTGTTTCTACAAAATTACTCATTGAGAAATAATGTAGTGCTTTACTGAAAAATTCTCAACAATTTTACTCAGAGTTGTAATGCATGGAAGATTTAGAAATGTTTAATTTGGATATTGTATTTGCTCTTAATTTTGCTAACTTTTATCATGGTTGAATAACAGGTTACAGTCATTTAAAAAAGAAGTATCTCTTATTTCCTTTTGTATTTTTAGTCATCATGCAGCATTTATTTGCTATTTGTGTACTTTATTTTTATTCAAGTATATTAAATTGCTAAAATGTTTTCTAAATAAATAATATGTCTAAAAACTAAGGTTTGCTATCAAAGTATGTATGCTGAACTTTAATCTGATGTAGTAAAATCCTAACTTTATTTCAGGGTGCGTAGCGTTTGTAAAAAGTACTTAAAGGTGCTTTTTTGGAGATTTCGTTATTAAAAGCTTTTAAAGGTGCTTTTTTCAGCTGGCGTTTTTAAAAAGTGCTTATTTTTCCGAATAATTTTTTTCCCTTTCAGTGATATCTGGTGGATCCCATGCATTTCACGAAAAATGGGGAGTTTGCTACGTAATCATTCACGCCGACTTCATGTTGTACCCACATTATGACTTGTGCATGCGCGCACTCTTGAAACCGAAACCCGAGTGCTCCAATTCGGATAGAGAATATCAGATCCTTATGAAATGTTTTTCTTTTTAATTTATTTTAATTTTGTTCTTGTTTATTTCATTTGACTTCTAACACTTTTTTTGACGTAGGGGGTAAGGGTACTTTTGTTCTGAGTTCAGGGTCAAGATGAATTCACTCGGTGATGTGGGAAAGTACCGATTGTTTCGATTTACGCCCGTTTCTTTTTGTTTTTTTTTTTAACGCTAAAACTGTTCATAAAAAGTTTTTGTTTTTCAATAATATCATTGATTGAATATGAATTTTTTGAGTGCTTGAAAATTTTTGTAAAGTTCTTGAAAAGTTTTTAAAAAGTGCTTATTTTTGATTCAAAGATTTGGCCACGCTACGATGCCTATTATCATAACACCTGTTATTCTGGCCCATCAGTTGTACCAAAAGTAAGCATAAGATTAATAAGACTTTGAAAATATTTTCTAATTGAAATAAATGGCTAGGCTGTTACACATCTGAAAAAAGATTTAGTTTATTACCTAATATTAAATAAATTTCCATTTATTTTTGTTCCATAATCTAAATTTGCTGGTAATCTTTTTTTTTTTTATTCATTGAAAAAATTTCAAGTTTAAATAGTTTTAAAATTTGGGAGATTTTTAAAATACTCAAATAATTATAAAAAATGCAAAGATTATTATTATTAATTTTTAAGTATTTATTTATTAATTTTTAATAAATTGGAATATAAAATGTTAGCATAAAAAGTTACTTTTTGATTATTTATGTTGTTTCCAATTTTTTAATACCCATTTTAGGCAATGGATGGTCAATATGTTTGTTTAGCTTTATCATCTAAGTACGTTGTTGTGGACACAGAGAGTGGTTATGCTCAAGAGCTTTTTCCATATGATAGCAATACAACTTCTCCTCTAGTCAAAAGAATTACCAAAGTAATACATTTTGTGTTTCATTTAAATACCTTAAATATGATTCTTCCAATATATATATATTTTAAATTTTATAAATTCTTGGAAATTTTGAAACATTTGCTAATTAAGACATGTCTATTTTGATAAATGACAACCATTATACTATTATTGACTTTGTGTTCATCAGTGATGAAAAAGAGCAAGGTTAGGACACTTTCTATATTCAGTTTATTATGTACAGTGTGCAAAGAAAGAAAACCACTCTGAATGACTTTTGATCTAATGACCGGATCTTCACATATTAAGACTCAATCTCTGGGATTTGAGGAGGTGACCTCAAAGATGCTAATTAATAAGTGTAGACAATATTTTAAGTTATAAAATCAGACGCACAAATGTACTTTCTCTTGAATAAGCATATATTTTTTTTATGGATTCAGATTTCTGACCCTCAAATCTGGGAAACATGGTCCCAATAGTTTGGTCAAGAGAGTGGTCCTAAGTTTGGACCCCTTAATGTTAATTTTACTTATTGCATATTTCCCCATATCTCAAGAATCTTAATTGCAACATTTTTGCATACAATTATGAAAATAATTCATCTGAAGGTATTGAAAAATTTTTTTAATAATTATTTTTTATTTTCTTATTTTATTTAAGTTTAGCTGGAAAAATTTTGAACTGTAAGGTATACAGATTTTTATATCAGTTTGAAGAAAGTAATTTACTAAGACAATATCAAAATTTGAACGAAATCGGTCTTATAGTTCTTGAGAAATCGAATTTTAGTATATGACTTCTTTGCTTTTAATAGTGTGCTCTTTTCCTTACATTTCCTCCTTTTTTACTTATTAAAAGAAAGCTATGCTAATTAGAAAGACTTGAAGTAGTTATTTCTATTCTTTAGCACAATTCAAATGTCATGTCCTTGTGAGAAATTGATAACTTCTTTAAATACTACAACTTTCAGAAACTTCCACTTTTTCTTTATTTTCACTTTAATTTTCATGAAAGAAAATGGAGTTTGAAGCATATTTCTTTGATTGGTCAGTGGAATCACTTAGATCAAATTTCTGAAAAAGATCTTTTATTGTACAATTAGTAAACATACTAAGCAAAATGGTGGCTGCATAGCTTATCTTTACAGAACCAGCTGCAGTTGCAATTTTCGATGTATGATTAAAAAAAAAAAAAAACGCTATTGTATTTGCCAATAACTACTGAAATATGAAAGTATTTTTTTCTACATACTGATTATGGAAAAAATCTAGTCTTTTTCTTAAAAAAAAAAATAGTTAAAATTTCCCTCTAAAAACCTCCAAGAAATGTTGTTGTAAAAAAAAAAAATAATGCTACTAAATGAAATAATCATTTGTACTATTGTAAATAAAGTATTTTTTAAACATGAGCTTGGCCAACTTGGAAAATGTAGCTTCAAAAAATGTACTTTTAAGTTTTCTTGATGCATCTAGTGAACCATAAAAGTTTAAAAATCTGAGTATTTATATATTTTCCTAGTTTTAAAACTTAAAGCATATGACAAATAAAGCACTTTTTGAGGGAAAAAAAACATACTTCTAAAATCCTAGAGCAGTTTAACACCTTAAATTATATTTTTTCTTTTAAACTTTTCATATAATACCTAAAAAGGTTGGGTAACCTATACGCCAACAATAAAACAAAATGAAAGATACTGAATGAATACAAATTAGCATGTTTATAAAGCAGATTTTTGTTTCACACTATTAAGGTAAATGTAATACTGCCCCACCCTCATTCGGGCATATGGAAAGTTTCACACTATTAAAAAAAAAAAACCTTTGTCAATGCTGGGTCATTTAATTTGTGTTTATTACATTATTTTTTACTTCGTTTGAGTGTGGAAGTGTGTGCGCTGTAATTTAATATAAAATCTAATAAATTTTTTTTATTTTTAAGGAAGAATTCCTACTTGGTGGTCCTAGTGCCTTAGGTATGTTTGTAACAACTGCAGGCATATCAGAAAGGCCTCCCTTACAATGGGGTGAAAATGTCATTTCAGTTGCCTACTCTCATCCATACATTGTAGTTCTGAGCTCAGATAATTTAACAGTTTACAGGTTTGTATTTAGTTATTGATGTTTTAAAGCATTGTAATTTTAGAACTGCAAACTTCTTTAAATTCACAGCTTCAACTAAATGTTACCTTTTAAAAATACGTTGCTGTAAGGTCACTGAAATCTGTTGAAATAATACTCAATATAGGAGAGAGTTTAGTGTCTTGTGGAACTGAATTGATACAAAACATATTGTAAAGGTATATTGAGTGAAGAAGTTCAGATAATCAAGGTTCTACTGATGACATTTTTGCTCATTTATTATTATCATTTGTGGTCATTTGTAATAATTTATTTGGTCATTTATTGCTATAACAATTTACAGGTTTCTAATAATGTTGTAGACCATTGTAATGTAACATCTAAAAGTATGTACTTGGTTATCTGAAGCAACTAAATCCGCTTCTATTTTAAATAATCAAAATATTCAAATTATAGAAATAGTGGACTCAGAAATTTGAGGTTTTTCAATAATAGTGCTGTATATTATTTTATTTGATTTTAATATTACAGTGTATACTTTTTTACTGCACCAAAATAAAATAAAAAAGTCAACTATCATTTATTTTATCTATACATCTATTTATTACATTTATTTTTGGTTTTGTATTGAGCGGCACCCATTTTATTTTGGCCACTTTAAAAAAATTGTTGGTAGGGCTTGCAGCCTGTTAACCAAAAAGTACTGACAATTTTTGCACTGCTCTTTCTTTTTAATACGTTTTTATAAAGCAGCATTTAACTCTGAATAATTAGCTGATTTCAAAGTTGATTTCATAAGTCCTTTTCAAGCATTTTAAAGATTTTTCCCAATTCCATTCACACAATAGTAATTTCACCTAGATAACAAAACATGTTTCCTTTTGGTAGAAGTTTAAGTCATTATCAATCACTGAATCATTATAGTATTAATTTTATTATATATAGTATCCATTATTTATATTTTTGTTCACCTTTATTACGTTTAATATTATTTATTGGTTTGATTCTATAATTTCAGTATTTTAGATCAGCAGCAGAAACAAAGAGTAACATTCCACGGAGGCAGCTGTTTAGATAATTTTGATGGTCGAATGTTTGTTGCATCATCAGATATTATATGTGCCCTTCTTCCAGTTCCATGGGAAAAGCAGGTAGTTTTATTTTTTGCTTTATTGTAAAAAATTGCTTATTTTTCCACCATGTATTATTTTATGTATTATTATTAATTTTGTTTTTAACAGTAAAGGTATTTATTTTAGGTCCATGCACTTTTAGCTGATAAAAAAGTTTCTGAAGCTCTTGAGTTGGCAAAATATTCTAATAAAGCTGGGCTGTCAAAAGAACAGTATCGAATTGTAAGTATGAAAAAGAAAAAAATATATACATTTAATTTTTTAAAAATAATATTAAAAGATTCATTAAACCTTAAGGGTAAGCCGCAGGAACTCAGGAGATAAAGTGTTTGCTTCCCTATGATGTGATCCTGGTTCAAATCCCAACACTGGCTGGTTGCTATGAATTCTGGTCTCGCCTCGCATTGGCCACAGCTATGTAAATTATTGTCAGTGCGCCGGACAAACATTGTGAGATTTTTCTTTCCATGTAATGCAAATGCTGGTTAGTTTCTTCAAAAAGTCCCTTATAAAGGCTTGTTTGTCCCAATGCTTGATTCAGGAGTTCCCTTGTGTTCTGGGTTCGGTTCAAAATTACAAGGCTACGGAGTGGAATGTTGATAGTTGTAAACTCAGAATTGGGTTGGCTGTTCAATGATGGTTATAAAATAAAACACCCTTAAAGGTTTGGAAGTATTTCAAATTTACTTAACACCAGGTATAGTTATAATAAATAGATGTAATGTCTAATCATAATTAAATTAATTTCAAATATGACTACAATAATTGTTATGAAAATAATAGAATAATTTTAGCTATCATATCCGTGGTGTTGGGCTTAATACGTGAAAGTGCCATACTGCTTATATGGCGTTATTGGTCCATTAAATTTAATTTTATAGCTGTTTTGTTTGGGTGCCTAATATTTATAAAATTTTTATTTACTTTAAGCTATTGTTTTAAAATAACAAACTAGAAATTATTATTTTACCTTAAAACAATTCTAAAACTTTAAAACTGAAAATATTACTTTCTCATAATTTTTTTAAAAATTGCTATAAATAAGAGGAGAAATTGCAGAAAAAATTTCTGTGTTGGCAAAGCTTATGTTTGAATATTTGTTTTTTTTAACTTAATGAATGATAGTTAAAAGGATATTGACCACCATATATATCTGTAGGAATGATTTAAAGCCTCAGTTAAGCCTTAATTCCTAAGCTTAAGATCATAAAGCCTTAATTATGAAGCAGCAGTATTTTTGAGTGCTGGAAAAATGAAACAAATTTAATTGCTATATTATTGTCATTGACAAAAATCTTCTGCTTGAAGTTTGAAAATTGACTGCTATAGACAGTGTCTGCCACATTTATACTGACTTTTCCAAGATGGCAAATTATCTGTTAAATCTATAAAAGTTGGCTGCTATTTATGCTATGGTTTTTCACCTTTCCAACTTACTCTTTTAAAGCAGTCATAAGTGTCTGCTGTTTAAATTAATAAAAATTGACTGCTATGGTCACCAGTCAACTGACTTTTCTAAAATAGACACAAGTGTCCACTGTGGCATATGATGATTTAAATTTTTAAAAACTATCTGCTATGAACACCAGTGTTTTTCACCTTCCTGCTGACTCTTTTTTTAAGCAGTTGTTAGGGTCTGCTGTTTATATTTAAAAAAATTGGTAGCAGTGGTCTCCACTGTCATAAGTGTCCACTGTGGTAATTTAAAATTCAATTTTTAACTATGATTATTAAATTAAATTTTATTAAATTAAATATTCAATTATGAAATTAAATATTCAATTATTAAATAAAATTTTCAGTAATAACAATGATAGTGTATATTAAATTAAGTTTAACTAATGATATTTATCTATCATGTTTATTTTAAAAATTTTCTGGTTAATTGTTATAAAACTTTAATTTGACTTTTTTGATCTTTGTATTTATCAGAATCTTTCATAAATAATGTATGTTTTATGGATTTTCTAGGTTTTGCAGCGAATTCAACAGCAAGCTGGATTTATTGAATTTTCCTTATTGCACTTTGATGAGGCAAAAGAGTTATTTCAGGAGAGTCAACTAGATGTGCGAGAGGTTGTTTATTTTGTTTGCTTTATGTTTTTAACACATATTAAAAAGAAACACCTTTATAATATATAAACTCTAATTATATCAGTTATTTATTATCTTTGCTTCTTTTTTAAGGAAGTTCATTGCTTTTTATGTTTTTAAGTAGTTTTATTGAGATACACAAAATGAAATTGCTTCTAATATAAATTACCCAAAAACCACTAATTTTATCTTAGTTCTAACCTTGACAGAAATTTTATTTATTAACCATTTGGGGTTTTAGCTTTTTTTATTGACAGGTTGGTATGAGTAGATTAATTTTTTTAAATTGTTTGCTTTTATATAATAAGTTAAATTTAAATATATATATATATATTTGTTAGTGTATTGCTTGAAGTTGTATATTTATATTGTAGTTATTATTTGAAAATTTAAACAGTATAAAAACTTTTGGTTTTTATTAATATTTTTGCTCTTTACCTTCCTTTACATTATATAATTTACATAATATCTAGAAAAATTGTAAAAGGCTTTTTAAAGTTGAAAAATACTAGAGTATAAGTGATTTTTTTTACTTGAAGCAAATATCATACCAGCAATAGTTACTTGTATTTTTTCATGAGTTTCTGAGTTCCATCATTAAAAAAAATAATAATCTATAGTGTACCAGATTGACTTTAAAATATTCAAATTGACATTTTTTATGAGCCAACGCCTTGAGCAGTACAAATCCTTTGAAATCTTAGTTATAAAGCTCAAATTTGATAAAGTGATAAATTTTTCTAAACATAAATCAATAAGAGTCTCAAATCTCGTCTTAACATTTTTGTTTTTGGCTTTCTATCTTTTTTTAAAATTGTAGTTCAATTGATATATAGTTATCATGAATTACGTTAAACTATATCATTTTTATCTTTAAACTTAGAAAATTATTTATATTATTTAAGTTTGCAATTCACTATTTTGAAACTTTATCAAATTTTGCTACTATGCTGCTTATTAAAAAATTCTGCTACTACATTTTGTTAAGTTATATTAATTTAAAAAGAGCTAGAAAAAATGTAAATATAATCTAAAAAGTGTATTTTTTCCCCTCATGCATATGTGTTATTTTTTCTCCTTTCTCATTTTCATTAATATACTGTCACAATTCAGCTAGAAATTAAACCATCGAAATTAAAAACCTGCTTTTACTATTGCATGGCTACAAAAAATGCTTACTTTGTGTGAGTTTTGTTTGTTGCTGAATTTCGTGACTTATTTTTTTTTTTATACTAAAGATATTTAAAAGGTTGTAATTTTTGTTGTATCTGTCTAGCCATTACAACTAATGTAGTTTAGATTAACCATCTTATCTACTATTCTACTTCTAACGAGAACTGTGTTGTTTTTTCTGTGCAAGGAAAATATATAATTGCAGTTCTGAAGAGAAACTCACTCCTTTATTACAAAGAATCAGAAGAAAAGCATTACATTATTGCAAAGTAATATAAATCAGTGAAACCAATAATTTAGAACTAGATGCTGCTTTGTGCAAATGATTAATTAAAAAATACACAATATATCACTAATGTAACTATTCCCGTGTGCTCAAAAGAGGCAACAGTGCAAGTGGAATAAAATAAAAAATATTTTTTTCTATTTGAAAACAGCGTATGTATTAAATTATATAAATAATGTAGAATATAGCTCTAAACCTTTGACTTTCGGAGTTTATTATAAAAAAAAATTCATTTTAAAACAGTGTTACGTTTATACAGTCAAACTCGTTTATAACAAGCTCGGATTTAACGAGAACTCCGATTTACCGAGGAAAACGAGAATATTTGGTTGGATCAATGTTAAGTCTATGGAACAGAAGTCGCTTTTAACGAGCAAGACCTGGTTTTTGTGAGCAATAGTTTTATGTCTTGCAACTTTTTTTCTCATCTTTCTGTCTTATCTTTTTTTCAAAATGATAAGAAATGAGCTTGAAATCAAAAAAACACAAAAAAAATTTTTTTTTAAGTATATAGATTAATGAAAAAAATAAATGTTTTGGTAAGAATCATTTCCTTTATTTTTCTTTCCGTTTATTGTTTCTTTCCTTTAAGACTGTAGCGCAACTAGAAATTTTTTGCTGGTTGGGGAGGGGGAGGTTAGTTGTCATTAAATTAAGAAAAGTATTTGATTAAATTAAATTAAGGTAAGTAAGTACAGTCGAACTCGTTTATAACGAGCTCGGATTTAACGAGAACTCGGATTTACCGAGGGAAACGAGAATTTTTGGTTGGATCAATGTTAAGTCTATTGAACAGAAGTCGCTTTTGACGAGCAATATTTTTCTGTCTCGCAATCTTTTTTCTCATCTTTCTAGTCTTTCTGTCATATCTCTTTTTCAAAATGATAAAGAAATGCGAGTGAAGGGGGTTAGTTGTCATTAAATTAAGAAAAGTATTTAATTAAATTAATTAATGTAATTAAAGTAAGTAAGTATTAATTAAATTTTAAGTAAGCTCAATCATTTGACCTCCTAAGCCCCCCCCCCTCTTCTGGTTGCATGCCTGTCTTAAGGACTAGTTTATTACGAGCACTCGGATTTAACGAGTACATGTTACGGTCCCTTTGTGCTCGTTATAAACGAGTTCGACTGTATTAAATACCGATAAAGCGCCCCCCTTAATTTTGACGAAAATCGGCGTGATATAGAGGGGGGCCGATAAACGGTACTCAAGAAAATTCTAAGCACCGTCTTTCTTTTCTGCTCAATCTTTTACATTCAACTCTCCCACCACACCCTAAATTTTTCTCACATTCTTATCAGTGAGTGTACATTCCAATCAAGGTGACCTTGACTTCTAATCTTTTTCGTTTTTTCTTTTAAGAAATTTATATTGTTAAGACAAAAAAAATCAGCTATATTCTTTTTATTTTGAATTTTATTCTGTTGAAGTAACTTACTTTATTTTATCTTTTAAAAATAAAAACGAAGCCTGAAGAAAAAAATAATAATAAATCTGTATCAAAGGAAACATCTGTTTCTAAAGCAGTTTAAAATAAAGTGAGAAGTAAAAACACCCGCATTTCCAATGAACAAAATAAAGAAATGGAAGTTGGAAAAAACTGATCAATCAATCTTGACAGCTGTGCTTTACTGCCCCCGAATTTCCCTCCTCTGTTTGACCATAAATTGGCCACACCCAGTTGACATTGAAACTACCACATGGACAATAAAATGAATTTATCCCTTTTGCGATTTTTTATTCGATTCATTAATTTTTTTTATTTTGCCGCTTTTTATTTTTTCTTGTTAATTGTTGCTTGCTTGCTTTTTTTCTTTTTTTATCGTTATTAATTTTTAGCTTGTTTTTTGTTGCTATTCATTGTTAGTTTGTTAGCATTTAGTTTAAAAAGCTTTTTTTTTTTCTTGCGAGGTAAGCGTCTTTTGTTAAAACAAAATGTTATCTAAAAGAAAAAACGAGAACTATGATCTCGCTCCAAAGAAGAAACGATTATTTCTTCTTCATAGGATTCTGATTATTTCTTCTTCTCTTATGATGGGCCAGTTTTAAATTCACCCCATCATAATCTATGATCGAAACTTGACTAAATTTATTGGTTTTTCTGAAATTAACAGTGGAATTGAATTATAGTAATATTTGGGGGCCATATTGGAATTTCCGAAAGAGATCCGAAGTGCGGCATTTCGTCAGTCCCGTGAGTGTCGGATTTAGGGTCCTATTCTTCCTTTTCTGTTCACTTAAATTACAATTGCTAAGGCGCTAAATAGATTTCTAGCTTGCGATTTTTCTTCAAGCTGGGGGTGGATACAAGATGCATACCTTTTAAATTTTCTCCTTATGCGATGTTTTTTTAAAATTATTATTTCGTTTATTTATTTTCTTACAGGCTGCTGCCGAAAGTTAGCTAAGAATTGGCGATGTTCTGCAGCAGATCGCGATACGGGCGAATATTTCGTCGACTTCGTTATTAATTTTTTTTAATAGTCAGAAAATTATTTCTTAAATAACTTTCCTTGACAAATTTTTTTGCTACAAAAAAATATTTCGTCGGAAGCGCCGCTGCATGTAGGAGGGGGGGGGGTTTTTTGGGTACTGATTGGCAATCTGCATAGATGTGAAACTACAGGGGGGCGCTTTATCGAGTTGGGGCGCTTTATCGGTATTTTACGGTAATTAAATTTTAAGTAAGCTCAATCATTTGAGCTCCCAATCTTCTGGTCGCACGCCTGCCCGAAGGACCCGTTTATTACGAGCACTCGGATTTAAGGAGTACATGTTACGGTCTCTTTGTGCTCGTTATAAACGAGTTCGACTGTAATACAAATGCTTCCATTGTCCGAAGTAAGATCAGCCCTAATAACTTTAGATAATTGAGATCTTACTGTATATAACTAATTCGAAAGCCTCTTTTTATTTTAAAAATATCAAGGTACATCAGAATATTTCTCTTAAAACTTTTCATTTTTATATATCCCAATTTTCTGCATTTTTGTAAAATATGAGAGTTGCTATATTTTCAACCATATCTTGGAGTGTTTAACAGTATAGTATTTTTTATTATTTTATGCTGAAATTTGAATTAATTGTGGTATGTATATATTTACTTTTTCAGCTTATCAGTCTATTTCCTGACTTAATGCCTGGAAGTTCTTCCTTCATTCGCATAAATCCTCCGCTGCATGATATTGGGAACGTTCTTGAAATGTGTTCATTTGATGAAGAGTCCGTTGCATCATCCAGGAAGTTTTTGCTTCATTATTTAGAATCTATCAGAAACTCTAGTGATGCTGTTGGCTGTAAAATGGTACGGTTTCTTTTTTTTTTTTAGCCAGTTTTCATGTTTTAACATTTGCTTGTAATTAAATGAATAAAATATTATAAATTAGCAAATAAATATAATGTTCCCCTTGTCCTAGAGTTGAGATTTATCGGTGTTTGTTCATTAAAACCTAGATGTGTTTTATGCAATAGGATGACACATACTCATCTGATTTTTGTTAACATATTTATATTTTATTAAAAAACAAATGTAGTTCGAAGATTTATTTTAAAAAAATAATTATGCAAGTAAAATTTATGTACAATGAATAATAAATTTAATTTTTCCTCAGAGAAAGCTGAAAACCTGCTATTTTTTATAAGGAAAGACAAAAGTGTGTACAACATCAATGTTTTCTAATGCAATATATTTTACAAATACTTTGCTTTTTAAATTTGAAGATAAATTTATATTCTTCCTAAAATTTCATATTCTTACTCTGCAAAATAATAAAATTATAATAAATGATATAAATATGATTGATAATGACCCCCAAAGCAAAATTTTTTTATCTTGGGGTTCTCTTCTAAAAAAGGTTGAGAACCCATAATTTTGATTCCATTATGAAGCTTCAAGCTTTTTTATTCCCTTTTAAATTATCATGAATTTTCTATCAACTTTCAGGAAATGGACACATCACTATTAAAGCTATATGCTGAGTATGATTATCCCTCTCTGTTATCATTTTTGGCTGGTGCTGATGTTGGTTGTCAGCCAAAGGAAGGAGTTGAAGTATTGCAGAAATATGAAAGATATCATGCATTAGCATTGTTCCATTTAAAACTTGGGGATAATGACTTAGCCCTAAACGTTTGGGCAAAGTATGTTAAATTCCTCTTCTTGCATGTGATTCTAAAAGAAATGTTTCTTATTCCTTATTTTGATTTTCTCCTATATGAAAGGTGTCTGAAACATATGGAAATGGACAAATAGCTCTCAAAATATGCATTGGACCAAAAATATAAAAACGCACATGAAATGAGTATTTTGCAGTTGTTCTTCACATCCCCATCTGGTAGTGAGGTTATGGGGTCAAGTTTAGCATCATTGAACTCGTATTCGTGTTTAATTTTAGAATTTAAATTTAATGTGTATTTTTTAAGATATTTGATCATTTCCAAAACTTTTCAGACACCCTATAATTGATTTATTGTTCCGCTGTAGTTAATTTTATTGAAATTCGTTTACTTGAAAGTAGTAAGACTAAAACAAAACCAAGTTAAATCCAATGTTTCCCAAAAGAAGTATTTTTGTAAAAATTTGTTCTATTCTTATCCTAAACTAACATAAAATTGGAAGTATTCCTTCATAATTTGTTGAAACAGACTGTCCTATTTACCTAAAAACTATTTCTATGAATCATTATTGTGTGCTTATTATTAAATATATGATTCTTATTCATCATTCTCTTTGTGATATTGATTGATATCCAAAAGTGTAAAATAATAAAATGATGGATATATCTGTATAAAGATTATTTTATATTAGTTATTGTTATGTAGATTATCCTCAGAACAAAATCTCTTGCCTTACATAGAGACAATTTGATTATTAAATTGTTTAATGACTACATGTTTTGTATTTTGAACAGGTTGACAATTAGTCTGCATCCTGTAAATAATTAATTTTTAAAAGTTACTAATGGTTCACTTGTTATATTGGCATTGCAGAGCAGTTTAAATGGGGGATGGGCGTCTAAAGTAGTTCCTGCAAATATTTATGTACTTCGATTCCATGTAATAAATTTTGTATTAAAAATCCAATATTAATAAAATAAACATTCAAAAGTTTACCATGATGGTGCAATTTATAATTTTGTACATAAATATAGTTTATGTATTATTTATATTCATATATTGTGATAGTGTTTGAAAGAAGTAATGCATAGGAATTTCTTTTATACTTCAATTTTAAATAAGTAATTCAATTTCCAGCAAAGATCTAAAATCATTACTCCATTTCCTTTTGATATCTTTTTACACCATTTTAGAAGGAAAAAAAATCATTATATTTTATGAAACAAAAAACTGAAATTATTTTGTTAAGTTTTATTAATCATTTAAATTTTTTTAAATCAATATATTGTGTGTATGTATACATATATAAATGATATACCTATATACAATTGGAAGTAACAATGACTACTAAAGCAACTGAGTAAGCATTGCATTGTTTTAAATAACATTTGAAATAGAAAAAATAGAACACTAAAATCTATGGTACACACTTAACAACAATCAAAATTAAAGAGGAAAAAAAAACTGATCAAAAATTTCAATTTTATAAATCTGCTATAAATTTACATTTTGAAAAAAATATTCCAATTTTAAAACAATATAAGAATATATTATATTCCTTTTTCTCCCTTTTTTTTAAAAGAAAAACATAATTCAGTATGTAGCATTTAATAAATTATATGCTATATAATGAATTATGTAATATACATGCTCATTTTAATTTTGGTTTAAGTTTCTTTGAAAGCATGTTTAATAAGAATTTAATTGCTTAATCTTTAAAAAAAATAATAAAAAAAGATTAATTTAAATTGTTATTTTTTATTTTTGAAATAGAATAATATCTGGTGACTATTCAGATTCCTTATATCCAGGAATGCCTCATTTTATTGATTTTCTATGCAAGTAAGTTTATTTCAAAATATATAAAGTTCATCTTATTTTACTTGTTTGAGGAAATTTTGTTAAGTTATTAGTTGAGCAGGTTTAAGTACCAGCATTCAAGAAGGTTTACTTAAATCATTGGAGTAGTTTATTTATTACTTTTTCAAATTAATTTTTATGCTTTCATTGTTTAGTCAGGGTATGGATCACATTTGTGGATAAAATGTGTGTTTTTTTGGTCAGTTTATAAACAAATGGGATAATTCAATTTTAAATATATATGTTTCACCAAATTGTAATTTTAAGATGTGCTTCGCAAAAAATTTTTAAAATGTAATCTCAAACTGTCTTTTAATGGTTACTTTATTTTATTGCTTATATTTCCTTTCCATTTTGATTGTTTTTCTTTATTTTTAAATTTATTGTTTCCTATTTGGAGTGACAAAGGTCATGTATTTTATTATAACTTACTTGTTTTTATTCTCTTACTTTTGTTAAAGCTTTCACATTTTCCCCAAAACCCAATTTAACACAAGCCTACCTTTTGTTTTGGTTAATTGCGTTTTACAACAATTAATCTTGTAAATGCTCTTGAATTGACAGATAGAAACATTTTAAATAAAAAAAGCAACTCAATTAACCTTGAGCAGCAGCATCTTTTAATACAATTCTCTGTGTAATACCTTTATTTGTTTTATTTTTCTGTCTAGTTTTTAGCGAGTCAAATTTTCACTTGATGTCATCATCACTGAGTCTTAAATTATATTACCATTAACATCAAACTTTCATATTCATATACTATTAAACTCAATTATTTTAATCAAATAAATGTTTCTTGGTAAACTTAAAGTAACCTAAAGTACGATTTGTGTTTTGTTAATATCTTCATTAATATTTTCCAAATCATCAATTGTTGTCATACTTGAATAATTTTTTCAAAAAAAATAATAATAATAATAATTTAGGGAGTGTTGTCATATTGAAAAGTGAATGAACACTATTAATAATGCTGAATTTTCCTTTGGGATATAACTATCATGTGTCCGTAACATAAAGGAAATGACTCCATACATAAAAATTTGTCGCTGTTTGTGATATTTTTTGAACAAAATTTTTTTTTTAAATCTTAAAACGTTTAATTAAGTTTCTATTACAAAGCCTTGGGTTTCTTATGGTTAATGGAAGTTGCGTTAAAAACCTAACTAGAAGCTTAATTTTTGAAGGGATAAAAATTAGAAAATAACTAGAAAAATTTAATAATGAATTGAATTCAATAATACAATTCTACTGGCGCATGGAATTCAGTAATTAAATGTGCCAGTAATCCTTAAGTCTAGAATATCATGAATGAAATAAAATGTGAGAAAATATTTGCGTAAAACTATGATAAATAATTTTTAATTGAATTATACAAATTAATTTGATTAAAAACATTTAATCACAAATTAAATAAATTAATTTGTGATATTTATTTTCTAGGCTTAGTGATCACTTACTTTTGTGGAAGTATGTTGATTTTATTTTAGAAAGAGAACAAGAACTAGGTGTTAAAGTAAGATATTTTTTTCATTTTAATTATTGATGAATAAAAATGTTTCTGTATAAAGATTCAAAAGATTTCTGATTTTTCCTTATAGATTTTTACTGACCGTCCGTCATCAGAACCTTCGTCTGAAAGGTTACGTCCTGATTTTATTGTTGAGTATCTTCATCGATATCCTCAAGCTTTATTGAAATATTTAGAACATTTAGTATTAGAAAAAAAGTTAGAAGTAAGTGGCATAAATTCTTCTTGTAAATTCTTTTTATTTGTCATTTTTTGAGCATTTTAAGTGTTTCACGAAGGTCAATTATTTATAACTTGAAATATTAGACTAAACTCAGTGGCACGACAGCCCATAGAGGGCCAAGGCCTACTGTGCCCATCTCCGTTTTCTTGACCTTTGGGCTCTGGGGTGCAAGAGCAGTTGTTCTGGTTGGATGGTCAACCCAATGTGGAACCCCCAGTGTTTAGTTCCCAAGCATGCTTGGTACTCATTTATCGAGCCACTGAAGGCATAAAAGGCTGAGTCAACCTTGCCTAGCCCGAGGAAACTTGAAATGTAACTAAAATATTTCTAAAACTCAATTTTTTTATGAAGTCATTATCCTTTTCTGTTCAATTATTCTAAATTTTTTCGCCCTTTAACTCTATTTTTTTAAAAGGATATATTTTGTGCTCTGGATGAGCTTTGTGTTCAGCAGTTGCTCTTAGAGTTTATGCATCAGAAGTCTATTGTCAATGATGTCTCAGCAAACGTTAACTCTTAACGTGTGAGATGATATGGATAAAAATCCAACCTTAAAAAAAAGAAAGAATAGCATTGAAGTATAACAATATTAAGAAAAAAAGAAATTATCTCTAAACAATTTTTACTACCACCGTCAAAAAGATTATTTCTTATGTTATTCTCTCCAATTTATTTCAGAGTTTTTTTTCAGACTCGTAACAAAAATAAACTTGATTAATTAAATTTTCTTATAATAAAATTTTGTAAGTGTCATGTACTTAAATACTTTTTTTAAGGTAAAAGCAAATTTTGTTTGATAGAAATAAGTTGTCTCAAAAATGTATCCTTTTGAACAGTTTATTTATAATGATTTTAATTTTAAAAACAATAAATTGTTCACAGAATTTTTAATATGAAGAGTTGTTTGCTTATAAGTTTTTAGTTGTATTGAAAATAAATTAAATGATTTAATTGGAAATATGAATATCTGTTTAAAAAATAAAAAATATTAAACTAAATTACAATTTTTAAATAGAATATTAAATATCTAGATTAGAAATTATACCGTTTGAGAATTCAATAAGATGTTTTGAAACAACTTGTAATATATAATATGAATAAAATTGCAGAATATGTTTATAAATTTATACTTTTTAACTTAAATTATCTTTTAACTTAGAATTTTTTAAATGGTAATTTTCGTTATAGTTTAATTTATAACTTGTGAAAACATGTATCTAAAGTTTTATAATATCTCACTAAGTTCAGCTTTTTTTTCCAAAACTTCTGTGGCCTGTCTGAGATATCCTTAATAGTTTTTATTTCATTTAATTATAAAATATTGCCTTTTTTATTCAACTGCATAATTTAATAAGAAAAAGGTTTGAAAATATTTGTTTAAATAAAACCAGTAGTATGTTTTTCAAAACATAGTTTTTGAAAATTCTATAAATGTTGCCATTTCAGTTAAAAAAAGAACAAATTTACTTTTAATTTATTTTAAAATTATTAAATAAATTTCAGGCAATAGGGATTTTAGATATTGCATCCATACTGATTTTTTAAAATCAGTTTCGCAGGGTTTGTTGCTATCCTGATTTTTCTGAAAAATAATGTTTTATCTCGATTTGTTTTGATTTTTATCTTTGTGTCTTAATATTTAAAATTCTTGTGTGCATTTAGAACGTCTCATTTCCAAAGAATACAAATGTAGATTTTTAAAAATAAGTTTGGAGAATCATTAAGTTTGAATTTTTTAATCCATTTTTTAAAATTAATAATGCCAGTAGATTTCTCAGACATTGATTGCTCCAATTTAACAGGGATTGTATACTAATTATATACATAGTTCAGGCATTTAGTCTTACCCACAGAATTCATTGCTTAAACTATTTCAGGAATTTTATGTAATCAAATGTTTTTGGTAATCAATTCAGAGATTATACACTTATTTATTTTATTAAGCGAAGGCAGAAACAAAGTCTTATGCTTGGTATAATACTGACTAAAACTCCAAGATGACTAAAATAAAAATTAAAAAGAAAATCAAAATCTTAATTCAAATAAAAGTCATTTTCAAATTAGTGTTAGCCACACTAAGCAAAAGCTAAACATACCAACTAACCAAACTAAACCCAACATTTACTTTAAAAAAATTAATGAAGTTTGTGAGAATTTCATCATGAGTCTGAACCCAAACCCTTTTTTCAGTAAACAAACATCTCATCTCTAGTAGACTTGAGTAGTTTCACAATTATTTATTTATCTCTCTTGTTTGACTTTAAAAATTATAGATTCCAATCAACAATTAAAATAATGATTTTAACGAAATCTTGAACTGAATTACTTATTTTAATTATATATTGTATGATGGAATATTAACCAATTGATACTCGTTATTATTATTTTTTAATGCAGTGTTACTATTAAAGGCTTCCATGAATAAATATTATGAGTTGTTCGATATTGATAAAATTGTTCTACAAACTTTTAAAACTTTCTGTTCTAAGCAAAGTATTTAGGAAAATAAAAATACTATATTTTAATACTCTTTTGCAATACAATTTTCTTCTAATTCACTTAAGTAGTGCAAATTCTACTTTTCTTCTTCTTCTTTTTTTTTTTTTTTTTTTTTTTTTTTTTTTTTTTTTTTTTTTTTTTTTTTTTTTTTNAAAAAAAAAAAAAAAAAAAAAAAAAAAAAAAAAAAAAAAAAAAAAAAAAATTACTGTTTTTTTTTATGTTGTCTTGATTTTTTCTTTAACCCACTATGAAGCATGGGTTGTATATTTACTTTAATCAAAGTAGCCATTTAAGAAGTTATTTTTAAAATTGGGTTGAAAAATAGTATTCTTAAAACTTATTTGTTTTGCTATGCTATTTAGAGTACCTAATATCTAGGAACAATATTTTAGAAAGAAAAGTTCCATACACATTTAGCGGTCATGTATATGGATTCAGTTCTTCAAATTCTTAAACTGCCCGAAACAGAACAAACTAGCTTAAGTGATGCCAGGTAATTTTATCATTATTTACACTTCAATGATCAATCATGCAGTTCCTTTTCTTATTCATTACTCATGAACTTGTTGTTTTGTTTAGAAAAAAACTTCAAGACCACCTTCACACATCCTCAATTTACCGAGTGCAGCTATTGCTGGGAAAGGCATTAGAAAACCAGCTTCATAAAGAGTGTGCTATTCTTTATGGAAAGGTATAGAAAGCATTTAACTCAAATAATTTTATTTTTGAAACAGAGTGTCTTGTAGTTTGGATAAACTGAGAAAGTCATAAATTTTTCAGATCTCTGGAAAAAAATGTAAAAATTCTAATGTTTAAAAAAAAAAAATCAGGGAATGTTTAAGTCGAAGAAATTTTAAATTCCTTGGGAAAAAATAAAACTTTCATAATTTAATATTTTTTAAGTCAGCAAAAAATCTATGTTCAGTCTATTTCCTCTTTGTAACCAAAGAAAGTTTTTCGATTTTAGTGTGTAATGAGAAAAAGCATCTAGAATTTTTTTTAATCTATGTATTTTGTTAAAAAGAATATTTCTGTATTATTGACTAGTAAATGTGCGTAATAAAAAATAAAAAAATCGAAACACTATTTAAATAGATATAAAATATCATGACCTACTTCACTTTAGTATTCATTATATAATTTTAATTTATTTAATAATAGGTATGTTAAACCTTTTTTTAAATGTAAATTTTTAATTTATATTTTAATTATTGTTTTTTAAGTGAAATTGGAAGAAAAATTCTTAATGTTAAGCATTTGCTCTTTAAGTTTACTTTAAATTTTTGTTGTTGATTTTCTATCATTTAACGTTTTACAAAATAGTTAGTTTAAGAAAATATTTTTAAAAAGTGGTTCTTAAAATATTAGCATAAAAGTTTGAAAAACCTGAAAAAGACAGGGAAACTTTCCTTTTCTAGAACTGAGCTAAACACTCTGTTATTTATTTTTTTAAAATTTTAAATACATTTACTATTATTTTATAGCTTGAAGAACACGAGAAAGCTATTAAAATTTTAGTGCACCAGTTGCAAGACCATGAAGCAGCTGAAGATTATTGTATACGAATGTCTGCGGGAAAAGACAAAAAATACAGACATAGGCTATTTTATGTATTGTTAAGTGTATACCTGGACAGCACAGCAAAGTAGGTATTGTAGCTTTTTGCTTTCTGCTATCATTGTATGCATAAAATGTGTCGTCCTTGTCGGGTTTTTTTCTTCTTTTTTTTTTTTCAGTTGGTACTTTTTTAAATATATTGAGTAAAAATTAGCCACTCATTAGAATAAATATTTTGATGAGTTGCTACTGTAAGAAAAAAAATGAATCATATTGAGTAAAGACAATTAATTACAATGATGAGCAAATTTTTTGTTACATTTATACAAATAATTGATCTTTACTAATTTGGTTGTGAGGATTTGAAATCTGAAATTAGTTTTGCACCCAAAGCTACACTAAAATGTCATTTAAGAAAACTAAACTAAAACGTCATTTCCAAAAAAATCTGTAGCTTTGCACCTAAAGTTACAGATTTTTTTTTAATTAGACATTTTTAGTTGATAAAATGATTTTTTTTTAAATGATATTCTTTTGTTGAAATATAAAACGTTTTATATATAGCAAGACTTGTGTAAATGTGACAAACTTTTAGAGGAGTTGGGACACATCATCATGAATGAAATTGCATAGTAAACCATGCTAATATGCGGCTATGGGCGTTTCCTCATTATGACCTGTTAAGAAGCGCAAGAAGAGACAGTTCTTTATAGGGAACCACTGTGGTGCATGACTGCATTTCTATGTATGGGATCCTATGCAATTTAAATCCTAATGATGTGTCCTAACTCCTCTAGAAGTTTGTTGCAACCCTCTGTTATATATAACGTTTTTAAACTTGTACATTTTGCCCACGAATAGACAAAAATTGTTATTTGAAAAAATTTAACTTGGAGAGAGAAACCGATTACAGATTTCCAATGTGCGATACAAAAGTATCTAATATCTTAAAAAAATCTCATGTAACAAGAAAAAAAACTTGTTCTCCAGTGTTATCTAAATCATAGTAATAAATACCTTATTTGTGAGCTGTTAATCCATATATGTTATTTTATGTATTTTAATATATGTTTTTTCCCTTAAAATATTTCAATTTAATAATTCATATTTTTATATGTTCCTTCATTGTTTCTGTGTTTGTTTTATTAGTTCTGTGGTGCTTTTTTAATGTGATATTTAGTCCCAACAAAATAAAATTTCATGGTTGACGTAATCTGTACAAACAATAAAATTAAGTTATATTTTAATTCTTTGATGATTTTTTTTGTGCATAACTTTTTAATTAAACTTAATTATAATTTAAAAAATTACTAAGCTCTATTAATGATTTATAATAAAACTTAATATTAAAATGCCAATAAAGAAAAATTAAACCAGCGTTTTCTTTTCTTTTTCTTAATATCTCTATCTTCAGGTTCAGGGGAGCTTTTAAAATTTATTCATGATGCTTTGTTTTGTTTATTTAACTTTTGTAACATTCTTAGAAGCAGGCTACACACAGTTATTCAAGGTTAATGATATAACAATAATGCAAAAAGATGTTTATTATTAACTATTCTTTTCAATGAGCAACTTTTGATGTAATTAAGAATTTATAACAAAGCTTGGAAAATTTTATTTTGTAATATTAAAATGTGAATATAGCATATTTGTCATGAAATTCATAAGCTTGTTGGTCATCTACTTCCTGAATTTTACACAATGTCAGTATTTTTAATTGTTATAGAAATCTTTTTAAATTTGTATTTTTTGTAACATTGTAATATTAACTTTAAAATATTTGTTTATATTGAATTGTGATTCTTCATGAAATATTTCAATGATGTCTGCAGCTCTCTATACACAGTTTAGTTGTGTTTTTTTATTATTATTATTATGATTTATTTTTACTTTTAATATTCTACACAGAAAAATGTTTAATATTTTCTGTCTAAAATTCTTGTTAACTGTTCGCTACTTTATTGCCCTGTTCTCAGTTTTGGTTACAATAAATTATTACTTAATTTATAATCAATCTTTTTTAACTAATCAGCTACAAGTGTAAATTTATACAATATTAATCATGTTTAGATATCAGTGTTATTTTAACTTGATTTTCTAAGAGGCTAATTTAATAGTTAATAAGCTATTTGAGCATGTTTTTTTTTCTGGGGGGGGGGGGAAGGAGATATGAAAAAGAATACCTATGTCCAAAAATCACAACTCATAATTGTGAAAAATATTTACGTTCATTTACAACTTTTTCCTAAGTCTTCAAAATAAGTTGAAATAATGTTTTTTTTTTTTAAAAAAAAACTTTTATTTAACATAATTTGAAGGTTTTATTGCATCTTTCTTGAAAACGTAAATAATAAAAATTTACATAGTGCAATTTAGCACATAGTCACATGGATTTTTCTAGAGTTGAAATTTTCACTTCACTTTTGAACATTTAAAAACTTAGAATTTTTTGAAAGAATCTTTCTTATAACATTCTCTTTCATCATTATATTCTTTATTTTAGCGAGAAGCAACAAGAAGACATGCTGCCTGCTGCCATACAATTATTAAATAGTGATTTAGCAGAGTTTGATTTTACAAAGGTATTTTTATTGATTATAAATTTTATGTTGAGTTATAATATTAAAACCATTTATTGAGATAAAAAGGTAGCAATTAATTTAAATCTCTCCTTCAGAAGTTCAGAGATGATTATGAGTCCAAGTCAAAATTCCGAAAAATTTCTTAATTAAAAAAAAGTTTAAATCGAAAAATTAGAAAAATTTAAACAAGGTTTTTTCCTTTTTCTCAATATTTCTTAGTTTACTTAAAATATATTTAAAATTTTACACATACCTATGATGACCTGGAGAAGTAATTGAAATTTACAAATATGTCTTTCTTTTTTGAGTTTATGATTATAATAACTATTTACTGATAAAAATTTAATAATCATGAATATAAGCTTATAAAATATCTGGCTCTCCCTTACAAACAAATAAAATAAACTGTGTTTTTAAGTTCCACCTTTGAAAATTTGATTTCCGGAAACTTTTGTGATCAATGATTTTTTGAAACGTCTGAACCTTCGATCTCTGGAAACTTCCGGATCACAGCTAGCGAAAAATCCGGAAATCCGGACTTTTTCCCGAGCACAATCATCCCTGGAAGTTTTAAATTATTTAATGGGCATTTAAAAAAGATTTTTTTAAAAAGATATTTGAGGTTTCATATATTTTGTTTTTGAAAAACTTGAGCATCCTAATTTTCTTGGTTTTATCCATTTTTGTCACTTCATGTGATTAAAAGCAATTGTGCAAACAATATAAATTTATGCACTACCAAAAGATGAATAAAGTGATGTGTTTTTAAAAGAACCTAGTTTTCCAGCTAAACTTAAATATTTTGCTGTACTAGAATTTAAACCTTTTCTTTTATATATCAATAAAAAAAATTTATTTATAAAATATCGTTAAAGTGTTGCATTTTAATTATTTTAAACCTTAACATAATTGAAAACATAATGTAGTGGTTTCTTTTCTAAGAAGTTAAGTTTTTCTTATTTGTGTGACATTTTTACCTTAAAATTAACTTATTATTAAAAAAATAAATAAAAATTTATGTTCATTAACTATAATTAATTGATGACTATTAGAAATCTATTATATTTTCTTTGTTTTGTTACATTTAAGTACTTTTATATATTTCAATAGGTAATGCAGTTGATTCCTCCTAACTGGTCAGTAGCAATTTTGGACCAATTTTTAATCAGAGCCTTGCGATCCAGTTTACATTATCGATATTGTTGCAGACTACAAAGTGCTCTTTCAAGGGGTGAAAATTTGCAAGTGAAGTTTTCTAAAATTCATGTTGAAAACACTTCTGTCTTAATGACAGAAGACAAGTAAGTTGCATTAATACCAACTATCTTAATCCACTTGTTTAATAATATTTTAACAACAAACTTTTCAAACACTTAATTTTAAATTGTATTATAAAAAGCTGTTAGACTTGTTCAGTGTCACTACCAGCATTTTCCGAATTTCTTAAATCGGAACTGGTGGCTTTTCAACAGGGTTATCTTAATAGTGTTATAACAAATGTTTTAGGAGATGACTATAACCGACTAAAAAATAACACTATTTTGATTCTTTTTAACATTTTCAACTTAAAAAAGTCATCTAATCTGCCAAATGTAATGTAAAATATTTTGTCTGTTTAGCTTAAATTAATTCTTAAAAAAAATTTAAAAATTGGCTTTTAGTAAATAAACTGCCTTTTAGCAAAAAATGTCTGTCATTGTAAAGATAAACTTTCTTTTAGCGAGTCAAAAATTAAAAAAAACGCAACAGTTTGATGTTTATTTCATGCAAAAAATTTTATATATTATGATTCAATACAAATATCATTTCATTGGGTAAATTAAAAACTTTTTCCCTCCTAAAAGTATATTAACTCACAGTGACTAGTAAAGGTAGTAGGTAACAAGGGAGTTTGTGTACAATTTTGCACAGGAACTGGATGCTTAAAGGGTTAAAATTCAATTTTGACATTTATACTTAACATTCTACTCAATTGTGTGATCTTATTCATTCAGCACTCTTAAAAAAAACTTACCCCATTTGTTGCAACACTGGGAAATTGATGCACTGGGATAATCTTTCATTTAAAAAAGGAATTTTTTTTTTTTTTTTTTTTGCTTTCATGTCAGCTTAAAGCAGAACTACTGATTTTATGTTTTGTTCATTACTGCTATAATAAAGATTTCTTAAGAGTTTCTCAAAAACAAACTTTTCTGTATCAACGATCCAATCTAACAGCTTTGCTTACTTTTTGACAAAAGAAAAAAATCTGCTAATCCTAAAAATGCTTTTCTCATCTTAAAGGAAGCTAAAGTTTATGTTCTCTTATTATTAACATGTAATCAATAATAATAAATCCATAAACATTTTTAAAAAATCACATTCTCAGTGTTTTAAACTTGCCTAGCTTTTTAACGCTTTGATATTTAACTCTTGGTTAAAAATATGGAAAACCTTTTTTCTGTGCACCTTTTATGAAAAAGCTGTTAGTTTGAGATCTCAGAATAAAACTTACTGAACTTTTTATTTTGTTTCTATAGACTTTGTGCTGCTTGTAAACGTTCATTTGTAGAGCCTGCTTTTGCAAGACATTCCAATTCAAGCATAACTCACATCCAGTGTGCCAAACATATGAACTTATCCTCAGATTCATCTAAGTCAAAAATAGAGCATTACAACCATAGGTGATAAAAGGACCTTAATAAAGAACCGGTGTCACTTCAAAGAAGTGTTTATTATAATTTATGTTATCTATGCAAAATTTTAGATAGATGCTTTTGAAATACTATATGTAATCATCACTTTATACCACTATATTGTGATTAAAATTACTTGTGAGGAAAATGAGAGGTCAAAACTTTTTATCTAGTGTAAACTTGTACAAATGTTTATAGGATCTCCATTTGTTGTAATATAACCAAGAAACATATAAATTAATTTTCAAATAAACTGAATTTATGTCCTTATTTTTGCTAACCCTTAAAGATTCAAAAGTATTTTAAGTTTCTTCCCACCAGGTATAATTACAATGATTAGTTGCAATTATATAATTAATTATAAGTATATAATTTATTGAAACTATGACAAGTGTGATAAAAATAATACAAAGATTTTAGCTATAACATGTGCAGTATTTGACCCAATAAGTGAAAGGCGCTTTTATGTATAGTGCTTACAACATTAATAATATAGCATTATATTAATTATGTAATGCTATATTAATGTTCATATAATAATATAGCAAAATGTTTGGAAATAATTCAGGTGTTCGAAGTTAAAAATAAAACAATACTATTTTTATATAATTTATTTCTTAAATATTCACGTGTAAATTAGCTGCCAATAAAATTTTAAAAAATCAAATAAAAATGTATTTCAGCTAGAAAAGTAGTGAAATTTTGAATTTACAAATGTCCTACACTTTTACACACCAAAAACTTAGTTACACAATATTATTAATATAGATTTCTAAATTTTGCCACAATATCATCAAAATGCACAAGATAAAATGATCTAATTTTTCAGCTTGCAATTAGACTTGTCATGAAGCAGACTTGTTTAGACTTTGTATTTCATCCTTTATATTCTTCCTAGCTTGTTCTTCATATTTATCACGAAACATCTTAGTAGCATAAATGTTTGGAATTTGTAAAAAATGTTCAAGTACCTACATTAGAAAGAAATCATTAAAATTGGAATTTTTTTGAACTATACTTTGTGAGTAACATTTGATATACAACTTTTAAAAAAATTATTTTTTACATAAAAAAAGTTCACTGAATGAAGAGAAAAAAAATAGGTATGTAGTTTATTCACGTAATTTAACAAATAGCTTGCATTCTTTTTTTGAAAATTTGAACAGTTTGTATCTATTTTAGATCAATTGATAAAATTTATTAAGTTCTTATTTCATTAAAAGTTCAAAAAATGGTGTGATGTAGAATTACAAAAATAAATATAAACATTTATTTCAACAAATTACGAAATATTTATCCATTATTATTTCAGCATAAATATTATGATTAAATTTTAAATTAACACGGGATCAAAAGAAAAAAGTTATTGAGTATGTACCCATTACATAATAGGTATATTGAGTGTTTAATTTTATGTTAAGAGTGTTCATTTATTAGTGTTTTTTATATATTTATAAATTGTAATATTTTAATATATCTTTACTATGTTTAGAACTTACAAAGTTGTGGTAGTACTACATATACAAGTAATGCAAAAAGATTCTTTGTTATTTTCTATTTTAGGGAAATTTCTTTTAAAAAGACTATTATTAAAAGCTTAGTAATAATGCAGACACAATATTTCTAATAGGGAAAACTAGAGATAATACTTTTCTTTCAAAAATAGCTGAAATATATTTTATATTAATTTAAATAAAATGAAAATATACTTTAGACTTTGTCATTGAGTCAATAAATGGGCATGTAAAACATCCAGTAATTCAAAAACTTTAAATAATACCTTTAAACGCATGAAGCAGTATTTAGTTTTCGGTATAAAACTGTATTCCTCTTCAATCATTGATGCATATTTCAAATAATCTGGAAAACAAAATAAATTTAAAATGAAGCAAACAAATTGTGTTGAATTGACATAAAAGATGCTATTTAAAGAAAAATTTACAAACCTGAATTTTTTGCACTTAAATAATTAATATCAAAATCTTGAAAATAGTGCACATCATCTTTTCCAAATAATCCTTCACTCATATGTTCTTCAGTACAACCTTTAGAAGACATTATAAGATCTACTACTTTTGTTACTAATTCTTCATTCTGAAACATTAAATAGATGTTTTAAGAACTAACCCATAAACTTTATATAATATATATTTTAATCTAATAGAAATTGACTTTTTATTAAAGTCATTCGTCTTGTCAAAATTAAAAACTTTTACTGCATTTTGTTTGTAAGCTTAGAAACTTAACTACAAATTAAATTGATTGAAACTAATAAAGTAATTGGGTTTGGGTTGGCAAAAAAATAACTTTTCTAGTGGAAAAAACTATTTTTTTCTATATAAAAAATGAAAGAATCTTCCTTTCAGTTTCATGACATTTTGCTAAATTTCTGGTAACTTCATGATCCAACACTTTTAGAACTTCTGATCCTTATTTACAAAAAACTCAACCAAGTGCAATCTGAGGTTTTGTAAACTTCGAAATAAACGATAACCTGATGATGCAAGGTCAGGGCCACGGCAGTGCATCGCTTCACACATCTTTAGAAGTATGTACAAAATCATTGAAGTTCGACTGGAACCACATCCTCAATACAGCTCCGACCTTGCACTATCAGACTATCGTTTATTTTAAATTTACACAACTTTTTAAGTAAGAAAAATTTTAGTAATAAGGATGACTGCAACTCATATTTGGTAAAAAGTTTTTTTTTTTAAAAAAAAAGTTCTATGAGTGTTGGATCATCAAAGATGGCAAAACAACATCAAACAGAATGGAAAATATTTCACTAATTGAACTTCATTTTTTCGCATAGAACAAATTGAGTTTTACTTCACCCTAAAGAACCTAAATTACTTTCTTGTTAACCCAATATTATTCATTTTTACCTGCTTTTATTCAGACTTTATTAATCAGATGATTTCACTGGTTTATTAAGCTCATGGTACTAATATTTCTATAGCTAGTTTATTGATGTTTCGTATGTCTGAAAATATATTTCCTGCATTTTTAATCCAATAAGTAATTAAAAATTTACTACAAAAGATGCAATGCAATTTTTTTCTCACTATTTTGGGAGTAGTTTCTGTGAAATCAAATTTTAAATATTACAACTTTTTACAATTCAATTATTTGAATGATTTCGTTCTAACTTTGTATTTTTTTTTATAAAATTACATTCTTTAAAAGATATAAAAGTTTGTACACATTACAGTTCAAAATTTTTTCTTTTCATCTATTATTAAAAATTTTTGCATGGATAATTTTTTTGGATGAAAGAATTTTATAACTGTGTGCAGAATTTTTTTTAAAGAAATATGGCAAATATGCAAAAGAAAAATGTATATTAAGAGGCCACTCTTTTGACCAAACTATTAGGAACCTATTTCCCAGATTGCAGCTACCTACTATATTTTGGAAGGTCAAAAATCCATAGTAAAAAAGGTGTGTTCATTCAGAGAAAGTGCATTTCTGTGTCCCATTTTGTAACTTAAAACATAGTCTGTACTGGTATTAACTAATTAGCTTATTTGAGGTTATCCTCTCAAACCTTTAAGATTGACTCCTAGTATGTGAAAATCTGATCATTAGGATCAAAAGTTATTCAGAGTGGTTATAAAAAATATTATAAAGGTTATTCATACATACCATACTTTAATTAATCAAAAATTTCTGAGACATATTACTGTTTTAATTTTCACACTAAATTTTATTTTGTTATATTAAACATTATTATTTGCACTGATGTCAAAGTTAAATAAAATAATTAGAACAAAAGCATTGTTAGGGCATTACATATCTAGGATAGGAGGGTCACACCAAAGAAATTAAAAAATTTTAAATTTTTTTTAGAAATTCAAAAATATTGTATTCCATTTTATAATAAAATTGCAGAATTATAATATATGGTTAACTTAAAAGATTTTTGTAATGATTATTTAAAAAGGAGCCTTAAACACAATATTTCTCACTTCTAAAGGCCTCTAATGATATGCATATAAAAATTAAATAATAATATGAAATTTGAAGTTAAAAAAAATTAAGTTAATTCTTATAAACGAAATTTAAAAAAAACAAACATTTATTTTATATTAAAATTTTTAAGCAAAAACTCAAGGTCCTACTTAATTAATTTTTTAGTGGAACTGCAAAAAGAATGTATTTTTAAAGGGCCTTAAAGAATATTTTATTCAGTGACCATTAAACCTAGTGGTGTTTTTTTTCCTTGGAAAATAATACGAACACGACAAACAATAATAGGAAGAAAAGATTGTACAAAATTAACTTTGCATAGTATTAGATAAAACATTAAAAATCAAGTAAAAGTAAAAGAAACACAAATAATAACAGAAATCAAAAGAATAAAACTTACATCATTAAAAAATGAATTATCCAGGAAATCATTATAAAAGACTTCTCAAAATAGGCAACTAATCATTATGAAGGGCAGATCTAAACATTGAAGAGCAAAACTAAAAACGGCTATAACTTTTAAGCAATGAAATGTTTGAAAAATGATAAAAATAAAATGTCCATAGATAAAGCAACTTAAAAAAATAAATAATAATAAAATATATTTTTGCTTTAAAAGAAGCAATTTATTAAAATTAGAATGTTCATTTTCAGTAATTAAAGAAATAAAATAACTATTGCAAGAATACATTGAAAGGCAAAATTAAAAACAGGCAAACTAATTAATTGTAACACAAGTTTATAACTCCAAAATTAACAAATTAGACCTAAGTCAATGTAATCGAAAAAAGTATATTAATTTGGGTGTAATTTTAATTCTAAAAAACTTAGTAGTTTTGAGAATAAAATAAGCATTTCATTTAAAAGCTTGTTTAACAATCTTGGAAAAGTACAAGAACACAACATACATAGCTTACAAACTATAATTTTAAATAATTTTAAATAATATAAACTATAATTATAACTTTAATATGATCTGCAAACAATCAAATTTAATATCTGAACTACCTTTCACTTTTTTATCTTTTCACTTTTAATTTAAAATAATAATTCCTAAGTGTTTTTAAAAAGTAAATTTCATTCAATTCCCTAAATCATCAAATTTTCTTATTAATCTCATCCAACTTGAAAAAAAAAATTTCTTACATCATTTACAGGATTTATAAAGAATACAAGTATTGTCAATCATAAGTAATAAGTCTCAACTTAAAATTTTAAAAAAAATCTTAATAATAAAATTAATAAATATGCTATAAAATTTTTCTGTGTTCATCTTAAACAAAACCTAAGATGTCTCCTAAACTCCGGAAGACTCCTAATTATTTGGTCGTACCTAAGTTCATGTCCATTTTTGTTAGGTGCCATAAGGACAGGCATGGAACTTTTGAACAACCGAAATTTATATTATTATAATGAAATATTTTTAAATAAATTCTAAGCCGTTTAATAAATGATAAACACATTATTAGAAAACACTTGTTGTAAAAAAAATGAAATTAATAACATTGAGAAACGGAAACAGTAAAGACATTGCTGCACATAATCAGGACCTTTGGAGATAAATTTAACGTTGATAACCTGTTACATCAGCTCATCTTGATGATCTAGAATTAAGTTTATTTCATATGAATGCCATTTTGATTAATGATCAGTGAATCAAATCCACACCTCCATTTTTCGCTTAGAAATGTATCCCAACTAGATTTGCCTTGTTTAACAACAATTTTATCCCTTGGCTACCACGTTTTTTTCTCTCGTTTTCCACGTTTATTTAGAAGTCAACATGTTTTCTTATTTCAACATTCATGGTGGGTGGGTTTCAAGAATAAACATTTTGTTTTAACCTCTCAAATTTGTCAACTTGTTCTACCTTAAGTATTTTTTAAGTTTTTCCATTAACAAGTACACTTATTTTAACACCTTCAGACCCTGGCCACATATGATATAATAAGTCTTCTAGAAAATTTAATAAATACTAAGTAATTTAAACAGATAATTTTTGCAAGGCAAATTCTACTGATTTTAATAATTTAATCTAATTCATCAAATTCAAAGATCTTTGTCATAGGTAGTAAAAGTAAAGAATTATAATGATAATTTATTAAAAGACCAATTGGATCATCTACAAAAGGCACATAATTTGGAATACTAAATAAACTCAGAAAATATTACTTCTACTATTCCAGAATCTCCTGCAAATTCTCTGAAAACCTTGACACTTTCTTCTTCGTTATCTTGGGATTTGGCATCATAAACAATGCTGCAAGCAAAAAAGTAATGCAAGTTAAAGCAAATTTCAAATTAAATACCAAATTACCACATTTAATTAAACAATCTTATGATCAAAACAAAACACTCACTCATGAAAAAATATAGCATAAGACATTGATGTTTTGTCATGAATATCATCACTATTTGAGTCCATAAGCTTAAACATGTGTTCCAGATGAAAAAATGTGTGAAACTTCCTACAAGGTTCTGAGTATCGAGAGCATAATATATCCCACCACTTTTCTTGTGTGCTCATTTGTAAGCTGGCTGTTAGATTTTCCCATTTTTCCTTTAAAAATGAACTCATTTCAGAGAATAACCTAGAGAATAAAAAATTATATGTTAATTCAAAAAATTTTGATACTATATAGTAGAAATGTATTGTGTGTAATAATTTTGCCAAGTCTGGGTATCCGATGAAAATGGAACCTTTTACCAGATTGGTTTCGGGTACTTAATAAAATCTTCAGTAATCTGACTTTTAATCATTATGCTTTTATTAACATTTAATAACTATCATTAATTCCCTAGTTCTAATTTGTATTTATTAAATTATCATATTAATTTAGTTAAAATGAAGAGTTTTAAAGTTACTGTAAATCTGAATATGGTTGTGTTGAACTATATAGAATATTAATTAAAATGAATATTACTTGGCTCTAGATACCCAGTAAACACCCATTTAGGGTACCCACTACTGGGCCTGGAGACTAAAAATGAGATCTGGGTACTCAGAGAATTTTTTTGCCGGGTCCGGGTAATGAAATGTATGGATAAAGCTGGGTAAAATAAAATTAATCTGGTTGGGTACAAGGTAAATGCCAGGTATGGTCCTACTCTATAGTTATGATTAGAATCTAGTAAATATATTGTAGTTTGTTAATTAAAATTGTTGTAGGTAGATATCTGGTAAACAATATCCTACAATAAGACTGGCGAATAGCTACAGTCAGATCATACAATTACAGGGTTCTCCCTAGCAACAAAAAAGGTAAGAGTGCTTCCTCACAGAATAAGGCTCTTTTAAGTTTTGAAAGGACACTCACTCACTTAACACCATAAAAATTTATCAAAATGAAAATATAATTCTATTAGTATGCAATAACTGAATTTGATCTTAAAAATTTTTGAATTACCCTCTTATACTATTTTAAATGTGTATTCGAGAAAAGTAATTCTCACACATTATCAAAATATGAGAAAAATGTCTAGTTTATAAAAAATAATTAAAAGTATGCTAAAAGACAATCAGGATATTTCCATATCGTGATCTGTTGCGCCAACTACAATCGCCAAGGTGCCAAATAGATTTTAAACTAGCAAATTTCTTTAAAAAAAACATGTAGATGTTTGCCGGGGGGTGGCTACGAGTTATACCTACATTTCGAGTTGGTCCCTTTCTGGGATTTTTTTTTTAGTTTCTAGCAGGCCGCTGCCCGGAAGTTGCCAAGACTTGGCAATAATTCTGCCACAGATTACGATACAGAAATCTCCCCTACAATCACTGAGCACAATGCTGTGGGTGTGCGTGGAAAAAAAAATTATTATAATAATGAATAAACAATTTGAAAGCTTTTTCATATAATTTAAACTAAAAATTATGAGAAAATAAGCAAGCAATGATGCTTTTTTTAAAAAAAATATTTATTTAAAAAATAATTTTAGAATCACTTAAGAGAGTAACTAATACACCTCCAAAAAAAAGAGAAACTTATAAAAATTAAACCAGTAAAGAATAATTCTAACAAAAAACAAAATTAAACCTATAAACACAGATAATTTAACCACTGTGTAATTATTGTTTAAACAGTGAATTAATTTTTTTCCAAAATGGAATATGAATAAAAAGGCAGCGTATTTAAGGAATGGCGGTTTTTAGAAAAGGGCAAAGGGTGTCGGCCGCTCTTCTAAAAACGTTTAGGGAGAAAACTGAAATTATTTGGCAGCATTTTCACTTCAAATTCATGTGCACAAAAATAATGTAAATGTAATAAAATATGAAACATTAAGCTAGGGGTGCACAACCTGCGGCCCGCGGGCCAAATGCGGCCCTTCGACTACTGAAGTGCGGCCCGCGAGAGCTTCTAAACACAANATGGTTTATATATAATATTTTCTGGTAAATATTTCAATCACATGAAGGAATTGATTTAATAAATCTGAGCAATAACGCCATTTACCAATGTTGTATTTGTAGACTTTAAAAAGCATATGTTAGAGTTCAAAAATTCGAGCAGTACTAATAAGTCATTGCACTTACTCAATAACTTTTACAAATTTAAAAACTAGTTGTTAAGTAGGTAACACATAATGTTACATCAGCATCTTTTTTAAAGAAAACAGCATGCAAAAATTGTTACCTGCTCTTCTGAATCAAAATTTATGAATACATAATAAAGCTACCTTTTTCAAAGTATATAATAAAGGAAATCATTTAATAGAGAAAAAATGTTTTCAAATTTTTAGCATCTGTTGTTAACCCCATTAATGCAATTCAATAAAAGAACATATTTTTAATTTTAAAAATATGCAAGTTAGCTCACAAGCAAAAATCATAGTGCAAAACAGAAAGTAATATGTAATTAATATAATTATAACGGCAAAATTTCTAAGGAAAACAATATAAAATAATAAAAATTATTTTAATATTAAAAAAATTAAAATACTAACGTTCAGCCCTTACTCGATAGGAAAAATCGGAAAAATAATAGCAGTAAACGCAAAAGCGAAACTAATGAAAAATAGATGCTCTCTTCACTTTTCATACGACATGCTTAGCTAACCAATGACTTTTGCTTAATTTTTTATCTTTTAGTAAACTCAAATGAGAAATAAATAAGAGAGTTAAAAAATATTCTTGAACCGATTATAATTTAAATTATTCAAACATTAAGACCTTAAAATGTATGTAAATAGCAAAGCGCACTGTTCTTACTGTATTAAGAAATTTGACAGGTGTGAATCTGATTGGTGAAATATATTAACTTGCGAAAAATTCTCCAATCAGTTTCTTGTTTGCGTCCTTGAATTTTAAGCGTTCAGAGAATTACTTAATTTTGTCACAAATAAAGAGCTATAAGCATGGAGTCTGCATAGCGTTAAGTTCGTCGCATCTTCTCCGAATCTAAAATATCAAAACATTAATCAAATAGCTAAATGTTGATAATAGTTTTCCGGTGAATTAAAATAAACCATTAGCTCGCAAAATTTTATTACGTTTGTCTCGATTGATATTTACATTCCCCTATTGCGCAACCTTTTTCAATAAGGGTTTCTAACTTGATCATAAGAGAACATCATCTTGAATAAAACTTAGAATGTAACTTTGACAATTTAAAATGGACAACTTTCTCTCTTCAATACTAAAAAAAAAATAGTGCTTCATTACAGATTCTTTAATGCAACATTTGAAAATTATAGTGGTTTAACATCTTGTTTACACTGAAAATAATCATTAACAATATGTTTGTTGGAAGAAATAAGGTTTTAACATAAATAAAATTTTAATGCTCGAAAGAAATTTTATTCATACTTTATAAAACCAAAAATCGCATTTTAATTAAAATCACTCATTCATACTAACGAAAAGTCTTATTCATGCGGTTATTGTTGTAAAACGTTCTCATGAAATTTAATTTTAATACAACATGATGTTCTAATCATTTTCATTCACTCTGTGAGCATAACCAAACAATAAAATAAGTCCTTAAGTTTTTTCTTGTTTATTCAGGTAAAAAACGTTATTCATGAAGCATGTCTGAAAAATATAATTTAAAGGAGTGTAATTTAACGAAACAAAAACGTTATGCCTGCAATCTGTGTGATAAATCTTTTGCTTGGAAGTGTAGTTTAGATCAGCATTCTTTTATTCACAATGCAGAAAAGCCTTTTTCATGCAATGTGTGTGATAAAACATTCAAACAGAAAGCTAATTTAAAAGCACATTGTCTTGTTCATATGGAAGAGAAACCTTATTCATGCAGTGTTTGTGCGAAAACTTTCTTACGAAGACAATCTTTAACTCAACACTCTCTTGCTCATACTGGAGAGAAACCTTATTCATGTAATATATGTTATAAAACATTCACACAAAGAGGAAGTTTAAGTGAGCACTCTCGTGTTCATAGTGGGGAAAAACCTTATTCATGCATTGTGTGTGATAAAACTTTCATGTGGAAAAATTACTTAGCTAAGCACTTACGGGTTCATACTAGAGAGAAACCTTTTTCATGCAACGTGTGTAATAAATCTTTCACCTGTAAAAACAGTTTAAACGATCACTTTGTGATTCATAATAAGGAGAAACGTTATTCATGCAGTGTGTGTGATAAAAAATTCTCATGGAGAAATTCTGTAATTAAACACACTCTTATTCATACGGGAGAGAAACCTTATTCATGCAGTGTGTGCGATAAAACTTTCTCGCGGAAAACTTCTTTAACTAGACACGCTCTTGTTCATACCGGAGAAAAGCCTTTTTTATGCAATGTATGTGATAAAACATTCACTCAAAAAATAAGCTTAACTAAGCATGCTCTTATTCATACTAGAGAGAGTACTTTATCATGAATTAGAGAGTGCTCATCACAAATAGAAGAAATTTAATCAGGGGTCTGTCCAGACATTTTGTGAAAAGTCCTGTTTTTGTAAAATGGTGAAAAAACTACTCATAATTTGTGAATATAAAATAAGCGTTAAGTCACATTCTTTCAACCAGGGTCCTGCTTTTGTGAATTTGTGCAAATAGGGTCCTGTTATTGCAAAAATTGCTAAAAACCTTTTCAAGAAGTTTTTAAATTGTAAATAGGTACAAGATTCTGCTCAACAATTGCTACTACTAAATTAGAGATGCAACATACAAATATTTGGTATTTAGCCTATACTGCTCAACACAGAATATTAATTTCAGACGAATAATGGAAACAAAATTCAAAATCATTCACGCTTCTAATAATTTCAATTGCATATTTTAACTAACTCAACTTGGTTATGTATCACTTTTAATGTGTTGCGCATTAAGTAAACTTAAAAAATTCTTAAATTTATAATATTTAATTTAAAAAATTGCCAGAAATTAATTTTTATTTACATAATATTCTTTTAATTAATTTTATGAATAAATATAAATTGATCAATTATTTATTTACGAAAAAAAATTATGATTTAATATTAATAAGAATGCCCACACGATGTTTGTAAAAGTCGAAATATTTTGTTAGAACACTATACTTGGAATTTAAATTTAGGGAAACTTGGAATACTTATTACATTTTCAACCCTCTGCCCCCCCCCAGGGAAGGGTCTATTCAATTAACAAACCAATAATGAAGCTAAACAAATTTGTGAAGGGTCCGTTAACGGACCCAAATTTCTTCTAATCAGACCCCTGAAGGAAATAGACATCATCACACTGTGTGCAAGATTTCTACTGGAGTGGAGAAAAAAAACCTATTGAGGCAAAATAAGTTTCTTCCTAATTAGAAAGAAACTTATTGGAAAGTGATAGAAATGGAAGAAACTTTTTTTAAAAAAAGAAATGTGGATTACTTAAATTCTCTTTTAAAATAACTTTTAATTGCAAACTAGTATAATGTATTAATATCTAAACTATTTAATTTATTAAGCTATTTTTATTTACTTAAATTAAGTAAAAAGCACCAATTGGAAAGAAAAATAAAATTAAAAATATCTTGAATTGAACTATTTTTAATTATATGTTTTATGTAAATACTTATGCTAAAATGTTAATTTCATAATGGTATAAGAAACTGAAAAAAATAATGAATTGCATTTTATTAATATTACTAAGCTACCAAATCACTTATTACGCATATAATCTCTCAACTATTAATCACATATTGAAAAACAGCATATTAGTTTTTATAATCAATCACTGTAAAAAAAATAAAGAACTGTCTCTACTACAATGATGTATAAATTTTGAAATTCCATATAAAACTAAAATAAATACTAATACGTGAAATAAATATTAAAAATAAAAGGAAAAACTTTCTTCTTTTACGTATATATTAAATTTTATTTGTTTAAATTTCAGTTATTCTTATAACACTTATTTCTAAACGATCATATTGGTTAATTTTAGCTTCTTCTTGTTTTTTCCGTAAAAATTTTGCGCATAAATTTTTTTCAAATAAATGCTTTCTTTTCATACTGAATAAAAGTCTTATTCATTCTGTATGTATTATACTAAGAGTATGATTTCAGAAGAGAATTTTAAATTTATACACTATCTTGTTAATACTTGAGAAAAATTTAATTCATGCAATGTACGTTATTAAATATTTACTCAGAAATTTCATTTAAGAGAAACTCTTCACCTGAAGAGAAATCGTACTTGTGTCATACCTGTGATAAAACTCGTTTAAAGAATCAACTGAGCACGAACTGTGGAAAAGAAACTTATTTTAGAATTTGGTCAACCTTTTTAAATACAGAGAGGGCAACTAATAAAATTACTAGATTATAAAATCAGTCGATTATTGAAATTAAATTTTCTTGGATAGAATCATTATAATATTACAACAGGCTAAAACCTTCCTTTAACAAAATCATTATCATCGTTTTGTAAAATCAAATTTTTATAGAATATTTAAAAAATTAAAAACAAATGTTTTTTTTCATCTTAATTTTTTAAAACTTTAACTATTTTCTCAAGTTTTGGAAGCATACGAATATCAAATTACATTCTGCCTGTAACAAATTAGATCTGATTACACTTCTCCAAGTAATTGAAAAGTGACAAATAAAAACTATGAATCAGGGAAAGAAATCAAAATGAAAACTGTTACTGAATTATTCAAATTAAAGAATGCTTGTCATTGAAAGGGTTCGTAGTTGGCCTGATTTTTGAGTATCTACAGAACACTCCATTTACTATGAGTACTGTTGCTGGTATTTAAATAACTAATTGGAGAATAGAAACTTTTTAGTTAACTCAGAGGCACTGCTCGCCAACTTATGTAATTACTTTTCATTCTTCATTGTTTTTTTTAATTAAACGTCAATATTTTCTAAAAAAAACAACACAATATTTTGTTTTCAAACTATACACTTACTGTAACTTTAACTAATATATTTTGTTAATATGCTAATCATAACGACATAGAAGGTTACCTAGATTTGGAGAGAAAAAAATCATTTACACTTGAAAAAAAAAATTTAACCTAAGGAATACAGATTGGCTTGATAATTTTACTTGAATCTTAACAATTCGAATGGGGAATAGCTTTTAATGCTCTTTATTAATTTTTTGTATTTTTTAAAATTTTGCTTTGTTAGGATCTATATCTGGCAACATATAATCTCTTATTGTTACTTATGATTGACATCTACTTGAACATGAGCTTATAAAATAAAGATCTCGTACGGAAAAAAATTCTTCTACAACAATGGTTAAGTAGTCAATAATTAAATTAAAAAAAATACTTAAATTTGCAACAACTTTCGAACAAATTCGAATTTTTAAACAAAATTCGTGAAAGTTCGCAAATAAAAATTACTCTTTCAGCATGTCACATTTTAACTCCATAGTTACATTTCAGCGAGCTACAGATCAATCAAATATGTTTTTTCCTATAAGTTTAACAGTAATAAATCTCAAATTAGTTGTCAATCATATTTTTTTTAATTTCTTCATACTCCCTATACTTTTTCCTACATACTCTTGTAATATAAATTTTTATGAATTTTGTGCATCAAAGCAAATGTAGCACAATTCATTAAAAACTTAATGTAAATGAAAATTAAAAACTCAAGAAAACCAAACTGATACTTTTCAAAGTAAAGCTGTTTCCTTTTTATCCTAAAATAGATTTATCGAAAAAAATTTATAGATGGGGAAAAAGTGATGGTTTTTTTTATCACATCACGTAACACAAAATTGCATTTTGAAATAAATTAAATGTAATGTTCTTAAACGAAAGTAAAAAATAGAATAGAAAATAGATAAATATTATGTTGAGCAAATTAAATGAAAATTAAGTAGTTTAATTAAAGATTGGAGTCTGAAATTATTTAAAATAAAACAAACGTATTAAAGTTCAAAATAAGTCAACAATCAGTTGGGATTCAGTTCAGTTATTCTTAATTTTAGGACATTTATATATAGTGAATTATAAGAGATTTTATAAATTTAAATCTTAAAACTGTTTTTTAAGCTACAAAAAATTCGAAAAAAAGTTCAAAACAGTAAACAATTAAAAAACCCTCATTCGAATTTTTAGTTTTGTAATAATATTGTATTTTATTTTATTTTAAAACCTTCACTGAACAGTCTACCAAATTTTGGGTTTTCAAGTACTAATGTTCAACTCCGTAGCCTTGTAATTTCGTACCAATCCAGAAGACAAGGAAACTCCTGGATCAGTACACCCAGAGGTATGATTTGTTATGGGAACATGGAAGACTTTGTGACACGACAGATTTAACGGGCATCAGTCACCATTTATTACACAGGGAGTCTTCGACCGACGGGGATCGAACTCTCGCCCTCTTGGACATGGGCCCATTGCTCTACCAACCAGGCTATTCCGGTCTTAATAATATTGTATTAAAAATATCAAAATAAAAAAACTGTAAAAGAAAAGAGGAAAATTTAATATATTGACTATTAAATCGGCACAAATAAAGCACCTCAAAGTTCATGATTAAAATGCTTGATTCGAAAATTGCAATTCCTTATAATACCGGATTTAAAATATCAGGATTTTCGAAACCCCGAGGAAAAACATGGCAATGCTGTTGTATGAACGAAATAAAAAATCTCAGATTTACGACAAAATTGGCACAAATCGAAGGCACATATAAATGCTTCGAGTGTAGTAATATATATATATATAAATATCGGGAATTTCAAAACTATGTTAAAATGCGTAATGAATAAAAACTGTAGAAAAATAGCTTGGATTGATATTACGAAATACGAAAAAAGTAAAATTAACATTAAGAGGTTCAAACTTTCAACCGCTCGCCTAGCTAAACTATAAGAACCCCATTTTCCAGATTACGACAACCCTTCATAGTTTGAGGATCAAAAATCTGAATTGGTTGGAAAACAAATTATGTTTAGGTAGAGAAAGTTCGTTTTTGTATGTGATTACTCAACTTGAAATATCGTCTATCATAATTAATTAGCATATTTAAGGTAAGACCCTCAAAACATTAAGATTGAGTACTAGCACCTGAAAATTAGGTTATTGAGTTATTCATGAGCACTAATGCAATTAATAAACTATATTTAAAGATGGAATGCTCAAAGTGTAGAGTCTTCGACATTTTGCCCTAAGTGTGATTATTACGGAATCGCTAGATGAAATGTATAGTGCGTAAAATAAGAAAAGATACCCTGAATAACTTTTGTTCTAATGATCGGATTCTCACGTATAATCTTAATGGTTCCTGGGAGTGACTTCAAATATGCTGATTGATTAGTGCCAACTATTAATTAAGTTACGAAATCAGACACAAAAACGTACTTTCTCTGAAAACACTATTTGGATTTTTGAAGCTCAAAATAGGGGGGGGGATAGTTCCCCAGAAATCGAATTTTA